GACTGATCGAGAGCAGACAGTTGAGGAATGGGCGAACTTCGTAAGCATAGCGTTGCTTTACTTGGTCGAAGAACTTGCCACCCATGCCACTACTGTCGGTCAAGAAAGCCTTGACTGGCTGCACTGGGTTACGAGCTCGTGTTCGTGAGAGATTTGGAGGCACTGTGTCGTAAGAAAGGATTGAAAGTACTGCCTGTACCACATCAGGGCCGTACTGGAAGAGGTGGTAGCCTGCTGAGACCAAGCTGAAGAGAGACATCTTGCCACAAGCAGCAACGTAGAGATCAAAATCAGCGCCAAACGCGAGCAGCAGACACTCCGACAGAGATGTTACCATGTCGAATGTCTGCAAATCGGCGGCTGCGGCGTTGGCCATGAAGCCAATAACGTCTTCTCCTTCGACCGGATGAGCGTTCAAAACAGCGTCGAGTGAGATTTCGGTCTTGGATTTTGCCTCATTGCTGGGACCGTCTTCGATCTGAGACTGTGCCTCAGCACGGCTTGCGAGAACGGCTCCACGAAGACTTTGTGCAACAATGCTCCATGCTAGTATGGCAGGTCCAGCATGTCTTATGCCCATTTGAGCTTGTGCAGCCCCGAGAAGAGTAGAGGTGACCAAACGAACGCAGGCCTCGTCGTCGATGTAGGATTTGCCAGGTAATTGGGGATAGGCTCCGGTGTTCGGGAGTGTGCTGATAGATTCCACAGTAGCGTTCACCTTGAGTACCTCCAGCGAGATGAGAGAGGTCAGGCATCGAATGACAATGATCAGATCCGAGGTTTCGGGGCTCTCGGGCAGCGCGGAGAAGAAATAAGTCGCGTCCATGAGGGAGAACCATAGTACGATGGGCTCGGAATCGGGAATCACCTCCAGAGCAAAGATGTGGATATATGCCAAACGCAAGATCAGAACAAGCTGAGTAAAGACGGATTTTACATAGGAGTTAGCAAGGTCTTCATCCTCGGAGAGCAGGCCAGACCAGGATTCCGGGTTGAGAGATTGCAGTTTTGCATCCAGAGCATCCACGCATTTGCTGAAGAAGGACGAATTAGATGACGTCTCCTGGGCGCGGGAAACAAGAATGGCCGCCTCTCGAAGTAAAGGCCTTGGACTAAGAGCAGTCGACTGCAGGTCTCGAGGGAGAGCGAGCCCAACCAAGACTGCAGACAAAGCCAAGATACTTGACTTTTCTGCGTAGAGGGTGCTCAATAGCCTGGGACGTCTTTGTTGCTGAGTATCGAAAGTCGACTTTTGATCTGGTTCGGGAACGGGATTGACAGATTGGCGGAAGTGGGCGTTCGCGGCAGCATTCTGAATCCCGAGTCGCTCATCCTGGGACCACTCGGCCAGCATACGCGACGCTGAACGCTGCTGCCATTCAACCAGAACAATCCTCAAAGCGTCCGTCTCTTGAATGTTTGCTTCCTTGGACAACCACAGAGCATCCTCCTTGATCTGATTGATGTCGTATTGACCAGGTTCTGAGGGAACAGCATTGATTGCGGCGGTTCTTGTGTCGAAGTCGGACTTTGATTGTGCGGTAGGTGGGGGGAAGGGTGTGAGGGGAGCACTCAGGGTGGAGACGACGGTGGTATCTAGGAAGAAGGCGTCTAGTGTGGGAGTAGAGGTGGCGGAGTCGTGAGCGATGACAGCTCTATAGGCAGACTCCCATGANNTCTGGAGTGGTTAGCACAAGCCCAATGCAAAGACATCAGTAGGCGCATACAGAAGAGGAAGCTCGCGGGCCAGACATTTATCCAGAGGAGGGAAGTAGACGGCCGGCGGAGAAGGCACCATTGTGCAGGAAGATTTAGTGTATGAGCATGCGCGCCGGTCCAGGAAGGTCGGAATAGCAGAATACGCGACAGTTGGAAAGAGCGACAAGGCGTGAACTTGATGATTCTGGATTGGTAGCTGCAAAGACAAGAGAGACACGCCAAGACAACGAAACGCGACTTTGGAGGAAGGAGCTCCAAGTCTGGGGAAGCAGCGCCGACAGCCAATCAGCGCTGACTCATCCATGCGCTTCCAGATCTTATTGATGCTTTTCTTTGGCATCTCTCGTCGCCATCCCTCCACCACCAATTGCCAGACACGACAAGACGCAACATGTCGAACCTGGGCCTGGTCGATCACTCGCCCTTCAACGCCGAGCCCGCTGCTCCAATTCCCACCGCCTCCAATCTTGTCCTCATCGACAACTACGATTCGTTTACCTGGAACGTCTACCAATACCTGTGTCTCGAAGGCGCAACCGTCACCGTCTACCGCAACGATGAAATCACAATCGACCAATTGATCGCAAAGAAGCCTACCCAGCTGGTCATCAGTCCAGGCCCCGGCCACCCCGAAACAGACTCGGGTGTTAGCAAGGATGCCATTCGACACTTTGCAGGAAAGATTCCCATCTTCGGTGTCTGCATGGGCGAACAATGCATCTACTCTGTCTTTGGTGGCACCGTCGAGAAGACTGGAGAGATTCTGCACGGCAAGACCTCGCCTTTGCGACACGACGCCAAGGGTGTCTACGTCAACATCCCTCAGGACATTCCCGTTACCCGCTACCACTCGCTTGCTGGAACCCACCCCACTCTCCCCGAATGTCTCGAGGTCTCTTCTTGGATTGCTGTTGGCCCCGATGGAGGAAAGGGTGTTATCATGGGTGTGCGCCACAAGGAATATGTCATTGAGGGTGTCCAATACCACCCCGAGAGTATCTTGACTGAGGAGGGCAGACTGCAGATCAAGAACTTTTTGCACATGCAGGGCGGTACCTGGGCCGAGAACGAGCGCCTGCAGAAGGAGGCCAAGTCGAACGCTCGGTCAGCAAAGACCAACGGACAGACCAAGGACAAGCAGACCAACATTCTTGAGAAGATTTTCGCTCGCCGTAAGGAACTGGTCGCCGCTCAGAAGGAGATTCCATCTCAAAGACCCATCGACCTCCAGGCCGCATACGACTTGGACCTTGCACCACCCCTCATCTCCTTCCCCGACCGTCTCAAGCAGTCTCCTTACCAACTCTCCTTGATGGCTGAGATCAAGCGTGCCTCCCCCTCCAAGGGCATAATTTCCATTTCCACTTGCGCCCCTGCACAAGCCCGCATCTACGCTCTTGCCGGCGCTAGTACCATCTCTGTCTTGACCGAGCCCGATTGGTTCAAGGGCAGCATCGACGACCTGAAGGCTGTTCGCCAAGCGCTGGCTGGCATGCCTAACCGTCCGGCTGTTTTGCGCAAGGAGTTTGTTTTCGACGAGTACCAAATCTTGGAAGCTAGATTGGCTGGTGCCGATACTGTTCTTCTCATTGTCAAGATGCTTGACATTGAGACCCTTCACAGACTGTACAAGTACTCGCAATCTCTCGGCATGGAGCCTCTGGTCGAGGTCAACAACGAAGAGGAAATGAAGATTGCTGTCGAGATGGGCTCAAAGGTCATTGGTGTCAACAATCGCAACCTCACAAACTTCGAGGTCGATCTAGAGACCACCAGCCGTCTTATGTCGCTGGTACCCAACGAGACTGTTGTCTGTGCCCTCAGCGGTATTGCTGGATCGCAAGATGTTGTGCCTTACCAAAAGAATGGTGTTGGTGCCGTCCTTGTTGGTGAAGCTCTGATGCGCGCGAAAGACACTGCCCAATTCATCTCCGAGCTTCTCGGTGGCAGTGTGAAGTCTGCTACCAAGGATTCTAAGAAGTCACCTATGGTAAAGATCTGCGGCACTCGTACACCAGAAGCGGCCAAGGCTGCAGTTGAGGCTGGCGCAGACTTCATTGGTATTATCCTTGTAAAGGGTCGTAAGCGATGTGTGTCCAACGAGATCGCTCTTGCAATCTCAAAAGTCATTCACGAAACACCTCGTGCTGGATCAGATTCAAAGTTGAGTGAAGAATCGTCGCCGGTGTCAGCGACAAACTACTTCGACCATACCACATCACACAACCTGGTTCACCCGCAACACGCAAAGCTTGTTGGCGTTTTCCAAAACCAGCCATTGTCATATGTCCTAGAACAACAGAAACTTCTTGGTCTCGACATTGTACAGTTACACGGATCTGAGCCTATCGAGTGGGCATCACTTATTCCTGTTCCCGTCATTCGGGCTTTCCACCCTGGTGATGCTGGTCTCGCTACTCGTGGCTATCACGCATTGCCGCTGGTCGATTCTGGTGCTGGTGGTTCTGGTGAGCAAGTAGACTTGTCAAAGGTTCAGGAGCTTTTGCAAAAGGATAGCGGCCTACGGATCATGCTTGCTGGTGGCCTCAACCCTAGCAATGTCAAGCAGGTGTTCAGTGGTCTTGCCTCGAACATGAGCCAAGTTGCTATCTTGGATGTCAGCAGTGGCGTCGAGGACAACGGTGAGCAGAGCTTGTCGAAGATTCGCGAGTTTGTTACTGCTGTCAAGGCCGGGTCTTGATTCAATACGAACAAAAACAATAGAACAAACCTTTCCAACTTCACATTTGACCGCAACGTTGCTTGCTTACCTTCCAAAATTGATCATGGACTGGATGATACCTGTCACAACAATGACACACTGACCATCAAGCGCATTCACGTTATGGTTCTTTGCTATCACAAACTGCTTCGACAACTTCTTGATCGTTCAATGTTGGCGCAGCTCAATCGCTTCGCTTACAGCATTCTTATAGCAGGTGTCTTCACTTGCAGATCCACCGTCACTCAGTCTCAATAGGCAAGTACTATATTGAGCGGCTTCTAGTTCCAGACCCTCTCCCTCTCTCTCTTCCGCTCTTCATCCAGCATCTATCTCACCTTCTACCTTTTCATTACTTTACCACTTACATCTATCACATCACCTCTATCTATTCACATCACAACCATTTGCCTGGTGCAGCTCGTCGAGTGTCCCTCAACACTACAGATCTCTAGAGATCTTTCCTCTTCTTCCAAACCTCGTGTTGACTCGGTCTCTGCCCACCAATCGACTTTCCTTACCAGCAACTCACAATCTTTTGCATCAATCAACCGTCCAGCCACAACCATGCCTCCCAAGCTCAGAAACGCCATCATCTGCTTCTCCGGCACCTTTGAGGCGCCAGTTGCTAGCCTCCAGAAATGGACCGAAGCCAATGGCGGCACCTTCAACCGCAAGCTAACCTCTTCCACTACCCACCTCGTCGTCAGTAAGACCAACTGGCGCGCCCGCGTTCCCGAAGTGGAGACTTCACTCAAAGACGACGACATCAAGATCGTGGACTACGAGTGGTTTGACGACAAATTACGTCTCGGCGGCCGCATCACCGATTCCAAGTACCTGTGGACCACCATCGATGCCGAACTCCTCAAGCAAGAAGCCAAGGACGCCAAAGCTGCCGAGCGCGAAAAGAAGCGTGCTGAAAAGGATAAGGAGAGAAAGAAGAAGGATGCTGAGAAGATCAACTGGGGTGCTGCACTGATGCAACACACCAACGAGGTTGCCCGTGTCGAGGAAACCAGTGAAGATGAAGACTCCAACGAGGAGGATTCGTCTGCAGAGCAAAACGAAGCTCTGGCCGAGCAATTCGCTAAGGGAGCCAAACAGGCAAAGGAAGACTTGATGAGCGACAACTACCACATCTACATGGATTGCACTGGCTTCGTCTACGATATCGTGGTCACCAAAGCCTCTGTTGAACTCTCTCGCTTGGACAGAGCTTGCATTACTGTGAGTTGTCTTTGTCGACTTTACCCTCTCCTTCCCTGCTTTGTCTGACATGTTCCTCCCACANNGCTTTACGAAACAAACGCTTCACCTCACAGCTACGCCGTCGTCGTCAAAATCCCAGTACACACCCCTCTCACCACTTACGATGTCACCGCCGTCGACAACGTCAGCTTCCCTACTGCCTTCAAGTGCATGCGCGACAACTTCAAGGCCCTTACCGGAGTCGAATGGGACAGCCGCATCAAAAAGTTCAGCGACGGACCTTCCTTGGCTCCTCTGCCTCGCCCCAAGATCACCGTTGTGGCTCCGGCAAAGAATTCGCCTGCAGGAAAACTCTCCAAGGTAACCAAGAAGAGCAAGTCAGACAAGACAGAGACAGAAGAGGGCCCGGAAGACAAGCAAAAGAAACTCGAAGCCGCTTTCGACGCCCTCAAATACCGTTACCGTCTCCCCGACGAGGGAAAANNCCCTCGCGGCACCATGGCAGACGGTTCGCACTACACACACCAAAACAACAAGAGTGTGTACGATCTGTTTGGCGAAGCTGCAGACAGAAGTGCCGAAGACATTGCCGCCAAGGAAGCCGTCAAGGAAGAAGTCAAGAGATTGCAGAGACTGCAACTCAAGAAGCAGAATCAGCAGGTCAAGAACAAGCCTGTGGAGGTTGTGGTTATCGAGTCTGATGATGAGGAAGAGGAGAGCGAGGAGGAAGAGAGTGAGACTGAGGGAGATGAGGATGAGCAGATGGAGGATGGCTATGTTGCTGTCAATGCTGGAGGCAAGGATGTTGAGATGCAGGGTTCGGACTGTGCCTTTGAGAGAGCTGCGGACGGAGCTGGAGTTGGTCAGGAGGATTTCACCATGGTCGACGCTCCTGCCACTCATGCCTGATCGACGACAACAGCCGATACTTCAAGAAGAAACGACTACTGCTGAGAGACGACCTTGCATCGACACACACCGTTCAGACTCGGCATGCACAAGGGAGATGGAGGCCAGAATCTCGATCGACACGGTCCTAGAATGGCCAAATCAGGGGGTTGGAGGACTGCTTTTTCTCCTTGCTGACATCCTTCAAGTTCGCCATTTCTGGTTTTTTCGACCCCTTCTCTTTCCATGATTTTAATCGGGAAAAGGCCGGTCGTTTCATCTTTGCCCTATGTTTCTTTTCTTGACATTGATGGAGCGGTACACGGAGCAGCACTGCAGAAGGAAGCAGCACTGCAGACGGAAGCAGCTATGACATTCACGATTTCTTTCTTTTCTTATTGCGATTTAGCGAAGCAATAGCAGAATGGTCTCTGCAGATTTCGAAACCCACGAGACTTACAAAGACCGAGCCTCCATGAGCGTATCGAGGCATGAGCTTTCTAGCTGTCCAATAGGTAGTTGCCTTGGCCTCTGATGAACTTATGACCCATCTCCATCTGTGTCAACTTCTAGTCGTGACGATAGCAGACAAGTTGCGGAACCTCAGAGCGACAGAGAAAAAGAAGCAAGAACGCGCCCCAGAATTGTATTCAGCTCTTATAGTATGCGAGAAGGGGGGGGGGGGGAAACAGGCGTGAAATAGGTATGGAAAGAGGTCCGTCGTTCTCTTAGTTGCTTCTCTCGCCGCCCTTTGCAGCTCTCAGTTCATCCATCTTTGCGACGCGCTTCTTGAATTCTTCGTATTGGCACTTTTCGTACGAGTGTCTCTCGTTCTGTTTTGTTGTTCGAGTCAGAAAGATGTCTTGCGGTATGTAGGTGGGTCGTAGGATGGAAAAGAAGAATGGTTGTAGTATGTTGGAGAGTAATCGTACCTCGCACTTCCAGGGCAAGTAGTACTCGTTGTGTCGGCAGCGGTTCAGCGGGATCAAAAGGTGGGCGCAGGTGTCTCTGTAGGGAATGGGGAGTCTTGCGTCGGACATTTCCTCACGCGAAGCAGCTGTAATGCCACCGGATGATCAGCTTCTTGTTCTAAACAATCCAATTGACGAGCGAGTGTGTAGAGCGGGTTGCGAGATGGTGGGTGTTTGCGCATAAGGTGAATCGAGGTGGTTGCAGGCGCAATTGGGATTGATGGTTGAGAAGAACGTACAGGTCGAAGGGCCAGCCTCGAGGCCGACGGCATGCTTGATTGTCTCGGTGATGGCCATGGTTGTGTGTGGTGGTGGTAGAGCTAGCGGGTGCTGCTGCATTGGTATGCGGTCGCATTGGCCGGCAAGTCGGTGGCGCCAAGGCCGGTGTCAGTCAGACGCCAAGACCTTCACTTTGGACTTGACGCGTCTCCCTCAAGTCGACCGTGTCTCGCTCGTGTGTCGCATCCAAGGGTGCATCGGTGCAAAGCAATTCCGCCCGACAAGAAGTCACAGGCCTTGCGTGTGCTAAGTCACGAGGTTTAGTCCAGCAAACTAATTCCTCAGCAATCAATCTGGCCACAGCTCGACCGTCCGTCGCAACCTCTGCACATCACCTTCACTACCAGCGGCAGCATGACGGACAATCGCATCTACTCGGCCACCTACAGCAATGTGCCCGTCTATGAGTTCAACATCGAGGGCAACCATGTCATGCGCCGTCGTTCCGACAACTGGATCAACGCAACACACATTCTCAAAGTCGCCGACTTTGACAAGCCCACCCGTACCCGCATCCTCGAGCGCGAAGTCCAAAAGGGAACACACGAAAAGGTCCAGGGTGGCTATGGCAAATACCAGGGCACATGGATTCCTCTTCCCGAGGGCCGTAGCCTGGCTGAGCGCAACAGAGTCCTCGACAAGCTGAGACCAATCTTCGACTACGTTCCCGGCGACAGGAGTCCGCCGCCAGCTCCCAAACACACCACTGCCGCTTCCAAGCCGCGCGCCAACAGGAAGCCTGTCAACAGGGTCCCTGCATTGTCTCACATCTCCGAGGATGTTGAGATGTACCATCATTCAGAGACGCCCGATAATGTCACTGTCGCTTCAGAGTCATATATCGACGACTACAGCTATCCGACAGACTCTCGCAAACGCAAACACCCTGACGACGAAATGTCGCTGGCCGACCAACACCATCAGTTATGGGCCGACGAACTGCTCGACTACTTTATGGTGCTCGAGAACCCGAACGACCCCTTCCAGCCTCCTCCCATTCCGCCCAACGACATTGACCTAGACCGACCAATTGATGAAAAGGGACACACTGCTATGCACTGGGCTGCTGCCATGGGAGACCTCGCTGTCGTTAAGGACCTCATCGGCCGCGGTGCGAACATCAATGCTGTCAGTAACAACGGCGAGACTCCACTGATGCGCGCCGTCATCTTCACAAACAACTACGACAAGAGCTCCATGGACCGTCTGGCCGGCTGGCTCGTGACTACTGTGCCCATGGTCGAATGGTTTGGCAGCACCGTCTTCCACCACATTGCAGGAACAACCTCGTCCAAATCAAAATATGCTTGCGCTCGTTATTATCTTGATTGCATTCTTTCCAAGATGGCAGAAACATATACCCCCACAGACATTGAGCACGTCCTCAACATCAAAGATCGCAACGGCGATACTGCCATCCACATTGCCGCTAGAAACGGTGCGAGGAAATGCGTACGCAGTCTCATTGGTCGACACGCTTCTGTCACCATTCCGAACGACCTGGGAGAAACAGCAGACGACCTTATAATCTCACTGAATCGCCGCCGAAGAGATGGCCGTCATCGCGCCATGTCTTCTTCGCCCTTCCAAATGGACCCGACCTCTCACAACACCACCGCCATGAACCTTGACCCTACTCTCGAAACACCCTCATCCAACAATCCACTGTTACCATCCGCGCCAGGCAACACAGCCATTCCCTTGAAACCCCATCATACCTCCGAAGCAGGCACAGCTTTGACCACACAGATCTTCCCCCTCCTACTCAGCAAGTCAGAAAAGTTGGCCGCAGCCTTTGACGCAGAAATCAACGAGCGCGAAACCGATGTCGCAGAAGCCGAAAGAGTTGTCCAAGTCCGCACAGCCGAGATCGACTCGCTAAAGAAGCAATCCATGGCCCTTGCAATGAGCGATCAAGAAGACGAATACGATACTCGTCTGCAGAGACAACTCGGCAACCTAATCTCACAATGCGAAAGTCTGATCGAAGACGAACAAGCCGCAGACCTCCAACACCTAATCCGACAAATCTCGTCACAGATGAATTCAAACAGCGACATGGACATGAACGACTACACCGACGAAGGCATGGAAAAACTATCTCTGCTCGTATCAATCAAGAGATTAAAAGAAGAGAGAATGGCATTGGTCAGAGAAGTTGTGGCAAGTCAAGCCGAAGCAGGCATGGGAGATAGACAAAAAGAGTACCGGAGGTTGATCGTGGGTGCTTTGGGAGTCAGGGATGAAGACGTTGATGGCATGTTGCCTGATATTGTGGGCGAGCTTGAGGAATGGCAAGGTATGGAGGGAGGTGTGGTTGGAGTTGGTGCGTAGTTTGGACGATGGTTGGATCTTTTTCCAGCCATGAGGTTTTTGTAGGAGTGGAAGAAGGAGAAAGAAGAGAAGAGCGCCTTTGTTTATATGGCGAGGGGTCTTTCATATGCCTTTGCTAGAGCGATTCATATCATTATGCTCCTTTTGTGGATCTTTGGAGATGTCGTGTACGTATATGATGGCCTGCTCAAGATTTCGAAACTTCTCCGCACCTTGAGCTTCCATGTTTGTCAACCTCGCACCTACCTCTCCTTGTTCGCTTCTCCCATGCAGTACTCCTGTGTATCTCGACATTGGCATAATCTCACCTCGAGCACTCTCTCCAGCAAATCAATGTTCCTGAACCACGGGGATATCTCGCTGTTGGTTATCGCGTCATGGTGACGTTTTGCATGCTGATATAGCACTTTCACATCTCGTATTCTTGCGGAAGAAACCCCGATGACCTTCTTGTCCTGACAGCGAACTGCCGGGATGGCATTGGTCAGCTTTAATATAAGTGAGCGTAAGAGACAACAGGTATGTGACGAGGATAGACCATGGGCCGCACTCAACCTGAACAAGGAGAGGATAGCCCTCGCTCCATCTTGCGATTTCCCAGGCACATCCCCAGTACTTTCCCAACGTCACGATTGCGGGTACGATGTCGTCTACGGTCGGACCTGCCATCTTTTTGAATATGGGGTTCGCTGACCAAACAATGACCCACGTTGGTTTGGCTAGGATCTCTATAAGTAGTCCTCTTTGCTCACGACGTTCCGAATTTTCACCTGTTTGTCCTATCATATTAGTAAACCCTTAAATACTCACAAGCTGCTTAATCATGGCACCACCAGACTTCAACCAAACAAGCAGACGCGCAAACCCACCTGTCTACACTCTGCAAGAAGGTTAGTTTTAGAACGGTACGAGGTAGGTCATCAGTAATCTAACACTGGTCACAGGTGCACCTGTCTCCGACCCTTCGGCCTCCCTACAGGTCCGCACGACATATGGTGGCGGTGGTCTCGGTATCCTGGCCGATACCCAACTCATCGAAACCCTCGCCCACTTTCCTCGCGAACGCATTCCCGAACGCGTGGTCCACGCAAAAGCAGCCGGAGCATGGGGTGACTTTGAAGTCACAGAGGACCTCTCCGACATCACCGACGCCAAATTCCTTAGCGGCAAGGGAAAGAAGACGCCTCTTCTCGCTCGTATCTCGACTACCGCTGGTGAGAGAGGTGCTGCCGATACCGTGCGTGATATTCGTGGCTGGTCCATGAAGCTTTTTACGGAAGAGGGCAATCAGGACTTTGTGTTCAACAGTCTGCCTGTTTTCTTTATCAGGGATCCTATCAAGTTTCCTAGTGTCAATCGCAGTCACAAGAGACATCCCGTGACCAACATTCCGGACCCTGACATGTTCTGGGACTACCACATCAACAACCAGGAGGGTATACATGCATTGATGCATCTGTTTGGTCTCCGTGGTATTCCTGCTTCGGTGAGCCGTCTTCTTGGTAATCGTTGCTGCACAGTGCTAACAGTCTGTTGTAGNCTCCGTAACATCAATGCTTTCGGTGTTCACACATACAAGCTCGGCAAGCAGGATGGTACCTTCGTTTACGTCAAGTGGCACATCAAGCCCGAAGCTGGCATCAAGAACCTCCACGCGGATGAGGCACTTCGTCTTGCTGGTGAAGCTCCCGACTACCACATCAAGGACATGTACGACTCAATCGAGCGTGGAGACTATCCTACATACACCGTGAACCTTCAAATCATGAACCCCAAGGAAGCAGAAGCCTCGGGTATCAACATCTTCGATAACACCTTCACCTGGCCTCACGAGAAATACCCTCTCCGTCCTGTCGGCAAGATCACCTTCAACAAGAACCCTACCAACTACTTCCAAGATATCGAGCAAGCCGCCTTCTCTCCCTCAACAATGGTCCCCGGTGTCGGTCCTTCGGCCGATCTCATGCTCCAAGCCCGCATGTTCAGCTACCCAGACGCCGCACGCTACCGCCTCGGACCCAACTACCAACAACTCCCCTGCAACAGACCCATCAGCCAAGTCTATTCTCCCTACCAACGCGACGGCCCCGGCCGCATGGACGGCAACTATGGCGCCGACCCCGACTACGTACGCAGTAGCTACACCAAGCTCGCCCACGGCAGCCACGAGCTAGCCACCCACGAGCAATGGGTCGGCAAAGTGACATCTGCATCCACCGACGTCACGGACAAGGACTTTGAACAACCCAGACTATTGTGGCAGGCCATGCTCAAGGAAGATGGTGGACGTGAAAACTTCCTCAAGAACTTGTGTCCTCATCTTGGTGGCGCTTCAGACAAGGTTATTGAGGAGGCTGTCAAGATGTTTTCCAGAGTTGACGAGGGGCTTGGTAAGGATATCTCGCAGGGTATCAAGAATCATAAGGAGGGTAAGGCTGTTGTTTAAGCAGTGTTTTGATGATGTGATGGCTAGATATTTTAACGACCGTATAATGAAACAATCCTACGTTACTTTGACACAAATCCCCTGACTCTCACCATGCAACAGTCCACGTCACGGTCAAAGACATGTTTGTAAGCTTTCGGTTCATTTGTATAATGATGCACTATGAGCAAGTAGTCGCGCGTTTCTAGCTGACGCATGATCTCATTCAAGAACATTGTGATACCGAGAGCACTGGAGGCATACCTCTAAGCAATGCAAGACATCGCATGCGACCATATTGCTGTATAGCTTGCAATCACTCGACAAAAGTAAGCCAGCAGAAGTATCGTGATTAAAGATGTGGATTATGATGTGACGTTGACACGAGAGGAAGAACTCCGGAATATGCAAATAAACTATGAAGAAGAAGAAGCCATGCTTGGAGGATATGCATCAACCATATCTCTTTCGAATGTCGCTTCTCACTGCAGGCAGGATGTGTGTTCCATACTCGACGGCATCGTTGAAATTGTCGTAGCCACGGATGGAGATCAGATCAGCACCCAGCTCAACATAGTCGAGCAACGATTCCCTGACGGTCTCATACGATCCAACCAATGCAGTCGATGCACCTCTCGCGTTCGTCGCCGTCACAGTAGGATACCACAGCGCACGATCTTGGACCTCGCCGCGCTTGGCAATATCCAGCAAACGCTGAGATCCAACATTCTGCGGCGGTGGCGCATCAGCAGTCGACTTTCCCACACCATTTGCAGTGTGCTTTGTCAATGCATCAAGCGTCCTATGCGCCTTCGCCCAAGCCAACTCCTCAGTCTCTGCGGTAATCGGTCTAAAAGTGACCCAGATCCGCGGCCGATCGCTTCTCCCAGCCTTCTCCGCTTCGGCATACACACGCTCGATTTGGTCTTTGGTTTCCTTTAGCGGTTCGCCCCAGAGCCCGAAAATGTCAGCCAGAGAGCCGCCGATGCGGTAGGCTTCGGAGGAAGAGCCGCCGACGGATACGGGGATGGTTTTGTGGTGTGGGACGACGTCGCTGTGGAAGTTTTGAAAGGTGTAGTGGGTGCCTTGCCAGGAAAAGGGTTCTTTGGATTGCCAGGTGCGTCGCAGGATTTTGATGTATTCCTCCAAGCGGCCATCTAGACTTTTTTGTTAGTCGTCACGGCTTCAGAGTGGAAAATATACAAAAAGATGCAGAGGTTGTCTGTTCGTTGATTCAGTGCACGCAAGTGGCATCAGTTATAAATGGCGTTGCTCGCACGACATCCAGACTAGACCAGGACTCAACAGGAAGATGGATCATCTGTGCTTGCCGGTACGACAGAACAACCTGAGCATGATTGGCACCACAAATATGTACTCACATCGCTCATCTTTTGAAATGAAATCTCCTTCTTTGGCCTGCTCAGCATCGCTCCCACCAGCAATAAAGTGCACAACCACACGTCCACCACTCAACTGATCAAGCGTCGCAAGCGCTTTTGCCGCAACAGTGGGATACAGAGTGTTTGGTCTCAACGCAATAATGACCTTGATATTCCTGGTTTTGGCCAGGACAGTCGCACCGAGCGTAAAAGGATCGAAGCCGGTTGAACCATAAGGGATGAGGGTGTAGTTGTAGCCATAGTCATCCAACGAGCGAGCATATCTGACTAAGAAATCGATATCGACGCCTGCTCCAGGGATGGGTTGTAGTTCATTCGATGCATTAGGAAAAGTGAGACTGATGAATTCGGTAGTAGCCATGTTGCTCAATTGAGGTGTCAGGGTGGTAATGTTCGTATCTGTATCGAGATCAAGGGCGACGGCATGGTTTTGTGGTGCCAGCATTCACAGCTCTGATTATCAATCGATGAATGGCGAAAGCAAGGCCTTGAGCACGTCTTGGTAATCCTGCCGATTGCGGGATGTAGCGTATTGGTCGATGGTTATGGATATGCAGGTGTGACTCCACTCTTGTTAATCAGCTGAAGTTGTGTTGCGAGCCACGTTTCACTTGCTCTGGAACGCATCTTTGACTGCCACCAGACACGATACTTTGCAATCCGAGATAGCCTTTCAGAGCAGCGATCTTGCATCACACTCTCACTGGAAGCACCAGGTATCGGCAAAAGATTGTGCCTTATGATCAGCGAAGTTGCGACCACGTGAGGCCGATCAACTGACCGTATGCCCAATTGAACCTGCATATACAAGCCAAAATGAATTGGGCTCGCGTGCTGAGTATTCGCTGCTGATCTGGTGGTGTTGAACACTGAGGTGGGTCGGGAAAAGGTGTCATCCTCCTTGGAGATCACGCAAACCCATCTCCACCAAATGCCAAGCATCTCGACATATCACACCTTTCGACATATACGACTCCCTCTCGAACAATTCTTGGCTTCCAATGCATGTCTTATCGAAGACGCAATTCTGGCTAGTGATGAGAGCTTCGAGATTGTCAGGCTGGCGGGGGTACGTATCCTCGATATGTTGAGGCGCGAAGAATTGGCATATGCATCAGTAGTAAATACAAATATGACTGCCGCTCGCATTGATGTTGATCCGGAAAGCTCGAGTGCCCTGAAAACTTGATTCACCATGGTCGACCAGAAGCACTCTGAACAACTTACTGATACTGAGATCTATGTCTCGGACACCGAGGCGAGCCGAGGGTCAAGAGAGACCGTGGTCGTCAAGCCAATCAAGACCTGGAAAGGCTATATCTGGGATACTTGGGAGTTGCCGCCAGATCAACGATGGCTTTTGTTCAAGGTGGACGCATTCGTCTTGACTTTCGCCTCGCTCGGCTACTTTCTCAAGAACATCGACCAGACCAACGTCAACAATGCCTTTCTGAGCGGCATGAAGGAAGACTTGAACATGTATGGGAATGAGCTAGTTACAAGTCAGTATCTGGACCAAAATTTGCGAGACAATGCTCACCCACGACTGCAGGTNACGTCAATCTGGACCGTAGGCTATGTGATTGGTCAAATCCCGTCGAACCTGCTCCTGACAAGAGTCTCGCCAAGATGGATTATACCATCTCTCGAAGTGGGCTGGGGTATTGCTACCATATGCACATCCCGTGTTGAATCGTACAAGGCGCTGTATGCTCTGAGGTTCCTCGTAGGCTTCTTTGAGTGAGTACCCCAACCCACAAGGAGAAGCAGCTGAACTGATACCTCGTACTTGAAGNNATCCGGCTTTTACCCAGGCATCCACTACATGCTGGGCTCGTGGTACACTCCGAGAGAGATCGGTAAGCGATCCATGATCTTCTGGCTGGCAGGCTCGGTTGGAAACATGTTCAGCGGCTTCCTGCAAGCCGCTGCTTACAAGAACCTGAGCGGCGTCCATGGACATGCGGGCTGGCGGTGGTTGTTCATTATCGATGGCATCATCACCATACCGTTGGCTCTCATGGGTTATATCTTCTTTCCGAACCTACCTCAGGATAGCAAGAAGACATGGTGGACGACCGAGAAGGAGCATGTGCTGGCTACTGAACGCATGAAAGCGGTTGGTCGTGCGGGCAAGCAACCTTGGACAAAGGCCAAAGTCCGGTCGATCTTACTCAGCTGGCACACTTACCTTCTTCGTAAGATATCCTATCGTCGAGTGTTAAACCTGGCTGACTTGCGCAANGCGCTACTGTATGTTGTGTGGAACAATGGCTCCCCGCAAGCAGGCATGGGGTACTGGTTGAAGAGTTTCAATGCTAAGCCAGCACCGGTGCCTGGTCGAAAGTACACTGTGCCGCAGATCAACAACCGTAAAATTTACCACTGGCATACGTTTTCAAGTGCTCGAGAACTAACGTTTGTGCANGTGCCGCTTCCGACGACGGCGATATTCATCGTCATGGCGCTCTCTTGGGCGTGGCTTTCGGATGGACCGCTGAAGGGCGCTCGTTGGCCGTTCATATATGCAGGCGCAATCATCACCGTGAGTATCGTCGATTGTGAGTAGGACGCGTGCTGACCGATGTCCAGNATGGTATTCCACGTTGCTCTCCTCAAGATGCCTCTGTACTCGGACATCACGGGGCGCATGGTCGTATACTGGTTCGCCAACATTGGTGTACGTGATGATTGTGAACTGTATCGAGCTTCGAGAGCTGACCTGGGTGCGATANNGATGGGCGCGGGCCCACTGATTCTGAGTTGGATCAACGAGATATGCTCGGCCGACACAGAAAAACGGGCTCTTCTGGTCGCGATGGCGAACGACCTGGCCTATGTCGTGCAAGCCGTCGTAAGTACTTGCAGCAGGGCCGAGAAGGATCTGTGAAGTTCGCTGACATTGTTATTCCAGGCGCCGAACTTTGTGTGGAAGACGACCGAGTTTCCAGCCGCCCACAAAGGATACACGTGGGTCGCAGTGCTGCANGGGTTTGCTGAGTAAGTGAGTCAAGCACGACGACAGGTTCATTGATACTAACGCTTGCTAGTTGTTGTGACTGCAACCATTCAATTGTTGCTGTGGAGAGACAANAGAAGAGCTGAGACACAGATCAACAATGATGCGATTGTGATCGATGGCTCGGAGGTTGTCACGGTGAAGCCGTGAGACAGAAAGATCTGTGGGGATGCCGCGGCCGATGCTGAAATGCGGCCACATAACACTTTCGCATCGAACGGGGATATCATCAGACTTACTTCACGAATACTCATCATAAATTCCAATGTTCTGAAAACCGAGCTTTCCCATCCGGCCATCGTAAGTGAGAAAAGGATCAGATCCACAACACCACTAATCCGAAAGAACATCCGTTCAATATCTGCTTTAGTGGATGACAGTGGAGTCTTTCTGAGATAGGAGAGCAACTTGAAAGGCTGATAAACTCTTTTTGTTCCTTTCGAGATCTTGTGGAAGCAAGCTCTTCTAGGGGGAAGCTATGTTTGAATCTCCGTGACACCTGCGTCGATGTAACAAGGCCACTGATTAGAGCCCTGGCATGAGATAAACCTTTACTTCCAGATATTTGAGTAGTTGTTTTTGCATCAAGATAGCCAGGTTTCACTACCAGCACACTGTGCACAGTAAACCAAGGCCAGAATCGCATATGCTCAAAAGTCCAGAGATGATTGATCTACAGCTACCTTCCATTAATTTTGATCAAGGGGAAACTTTGGCGAAGCCAGTGACCCAGGTGATCCATCGAGAGCCTGAAGATTCTCGCTGTTAGTCAGTGGTAAACCTCTTCCTGGCCATGGTGCTGTCAGAGCAGAGTTGTCTGAAGACGTCAGGAATAGCAGTCATGACTCCAATGTAACACAATCTCTCAGCAAAACTCCAATATCGACGAAAAGTTGCAGTTGCAATTTTGCTCGAAGAGATGCCTCGAGATACCAGCAAAGCTTCGTAGAGACACCGAAGCTGGAAAAAAGATATCAAGCAATCGTTTCATGCACCGCTCACTCACCAGATCTCAAGAGATGAAGTTGCAATGGACATTAGCAAAGAAGGACCGATAGGATGAAAGGAGGAAGAGGGATTGTGGGTCATCATGTACATCATACTCGATACGAACAGGGCACGCACTCACCCACGGGTGGCAGGGTTAGGGTGCTTCTTGGCCCTCGTGCCGTGGTCATCGCGGAGTGGTGGAGATGTGGAGTTTTTCTGCTGCCTGGTAAGCCAGAGAGCGGTGAGAGCAAGGATGCATGTCGGTATCTTTGCTATCTTACTCGCACGCCTGCACGCGTGTCGCTTCATCATCATCGTTAAAGGGAGTATGCATGTGAAAGAGTGGAGTAGCCTTTTGAACTGCGAGCAATCACATGCAGACAAAACAAACCCAGTGGTCGGACCTTGCTACCATCGAGGCATACACGATGTGCCAGCAATCGAGGGATTCGCTGCAAATATCATCCTCCACATCGATGCTTTGGCGTAATCAATCGCTGCAACTTGCGATGTCCGATGCCGATTGGAATTAACCATGAGACCCCTGCCGGAAAATTGTGTCATGTGTTGCAGTGCTTCGGCGTTGGTTGCGATCTCTCGGATTCGGGGACGGACAGAACACCGGGTGGGATTTGATTGGCTAGAGTGTTTTTCTCGAACCACCGGTGCTTTGTTTACACCTCTAAAGATCCATACCAGGTCGCAGAGCACCATCTTCAGTCTCTTGAGCTCTTTCCTTTGCCTCACTGATGGTAGTCTTTCCAGCAACCCACAACAGCATTTGAGTCTCGCACATCTCGAACACTGCTCTAACAGAATGTGCCTCTCCACCATCGACCTCCGCTGGCTCTTCTACAAGTAGAAGTGTACCGTCTTCTAGCGACCTCTCATCCAGGATAGCGAAAAGGTCGCCATCGAAACAATTCTCGCTGCTGTCTTTGCACATTTGCTTGAGCATGACTGAGCATTCGTAAGCAGTTTTGCCGGCAAATGGGGCAGAGGTTGAGGGCGTGCTGTCCCCGGGTTCGTCGGCATCAGGGTAGACGAGTGATATATCGTCTATGAAGACAAGGAAGCTGTCTGGGTTAGGGTTGTTGTCGTAGTTGTGACAGAGATCGAGAATGTGATTCTTGAGCTGTAGTGGTGGAGCTGTTTAGTGGTTTGTCAAGTACTGATTGAGACATGACCCACCTTGGCTGCAGGAGCTATGGCACAGCATATTGCAAACATGGTTGTGAAGACAACGTCTGGGTTCGAATCTGTGATGGTTGAAATGTGAATGCGATGTAAATAGACGTTCTTGATATTGAGAACAATGCTTTGTACAGATATACGGCCGTCGCGACGCGTCTCTCCAGGCAGCGATCGCGACCGTTGAACGGCAGGAGCGAAAGCCAGGCAACCAAGGAGGAAGTCACTTGGATAACTGAAGGAAGGTGAAGAGTATGATAGTAAAATAGCAATTCTATGCATTCTATGCGTGGTATCATATATGAGAATCTAATCTCTCTAATAAACTGTAAAAAGCAAAAAGTGGTATCTCTATGTTGTTGCGTGAATCCCCCGAAGAAGCTGCCAGGCTTCTTGTTGTATATGTATCGCGCATCTAGTGGTCGTTAAAACACACAAGGGTCATTAATAAAAGAGTAGAAGAAAGAGAAGGGCGTGGGTATTTCTCATTCTTCCTTAAGCCATCTGGCCACCACCGCCGTAGGCGAGGTCGTCTTCCTTCTCGCCGAAGCGGGCGTCCTTGACTTGGCCGGCCTCGTCGTCAGAGGACTGGAAGCCGTACTCGCGAGCCTTTGCGTCGATCTCCTCGGGGTTCATGTGAGGAAGCTCCTTGGCAGCAGTAACGTAGGACATCTTCTCGAGGTAGCCCTTAGCGAAGATAAGGTCGATCTCCTCAAGAGTCCTTCCGGAGCTCTCGGGATAGAAGTAGTAGATGACAGGGAAGAAGAGAGCGTTGAGCACGGCGAAGAAGAGATAGGTACCCCAGTGAATGCTGCTGATAAGCACAGGGGTAATCATGACGATGAAGAAGTTCCACAGCCAATTAGAGACGGTAGATAGAGCGTTGGCCTTGGCACGAGTCTTGAGTGGGTTGATCTCAGCAGGGTAGAGCCAAGGTAGAGGGAGCCAGGTGGCACCAAAGAAGGCGATGTATGTGAAGAGACCGACGGCGGCACCCTTTGCGGACTGAGGGTCACCGGGGATAAGACAAGCGAAGACAATAACCATGGACAAGCACTGTCCAACAGTACCGTAGAGGAAGAGCTTGCGACGTCCGACACGCTCAACGAGGAACATGGAAGTGGTAGCGAAGAGTGCGTATACGACCATGTTGATACCACCGAGGAGGAGCGACAGGTTCTTGGAAGTACCGATGGAATCGCGGAACAGAACGGGGAAGTAGTAGATGACGGCATTACAACCAGAAAGTTGCTGCATGAATTGGGACCCGGCACCGAGCAACATACGACGGAAGTGTTGAGTCTTGCCACCAGTGAAAAGGACAGAGAAGGGCATCTTCTCACCGAAACCGCCAGCAGCCTTGATGGAGTCAAGAATGATGCCGGACTCGAGTTTGACTTCAGGATCGTCTGTGGGCTTGGCTTGAAGAGCTGCAAGAATAACCTGGGCTTCGTCTTGTCTGTCATGCGAAAGCAGCCATCTAGGTGACTCAGGCAGTCTTGTCATGATAATGAGGACAACGAGAGCGAAGAAGATCTGGAAGGCGATGGGGAAACGCCAGACCAGGTTGTGAGGGCCGTAAGTGCAGCCATAGTCGATCCAGTAAGCAATAAGCGTGCCGACGGCGACGTTGCCGCCCTCAATGCAGATGACTTTGCCTCTGTTGTGAGCCTTGGAGCACTCGGCTTGGTAGGTAGGAATAGTCGATGTATTGATACCGTTTCCGANGCTGAGAAACAGTCAGTGGCAAATTCGAGTGAATGTCAAGATTTTTGAACTTACACCGGTGATGAATCGGCCGACGATGAATTGCGCTGTAGATCCTGAACTGGTGCCAACACAGCAGACTTGGATGATAACACCAATGATCATGACCGAGGCACCGATGAAGATTGACTTGCGGCGACCGAGCTTGTCACCGAGCGTGAGAATGAAGATAGCACCGAAGAGACAGCCAACAGCGTAGATAGAGACGATGAAACCTTGCCAGTTGCTGCCCCAGCCAGCCTCGGGGAAGTCCTCGAGGAAAGCATCGGACTCGATAATACCAGACATGACACCCTGGTCATAACCAAAGAGAAGGAAATCGGTAGTGGCGACGGCGGTGATGAGCATCTGAAGGGGTCTGCCAGAGGTGCCCCAGTAGGTGGGCACACCCTCAGTGTTTGTCGAAACAGTACGAGTCATCTTTCCGGTATTGTCTAGCAGTACTAGAAAACAGATCGTCCTTGATGTGATCCGGGAGAAAAGCAATGCGTGCGGAGTTGTGGAGGGTCAGTCCCGGGGAGGGACCCATTTATATATCTACAACTACGAGAGGGAAAACTCAAGCACCCAAACGCAACATCAATGACGGACAAAACAGCCGTTGCGGAGAGAATGTGGATGGTGGGTCGTAAGGGCCCACAGTCATCTTCGCGACCAGTCCACCGAGAGGTTGAATCCACCGTGAAACATGTCGGGAAAAGATCTTCAAGGGAATAAGAGGTCGTTGAGTGAGAGTCTTCCCGAGCAAGAGTCGTGAGCCCTGGCTTAGTGCTTGGCGATGAGCACATGGCGTTTTTCTAACGACTTGGCACAACACAACAATAGACAAGTTGAGGCTCGCCGCCGCCAAACGAACGCAAAGTCTGTGTGTTGATACGAATTTTTCTCCCAGGGTTCGGCGAAAGATTGAAAAAAGCCAAGTTGGGAAGAGAATTTCCCGGGAAATGATGTCACATACCGCTCTTTGTACCGAATTTAAGCTCCTGTCGATGGCGGGTGAAAGCTTTGGTGGCTTACACGCTTGAGTCAAGCATAATTGATGGAATTGCGTGGGTGGCGTGTCTGTGGTTTCAAGGATAGATTTGACCTCACTTTGGATGCAAGCGTTTCTCAATTGTTAGTCAAGCTCCGTGGAAGAAAATGCAAGCGATTCAGCATCGGGACGAGATGTTGGTCGTCGGTGTGCGCTCGGCCGAGGCTGCCTCAATGCAACGGATTGGCAATTTCTTCGGTTACGGTTGTTTGTCACTGGTGGGAGTTCTTTCCGAGGGGATAAAACTGGAGCTCAAGGTCGTGTTGAATTGCAACTTAAGGCCCCAAACCAGGATGAAGGATCGATGCACGCGAACAATGTTGCGATGCTTTGGTGATCGGCAACAAACTTGCAAACGTAAATGGCAAAGGCCGACTGATCGTCTAGCACATACGTCTCCCACCATCTGGCGGAGCACATGGGAGTAACGCGGAGCGTGCGGAGTATTTGTATCAGGTCTTTTCAACCTGTCACGAACAGTTCTCCCTGCTGTACCTTCCGTACTACAAAAGATCGTCGCGCATGGCAGGTTCTGTTGTGTTTCGAGAAGGAGTAAACTTCGAGTTCTGCTCGTGCTGATGAGGATCGGCAAACGTCGGTTGTTGAACCGGACTTGCAAACAGCGTGAGCGCACATGATTGTAAGTGCACAGCAGTTTGTGCGTAGTCGTAACTCTAGTCGCAGTAGGTACTCAGAACGTGTTTCGCGATCAGATGTCGTGTTGGTGTCGGTGTCGGGGCATAATTTCGGTAGAATCTAATGCCATGAAACTGCCTAGAGAATAATGGAGACATTGCCAAGTCAATAGGAGTCAAGAACAGACTTTGTCGCAGCCTACAGTGAACCTCAAATTAGCGGTATGTAACCATCTTGCGGGCGAGGCATATACCCGGGTCTGCCGACAGCAACATCCGGGAATCTGACCCGCAGCTCGCCAGCGTGGTGAGGTCGTGTAGGATCCCCTGCGGAGCCCCCGGTCACCCCACCCTCCACGACTCCACATATATCGGCACACTGTCCCGATTGAGGGTGAGGACTTTGTGACCCTGCACATGACCTGCAACTGGGGACGGCTGCATCGGTGTGTCTTCGGTGAGAACCCCAGCATATGCGCTCCTCCTGTTCTCCATGTCTTGGATGTACGCAGCGGTTGATTTGATGCTCCTCGCAGCAGAAGCGATCGTGATATGGACTGACCTCCGCGGCGTCTTGCAGAATGCACAGGTTGAAAGGGCAATTTAGCCGTCTCCTCGAGTTTGCTGGAGTGTCATCAGAGCTAACAATTTGTTATTCGAGGTCAGACATTGGCAGCTTTCCAAGAAAGAGTCATCTCACAGGTAGAACAGACATGCTCTGCCTCCCAAGAGCCTCACGAATTTGTCGTAGAATGTGCTGTTGATCTGTCCCCACGCACGAACCATGACACGTTCGGAGTGTTGCCGGTGGGCCCTGGTATTTGTATGTCGATCGCCTGTCAGAGCAGAGAACTGAGATGCGCGCCATCAGAGGTGGCCGATCGCAGCTGTTGTCATTGATCTGAAGCAGTGACAGTAAAATCCGAATATGCAGCGTGCCAATCTTGCCCGGTATGGTGTGGCTTGTGAACTGTTCTGTCGTTCGTGGTAAATGACAGGCTATCGTCTGATGTGCTCTATAGAGAGGCGAGCTGTATCATGACTTCGATTTGTGTTTGTGTCTGAGCTCAGTGAGCAGACGTGGTGATGGTGGTGGTGGTGGTGATGTTTAATGGAAATGCGGAGAAATATACAAAAAAGAAAAAAAGGTGATACAAGCAATATTTGCAACCTACACTCGATCCTGTCATGTATCTCACAAGACTCGCCTTGATTTCTTGGTTACTGAGTAACCGGGATCATGAACACTTTGTGATAATTAAAAGGCCGAAGTATACCAGTCATCTGGGTCGAATGCAGTAAAAGACCAAACGATAGGCTGCACAGCCTTTATCTGGTTGTATCGCCAGAGCAAAGCTCGCAGGCTCCACAAAGCAATGGAGATATTGATTATCTCTCTTTGTATGAATAGATGTTGATGGAGGAGAGAGAGAGAAGACGTCGAAAAAAGGTCTGGAGGCGTGAGGAGAAGCAGCCGGCAGCCGAGAGGGCAGGCTCGTGCTTGGGCTCGCGTTCGTGCCTGCCCCGCGATGACGGAGAGTTTCAGCGGGCACAGCTCTCTGCGATCTGGACTCTGTCGCGTGCAGGTATCAACACCAACCAAAGCAATACGAAGATTGAAGCTTGCGTGGAGGAACAGCCGAATTGCGATCGGAAGGAAATGGCAGGGTTGTCTGATCAGGTGCTGCAGTGGCTGTACAGCGTCCTCCTGAATGTAGAAACACGTCCTGTGCATGCCTCAACATCAAGGTCACTGACGACAAGACCANNGGAATACCACGATGCACAACGCGCCTATAGCGACAGTGTCGCAGCTCTCTCGACGTATCCTTCATTATCACCTCGAACCGATGTCTACACGTATAACACTGGACAGCCCGCGCTGCTGTTACGACTGTCAGGCACCCTTCCCGTCAACTTTCGTGGCACAGTCTACAGATTTCCCGTGACGATATGGCTGCCGCATGCCTATCCTGCAGATCCTGAGGGTATCATGGTGTTTGTGATACCAGGAGAGGGCATGGCTATACGACCTGGACAACACGTCAGTGTCGACGGACGGGTCTACCACCCCTATCTGCGCGACTGGTCCATGAATCAACGCTCGAACATCATCGACTTCTTGCGCCTTCTTCAGGATGTTTTTGCTCGAGAGCCTCCTGTTATTGCAAGGCCTGCGCAACAACCACAACCAATGCAGCCTCAGTCACCGATGCAGCGACCTCCTCCTCCGCCAAAAGAACAACCTCGACCAGCGCAATCTCACCCTGCAGAAATGTCGGCTGGACCGCCTCCTCCGAGACCTCCGAAGCCTGGAGAGCAAGGTCATGTCTCTACACCCGTTCAGAATCGCAATGATGGTCCGCCCTTGCCACCTCTACCACACGAGCGAGCTCGACAATCACCACAACTGCGACAAGGGAATGCCTTTGACGCCTCTCAGCCTCAGCGCTATTCCAGAGCTCCACCATTGCCTCATCAGATCCAGCAAGAGTACAGGCAGACTCCAGGTTCCCCTCTGACTTCGAATGCGCAAACACCTACCCAGAGATATACACAGCCTCCGCCGATGCCTACACCGCAGCAAAATCAACACCATCAGATACCCCTACGTCCAGCTCAGCACCAGTACCGTCAACAATACCAACAATCGCCTCCACAGCATTTCCAGCAGATGCCTCCGAACATGTCTGCTCGGCAGTATCCTCCGCAACACGCTCCTCATAATCAACCCATGCCTACAAAACCTGCACCTGCTCAGGATCTCCTCAGTGATCCGTTCGATGTTAGCATATCGACAACAACATCCTCAGGTCCAGCCCCTCCGATCCCACCAAATCCGGAAAAGGAGCATCTTCTACACCTCCTTTCTCAATCTCTGGTTTCTCAAATACACCAGAAAGTAAATCAAAACACTTCCGCCTTGGCCCCTCTGCATGCTCAGTCTCTCGCTCTCCAAGAGGCACATTCTCGCCTCAACTCCGAGCTGTCACAACTGACAGCCTTGGACAATACACTAACCACCAACGAACGAATACTCCATCAAGCCCTTTCGGATTGCGATCGTGTCATCGCCGATAGCAAATCTACCCCACAGCCACCCATTGATGATGTCCTCGTCGCCCCTACTGTTGCTTCCACCCAACTCTGGAATCTGCAGGCTGATGAAGCAGCCATTCGGGAAACTTTGTGGTGTTTGCAACGTGCAGTGGGAGCAGGGAGAGTTGGCTCAGAGGTTTTCATCAAGATGACTAGGAGTCTGGCCAGAGAGCTGTTCTTGAAGATGGCACTGAGTAAAAAGGTTGCCAGAGGACTAGGTCTGGACGTGGGAGGCAGTAGAGCAGGGACTTTTGGAGGTGAAGATGGATATGGATATTGAAGAAGTTAGAACCAAGCATGAAGTATATGTCAAAGAGTATGCTTTTCACCACGGTTTCTATTTCTAGTCTTTCTTCCCTTGTGCCACACCGCATGACTTTTATACTCTGTTCTGTTTTGTACCTCGCTGTCGTCTTGATGCGCGTATCAACATGAGAGGGGGTCATTCGTTAAAGAAACAGACTTACAATTTGAACGAAGCCATTTCTGAGACAAAAATTCGAGCTAAACCAACAACACCACAACTTATCAACTGGATATCAGTCTTGGGAAGCTCATGAGTACTACAACCACCTACATGATAACCCCATAGCAACTGAAACCTTGTGACGACCATGATATCGTCGGTCAGAGGCCAAAGATGATCGTCGAGGGTACAACCCTGCTCCGAGAGGATCAGGCAAGTCTTGCCGAGTGCGCATACCTCCACAGGTCGAAGCTCTCTCCATCTTTGAGTCGCGTTGCGACACGAGTCTCAAGAAAACACAACATCCAAAAACGCGTCTTTCTCACATCAACCTACCACCGCCTTCACCCACCTTCACCCACCTTCACGCGCAAACCTTCTCGCAACGACCGCAAACGCGCCGACACCTATCCGAAAAACCAATGGCGACACCACAATTCCCCTCGCGGCCATTCACAGGCTTGGGCAGGGCGTCGACAGTAGGACAGCAACAGCAACAACAACAACAAGCAGCACCGCCACACGCAAATGTATACCAACCACCGAGTTATGGCGGGCCGAGCAATACATATGGGGCTGGAGCAGGCGCAGGAGCCGGCCAACGAGACGCCATGGCGCGACAGGAGCGCGAGCGCATAGACCGAGAGCGACGGGAAGCAGAAGAGCGAGCCGGCGCACTAGACGCACTGAGCGAAGAGCAGCGAGAAGAGATAAACGAAGCTGTAAGTGCCTCCTCTCTCATGACACACGCACCACTCAGTCGAGACTAACATCGGGGATAGTTCTCNCTCTTCGACCTCGACAAAGACAACCACATCGACTACCACGAGCTCAAAGTCGCCCTCAAAGCCCTCGGCTTCGACCTCCCAAAATCAGACATCTTGTCCCTACTCCAAACCCACGGTATCCCCGCCTCTGCCACCTCCACCCATCCTGCCACCTCCGCCTCTGCAACGACAAAACCCACTTTTTCAGGTCCTGCACGATTGGTACTTCCCCACGCCTCTTTTGTTTCCATCGCCGCCTCTCGTATCCTTGCCCGCGACCCCCGCGACGAGATCTTACGGGCATTTGAGCTGTTTGATGCGGAGGGCAAGGGGAATATCAATCTACAGGATTTGAGGCGCGTGGCTAGGGAGTTGGGGGAGGGGTTGCAAGAGGAAGAGTTGGTGGCTATGATTGAGGAGTTTGATCTCGATGGCGATGGTGCAATTTCCAGGGATGAATTTGTGGGTATTTGTTTGGGGTGAGCGTTGCCTGAGAGGCTTTCGTTTGGCGAACGATGAAGAGGTGCGTATATCTTTGTGTGTCATGGTGGTGTTTTTTTTTTTTTTGGGAGTTGCGGCATGTGTTCTTTGTTGCATTGGATTCTGCGATTCTTGTCTTCTTGTTTTCTTTCTTCTTTTGGGCAGCGAGGGCGTTTTTTTCCCTATCATCTCTTGGGCACCACCCCGTTGTTCCCCTCCGCCTGTAAGCTCCTTTGTCCAATTTTCGATGAAAGCGAGACGTTCTTTGCGTTGGTTCTTGTGCCCATCACAAAGGGAAAGGTCTTTTTTTTTGAGATCAAATACTCGAATTGAAGCACACTTCCCACTTCTCAAGCCATATGAACCAACAAAACTAGGTATTAGGCAAGTTTAAAAAAAAAACTATTTCTCATCGTTCCTTTTCGGCGAGCACGAAGCGACGTTCCACTTCCATGACTTTCATCTCGTCGCCCTCGAAGCTCAGACGCACGTAATCGCCGCGGTCGAGTGCGAGGTCTTTGGACCGCCAGTTTGCGCTTACTTCTGCTTTGTAAAAGGTTGTCGTGTCCTATTGTTTTTCTGTGTTAGCGGATACAATTCTTTGCACACAAAAGCAATTGAAAAGATTCAAACCACTTACAGGATATTGGGCAAGTACATGACGGCCCTTGTTCAAGTCTGCAAGCCCCTTGTTTTCGGTGGGTATGGGCATGAGGTGAGCGACCGAAGCGCGATAGGGCGGTGGTAATTCGCCGCCGGGAACGGGGTCAGGATCCGCGTCTTGGATTTCGTAGCGGCGTTGTTTGCCTTCGCCAATGACGTTTGTGACGCGGCAGAGGATGCCTTCGCCTTCTTGGGTGCGGCCTTTGTTGCGGTAGAAGACGTGGGCGCCGAGGGAGAGTTGGAGTCTGGATGTTCGTGGTTCGTTTGCTGTGTGGGTGTTGTTGTTAGTTCTTGGGAAGAAGGCGGAGTGGAAAGGGAAAGGGGAGGAAGGGGGAGATATACCTTCGACACTCGATGCCACGCTTTCGGCCCCGTCTTCGAGTTTCACGCTGACTTCTCTGGTGCTGGTGACNNACTTCTTTCTCTATTCCTCTCTCTGCTTTTTCCCTCCGCCACTGCCAATCTATCCGTTGTTGCCTGTCTGGTTGGTCCCGGCCGCGGACTCCCTGTCCCACTCGCCTCGTCATCGACATCCATACTTCCTGCTTTCCTCTTCAGTGTTGCATTTCTGCCTTTNGGAATTACTGTGTGAGCGGCTCATGTGCAAGGTTTCCTCCGAGGCTTCGCGCATGGCGGCGAGGATCTTTATGCTGTCGAGCAAACTCATTTCGTCGGATTTGCCGTCGATGATGTGGCTGACTTCTTCGCTGATCTTTACGTTTTCGCGATAGAGGGATTCGAGCCGGTCGTCGAGAGTCATGTCGGAGAGTTCGTCTGCTTCNNTGTAGTGGGAAGAGAAGGTTGGTTAGTTGTTGGTTTGGGTGTGTTTTTGTCTCTTATGGCGGGGGGTCTTTTTGAAGGATATATATTCCAGCATTGCGTGCATGCATATGTTCAGATGTCGAGGAGTACACAAGGAGATGGAGTAAGTAGAAAACTTACCTAACAAAGCAGCCTGTTGCTTTTCCACATCGATAATTTCCGCCCCAATAGCCGCCGACCGTGNCCTGTTTGCCAATAAACATCAGCACTGATCCAAATGATTTGCATATACAGCCAGAGTATAGTGTTCCTTGTCCTCCTTTTTCATGTAAATTGGTCTGGAAAAGCAGAGAGATACGAATGCAAAAGAAAAATCACAACATACCACCATACTATCAATCTTCTTTGCTCCATCTCTGATCATAGTCCACAACCTGCGCTCCTCATCCGCATCTTGATTCAAACTGGCCCTAGGCTGACGATTCCGTGATGACATTGTGTGTGTCGCGTTGCCAATACTAGATACCGTGTAGACGGACGTGTTTCTTTCCGAAGCAGTTGGTCAATAGAACGGGTATCCGTAATTGTCGCTTCGAGAGGTTTTGTTGCAACACAGAGGATATTCTGGGGAAGTAGATTGATAGTGGGAAGGTAAGGGTACGCGTTCTGGGAGTGGATGGCCGGGAGTGTCGTTGACATTGGCCAATCAGCGGGCGTTTTTGGGGAAAGGCCGCCCGCTTGGTCACATGTGACAACGGTGTTGCAAGCGACGACGAGCTCTTGCGACATCGCTTTCACCTTCACTTTCAATTTCGCATCTCCAAATAGAGCAATTCTTCCAAGCCGTTTGAGTTTTTGCAGTGTGAGATTGCTGTCTGGTTCGATGGTCATAGACTATATGCTATTGATATATGACACTATTCCGTGGAGTGACGACACGCTTACATTACATGCATGTGGTATACTGCTTATCAGGGTTGATGCCCAACTGTATGCCTCAACCACCGCTATAATTCTGTACCGGCAATGGACACTATATGTATAGGACTTTCATGACTTGGCAATCAAAGTCAACCCCCACTTGAATGTAGGAACAAAGAACTCCGTTCGCATCAAACACATTCCTCACGCCAACAAAGAAAAACCTCGCCTCACACTAACATATCCATGTCTTTGCCTGTCTATTTCTTCCAAACCTCGCCTTTCCTCCTTTCCTCATCAATCAATGTTCCTACCCGGTTTCTACACTCTCAAAAACTCATATCAAACAATCCAATCTTTTCGCACGAGATACAACAAAGATAGCGAACCCACTTCATCGTCTGCAACCACTTACATCAAACTCTACTACGAAACACCATAAGCCAATCATCATGCATCTCACACCCATCCATCTCCTCTCCACCCTCCTCCTCCTAACCCAATCTTCCTGTTCTCAATCCACACCTTCGGACCAAGACTTGATTTCTGCAGCAGCAAGCGACTACGCAGCCGCAACCTCGGCCATCGCATCCATTTTCTCCGCCGCCACGGGTCCCGTCGAAAGCGTCTTTTCAGACGCAACTGCCGCAGTAGGCTCCATCTTCTCCTCCGCATCCACAGGCGCAAACATTCTAGTTTCTGGTCTTGGGGGTGAGGGGGGAAGTGTATGGAGTGAGATTACTGCTACTACTGCTTCCACAAACACAGAGATACAGACACAAGAGGGGATATTGACGGCGATGGGGACGCCAACATTCACGTCTGGCATTGTTACCAGCACCACAGTCGAGGGAACGGGGACTGCGACGTCGTCCAATGCTGCTTCGAGTGGTGAGTCAGAGGGCAAAATCAGGAAACAGAGAAGAGCTGATGGAGTCTTGTTCGCTGCCGTTTTCGCCGCTGTTGCATATCTCTAGACTGGGAGCGAAGTCAGATCTTTGAAAGCTCAAGGGCTAGGATGAACATGGAAATGGAAACACTTTGCAAGGATTAAACAAAAGACACGATTGGGGCGCAAAAGCAAAAATCCGAGTTTCTCGTCAAAACTTGTATCTTCGCTACTCTTTCCGTATCGACTTGAATACAGAACAAGGCTTCTCCTCCTCGCTGTTCTAAAAAGTAAAATTACAAAAAATTGATGTTATGCAGAAGAAAAACCAAAAAGGGTATTGAAAAAAGCCTCTCTCTCCATGCAAGATAAAGAAAAGAAGCCGTTAAGCTGCAAGAGACCTCTGTAGCCAAAAAGCGAGAAAGGGACGAACAGACTTGTCCAGGTACTGGAAACAAAGAGGTAGAGAAAAAAGAGTATTCAAGAAGAATCGAAAAGTCTGAGAGACAAAACAAGAAAAAGCAAAGATCGGCCTGAGGCGGTCCTTCTGTTGCCTGTTTGCAGCTTGTCTGATGTTGTGAGCCGGCCAGATTGCACCTGGCGACTTGCTTCTTCCTCGTCTTGCTGTTGAGGCGACGAGGCGGGATTATTATGGCGGATAAGGGATAGTTGAGATATTGTTTAGAAAGTGGGGTATTCGCAAGTATTTGGGGGTATCAAAGTTGGGAGGGTTGGTGTGCGAGAATGTCTGGAGCAGGTGATGGCTGGGTCGACAAGCGGATGCTGGGTCGACAAGCGGATGCTGGGGAGGGTATGGATGCTGTTGCGGTGTGTCATGCTTATTTGGCGGGCACCTTGATGTGACTGCTCAACCATGCGAGGCCTTCGAAGATGCCTTCACCGGTGGTGGCGCAACTGGGCTCGACCTTCCAGATGTGGTTCTTTGCGATGACGTTGAGATTGAGAGCGTCTGAAACGTCCTTTGGTCGCATGGCTATGTGGAGAAACATGTCAGTAGGTGCGTCTTGTCATGTTGCTTGTTTGGTGCATCTCTTACATCCATTGACGTCTTGCTTGTTGGCAAAGACTAGCAGCAGGGCATCCTTCATCTCGCGGTCTTGGATGATGCGAGTCAACTCAGTGCGAGCCTCGTCCATACGGTCGCGGTCGTTCGAGTCGACAACGAAGATCAGGCCCTGAGTGCCCGAGAAGTAGTGTCGCCACAAGGGACGGATCTTGTCCTGACCGCCGACATCCCAGACGTTGAATTTGGTGTTCTTGTATGTGACGGTCTCGACGTTGAAACCGACCGTGGGGATTGTCGTCACGTCTTGGTCCAGCTTGAGTTTGTAGAGGATNNTGCTGTTTGGCACGTCGGGTCAGCACACTGCGCATTGCCGAAGAAGGTCGCTTGAATACTCACTCGTCTTGCCAGCAGCATCGAGACCGAGCATCAACAGGCGCATCTCCTTGCTGCCAAAGATCTTGGCCATCATCTTGGATATTGAGCCGCCCATGTTGTGAAGTCGACCGCTATGTCGTCGCGCAGAGGGCTGGTTGCAGGAGTTTGCCGGTGGCAGGGGGAGGATCGAGGGGGAGAAGCGGCTATGTGTTTGGGCAGAGGTGAATTTTTGGCTATGAGATTGTCGCCGTTATGAGGGTTTCAGAGATCAACGGTAGCGTGCTGAAACGGGGTCGCGCCTGCCTTTTCTGTTCCTGGGCGTTGGTGCTCGTGCGACGGCTTTTGCGAAAGAGAGAAGGTTATCAAGGAAGAAAAGGCGCAGCACTTCAGCAAGGGACAAGGTCTGTCCTGTATATTTCCAATGACTCGCTCTCCGTCACGGCAAAAGAAAAGACCAGTCGCACCAAGCCCCTTTCTGCCCCTGCTCAGCACCTCATGAACGAGATGGGCGGGTGTGCAATCTCCGCCAAAGAGAGACTTGACGAGTGCACGGCGCACACAGAGACCTGGTGCCCCGACAAAACTGTCACCTCTGCCTCGTCCTCTCCGCGTGTTTCAGCTGAGCCCAGCTACCTGCTCGAGTATACAGTCACCTGCGACCTGCCGCTGGGCCATTCTATACAAAAAGTCTATTGTCTCTATACAAGATTGCCCGTCCGTGGTGGGTCCCTGACTCTAAACTTCAAAAGGCACCATTGTTTGCTGCAGTCCTCGCTTCTTAAGCCGAGTTCGTTCGACGCTCCGAGGACCGAGACTCGTCGCCCTCGGAGCATTCATATCTCTCAATCAGAGCATCCTCATGACACCTTCAAATGCCACCAGCGCCATTGCATTCGCAGGGAATGCTCTCAAGAAGCACGGGACAAAGCCCCTCCAGTAGCCCCGCCATCCATTCTCTCTGCCCACAGCTCTCGCAGCATCTCGCCAGCGAGGGAACTTTCTTTTCGCCAAATCATCCGTCATGATGCGCTGCTTGATGACATCCGAAGGGTAACTTGTCAACCAGAACACCTGCGCCGAAAGTCCTCCTGCCCAGAAGTTAATGGCTGGGGTCGACATTGCAGTATTCTTCTTGAACCATCTCGTAAACAAGTCGTATGAACCCCACCAGAAGAAAAAGAAGGTACGGAATATCAGTGTCGCTCCAAGTCCATGATACAACCCTCGCAATCCATGTTGGCGGAAGATCTGACGTGAACAGTCGATGGGTCCAGAGTAGAGACGTTTCGACTTGTCGGCTGAATACTGCACTTGCAGACGCGCTTTGACGTGTTCGACAGGTGCAGCGATGAACGATACCGTGCTTCCGGCCATTACTCCTGCAATCGCATGTCCTATCGTCGGTAGCGTCTTGTCCGACGGGATAGCGTACACGCCAGCTGCAGCTCTAGTCTCGTGCATAGGCTGAAAGACGCGGTCGTTCAGCAATTTCCGGTAGAAGGTCAAGCTGCCCAGCATCAAGCTGTCCATGAACATCCATCCAACCAGCGGAGGAGTCGCGCCCTTGTATAATCCTTGCGGCCCTTCTTNTTTCAGTGTCTGCATCAAGCAGTCCAGTGGTCCGTTGAATTGCGACATTTCTGACGTTTGTAACCTGACTTTTATCGTGTCGAAAGGGTGTCCAACTGTATCTTGATCAGTTGCTGTTTCCTAAGGGATGTTCTGTTCCTGACACTTACCCGTCAATTTGGCAATGCCGCTGAAGACGCCAGCGACAAAGCCTTTGTAGTTTCCAGAAGGCTGGGCCTTGTTGGGCAGCTCTGATTGACCATCATGGTGACTACGGGGCAGGGACGCTGCGTCGGTCGTGGTTGCTGCAGACATCTAGTTTGGCGGGGAAGAAAGCGTTCAGGTTATGACTGAACTTGCGATCATTCCACACGCGACTCGGGGTATGAACAAAGAGGATGGGTAGCTAGAGGAGGAAACACGATGCAACGGATACCGATACTCGGAGTAGATAATTTGGACGGATTTAGAACGGACTTTGTGCCTGGAAGACATGACGTGCAAGAAGCTTGTCGATTCTCGGCCTGCATCGATCGGCGTGCGAGCCTTTGCTTTCACCCCTTCTCCAATCTTCACTTCTTATCATCACAGTCTCTGGACAGCATATGGAACACGATACAGGATACAAGAATGCACCTCAAGCGAAGGTAGGTTTTGTTTCTACTAGAGGATGGACAGGAGGCCCGTACACCCAGATTTCATCCCAGCCATTGATCAGTCATCTTCTCGGTCACCGATACTGCGATACCCCCAAGTATCTCGATGTTGTTTGTTTCCCCTCGTGTCTGTGATCAATCACCCTTTCAAGTATGATTGTCGACAGGCTGAAGATGGTATAGAGAGGCCTCGGATGGAAGAAGGAAGGAGCGGAGTTAAGGCAGGGTCCAGTCCAAGGTCTGTGCCTTCCAGATGCGGCCAGGCGTGCTCGATCGCGACGCCAACTCTAAAGCCATCACGTTGTCGATTGGGTAATCATGTAGCCTCAACATTTCTTGGAGGAGCTCCTCTCTGCCTTCTTGATCACATACATTCCTCCTTAGCAACACCGCTAGTTCGATAGAGCAACATGGCAGCAAACGCAGCATCATCAGAAAGAGTGGTCGACTCGGCCAAGGTGTGGACAACCCTCATCACAAACACCGACTACCTCTCGGGCCTGTTGACTCTCGACTACTCTCTAAAAGCTGCCGGCAGCAAGTACCCTCTTGTCGCTCTCTACACCGACACGTTCCCTGCAGAGGGCCATGCCGCCCTCAAGGCTCGCGGCATCCCGTCCAAGCGCATTCCCTACCTGCTGCCCACCATGTCCAAGGACTACAGCAATGACCCTCGCTTCTACGACTGCTGGAGCAAGCTTACTCCATTCGGTCTCGTCGAGTACGAGCGTGTCGTCCAGCTCGACAGCGACATGCTCGTCCTGAAGAACATGGACGAGCTGATGGATGTGCCACTCGATGGCCCAGAGCTTGCCGGTCGTGGTGATCGCGTCTTTGCTGCGAGTCACGCTTGTGTCTGCAACCCCCTGAAGAAGCCTCACTACCCCAAGGAGTGGGTTCCTGCCAATTGCGCCTTCACCACCCAACACGACAACCCCGAAGAGGCACAAAAGACTGGCGCTTCTCCTCTTGCAGGTCTCGCCATGCCCAACGGTGGCCTTCAAGTCGTTGTACCAAGCAAGGAGATCTACGACCTGATCCAACAGGGTCTGCAATCATCAGTCACCGCATCCTACGAGTTTGCCGATCAGTCAATGCTCAGCGACCTCTTCCCAGGCAGATGGGTCGCTCTCCCCTACATCTATAACGCTCTCAAGACTTTGCGCTGGCAAGGTGTGCACGACGCTATCTGGAGAGATGACCAAGTCAAGAACGCTCATATCCTCCTAAGCCCTAAGCCTTGGGACGAGAAGGGTGACGACAAGGGCAAGAATGATGAGACACACAAATGGTGGTGGAACTACAACGATCGCCGTCAGGCAGATGAGAAGAGTAGGAACATAGATGATGGCTTCTAGGCGCGGGATCATCTACCCAAGACGATCTACGTGCCGACTGTCAGTTTTGGACGATTTTTGATACCCAATTGTTGATGACCAACATATGATATACTCTGGAGATGCGATGAATATGTTTGGCTACCCGCACGTTTGCGGGACTTGCAATACCATACACTATTTTCGAGTAAACACGAAACGAATGAACCTACTGGTCTGCTTCGAGCGGTTTTCTTTCATGGTGCACACGTCAAGCTTGTATTCATTGACTCGAATTTCTACAGTTCGTCAAGTCTTTGTTTGTTGGAGTCTCAATGCATTTTCATGTTCTTTGATCGCCAACAGTCCATGACAATAGCTTTGTCTCTGTCAATCCAAGTCTTTGTTAATCCTCAGACAGTTTCAGTCGCAGTCACCTGTGAGCGAATCATCGCCAAGAGGCTTCAAAAATCCATTGTCACATTGCAACAACGACAGTGGCCCTATGGAAGACACTCAAAAACTGATACGGTCTCTAGCCTTCCACTTTGGAATCAATCTCTCCTCCAACTCTAACCAAGGAAGACCGACCAACAAAGATCAAGGAATAGCACTACCTTTCAACAAACAGAACTACACACCAGATCCAGAACAAAATGCCCTCATCTTTCCCTTGTGCTGTTTGCGGTGCGACCTTGAATGGCAACACTTTTGAGTACCAGAAGCACATGACTAGCCACTGGACTGGCACCAACAACACCCTTCCCTTGCCATCAATCATCATCCCGCCAACCACACCCATATCTCCTCCTACTCTAAAGAGGAAAAGAAGCCTTGATGACTCTGATCTTGCGACATCTGCTCCACGTCTTCGTCTTGACTCTTCTCCTTCTGGTATGTCTACTCCTTCTTCTAGTATCACCCCTAAAGTTGCTGACTTTTTGGCTTCTGTAGGTGTTGCTACTGACACTACTGGCAAGCGCGTTTATCTCTGTCCTGCTAAGCCATCTGCTCCTTGATCATATAGTATGGTAAGTTTCAGAGTCTGTCGGCGCTTTTGCCTTGGTGTGTTTGGGGTGTAGGGGAAAAATTATACATAAAAAAATGATGAAGCAATTTGAATCGTTCCTGGTGGACGGATCATAAAACACTGTTCTCTCCTTCTTCTGTTTCCCTTGTGATGTTATCAGTGACCTTCTGCTTGGTCGGTTATGATAATTTTGCATTCCTGTGATTGATGAACATAAAAGGCCTTGCCAATCACAGAACATCTGGCGATGCAGGAAGGCAGTCAAAGGTTTGCCGTCGTCGCGTCCGACCAACCTCCAAGCTTGACTTGTTTTATGTCTAGTCTGCAACTACGTGCGTCCTTATTGTCTTCGGTGGGCGCGTTCAATTGGAGACAAAGTTATGCCAAGCAGGTGAGTGGATGTGGGGGTTTGTTGGAAGCATAACTATCACCTAGTCGCAGTTCGCGAGCCATCGTTCCTCCATGCTCATGTTGAAGTGCGACAACATCAAGCCTTCGATATCTTACTGCATATCCCAACCCCACTATACAATACCATGTTGACGGTATCAGCGCAACACCGCTGTGAAGGCATGACAATCTGATGTCTTAAGCGCGCAATCTACTCACCGTCATAGATGCCTGATAATACTTGGTTTACTCCATATGTTCTGCCAGATAAAGATTGCTTGAGCATTGCCGCTTCTCAAGGAGTGGAATACAAGTTGTCCGATTCTCATGTCGTCAAAATGCCGTACCAGTATCCTATACAAGACCTGAAGTCATTCGATATCGGCGAGGCCACGGAACAGCTCGAACTTTCGCAGTGTAGCATGGACAGCTTCAACAGCGAACGTGCTTTCTATCGATCACTGGAGAACACTGGTCAGACCAACATCGTCGAAGCAGCGGTTTCGACTCTTGATTATGGGATCGTGCTCGAATACCTTCAGCCACTTGAGGGCGCGTGGCAGTCTTCATCAGTCGAGTCTCGATCTCGGTGGATCAAGCAGCTATTGAGAGCCAATGCAAGAATCGAGGAACTCGGCTATATCCACGGCGACCTGGCGATTAGGAACATGGGTGTGGATAAGAACGACAATCTCAAATTGTTCGATTTTGGCTCTGTTCACCAGCATGGCGATGAAGCATCTCTACGACTCGTTGAAAGAGATGCTAGTCGGCTCGCCAAATGCCTTCACTTCCTCATGAGCGGAAAGGACCCTCTGGCAAATCTCCCCGATCTGCAATCTTTGCGTCGTGTGGAATGTGCTCTTGAAAATGGCACCTTCGAGATTGATATCCTGGCGCGTCCAATCGAAAAAATCTTGAAACTCTGTTGGGCGAAGGACTTGGCGACTATTGGAGCAGCGAGCTCGAAGATGGTTTTCCGGTACATTGAATACGCTATCCTTCAAGTACTCGATACCACTAGCAGCTACGAAGCGAGTCACAGAGTAACATCAGACCAGTGGTCGGAGAAAGCGATTGGAGTATCGGAAACCCAAGGGCTTCAGGCACACTTCGTTCTTGACACAAAACGATATGACCTCACTCCCGATCCCAGATGGATGGCCGAGGAGGATTACAGTGAAGCGTGGAGAACTAGGGGAGTCACTATATGAGTACTGGTTATCAGCTTCTGAGTGCCAGTGAAAACGCTAATACCAAATCCCAAAATTTTTATCAAATCTGAACTCTTCGTCACCAATCAAGTACGTCTTTCCTGACACCGTTGCCTAGTACATCTGCTCTTGACAGCTACTGTGACTTCCAATCCTGCCATGCTTGTTGTGTTTCGTTGAGATTATGACTCATCGCTGTTAAGACAACCAACAACGACGAAGTCTGACCAAACTGCATAGGATGTCGTCTGATGCGGTATGGGGAACTGGATGTTCGTGTTGCAGCTATCTGGCTGAGAGACGGAGCCCGGGGTCTTTGGGAGACAGACGTTGCGATCTTGCGTGAGTACTGGGCAGCAGCGATAGACGACGAGACAGAATTATGGCCCAACAAGCAAGGTCTGACCAAAGAAAGATGGCGGCTTTGGGAGGATAGACTACGCGATCTTGCAGCAGACCAAGAACACTTCGATCAACCAACAAGAGTGGTCATCTGTGAAGCTGCTGAGGTTGTTCAGCAGCTTCTGCAATCGAGCTAGGCTTATGACAAACCACTCTTCACTCATGAAAAGTACGCAGCGGTCTTTTTCGAACTACTTCTAGTAGTTTGTACAGCACCAGAAAACCCACAACGACCGGGCACGAAAACAGCAAGTGCCAAAGAAAGGCACCAAACTGCAAATCTGTCATCAACAAGTCCTCAGATCTGGACTAGAAATAGTCGACTGCGGGTTTTTCAACATGCAAAACCTCGAGTCTGTTGGAAGAGACGGTAAAACCCCCAGAGGCAAGACGAGAAAAGTATCGAATAGCCCCCCGAGCGAAGTATAATATCCCAATACCATGACTTCCCACTCAAAGTAGCAATTCCTTGCAAACAAAAAAAAAACGAAAGAGAATAGGGAGATGACATCACATTCACCCTGGTGATAGTTCCTGGGTTATGGTTTCAGGCCCCTTTGCATGTGTTTCAAAAATCCCCCTCAAACGTCACTTGCTACCCCATCTTATAGCTTTTCCAGGCGACCGTGGGAAGGTTTCCAGGCCTCCCGTCGTGTGGCATTTCCGGACAGGCGGGACGTCTGGAAGTCTGACACGATGGGAAAAAGACAGATGACGTTTGTTCTGACACGAGGGATGGCAAGCTATTGAGGCCAGCAGTGTTTCCATGGGTTCATGAAGTATGCACGGTTGCAAGAGGAGGGCGATGACGAATATCCTCTTCATTCGAAGACATAGATGATAGCCTTGAACCTTGTGGGTGGTTGAGAGGCCTTATGGTACTGTTTTGGGTAGACGGATCATTCAGAAAACAAAGTGAAAACAGAACTTCCGATATGCTAAGAAAAAAAGTGTTTATTCCATGGATTTCATGATCAAAAGCAAAAAAATTATGGGCGCTCAACTGCAAAAGCGAGAAAAGGACAAGAAGACCGAAAGGCCCAGCCATCACGGTTTTCCAAGTCCTTCTGATCTGACTTCCAAGGGAAGAGTATAATATGCTCGAACGCAATTCCTCTAGGAAGAGCCAGTGAGCTTGCCAACCATGTACTTAGTACCCATACTCTGCACACTGCTGCTGTAAGGGTAAGACAAATGCTGAGCATTAATGCCATAGCCATGGGTAGTATCGCAAACACCGTCTCCAAAGGCACACACGTCCATAGTCTTGGGCACCCAAGCGGTAGGGATACCGCCGAGCAGAGCAGAAAGACCATTGACGTTCTTGGTGGTGGTGCCGCCGTTGGCGTCCACATTGCAGGCGAGGCCAGAGCGGTGCTCAGGGTCACCGATGAGGAAGACACCCTTGACGGCATCCATGGAGGCGCCGGTGAGGCGGGGCATGGCGTTTACGGTGGCGGCGGCGCCTTGGGAGTAGCCTTGGAGGATGAAGCACATGTTGGGGTTGGTGGCAAGGCTGGAGGTGACCTTGTTGACGATNNCTGTGATATTCGTCAGCATCATACTACGCAAGAAAGGTAATGGTCCAAGATATCGAGGCGAGAGTAGGCTTACGTCTGCGGTGCCGAGGGCAGAGTTCTGGTCGGCGCTGGCGAGGTAGACGGTGTTGTAGACAGTGCCGCCAGGGACCTGAGCGAGGGTCTGCTGGTTCATGGTTCTGAAGCCGGCAGAGGGGCCTTGAAGCTCACCAGTACCACGGGTGGAGATGATGGTGTATTGGGAGCAAGCAGCACGCTTCTCGATGGGGTTGGCCACGGCACCTGCAGCGAGGCAGACGCTGAGCAGAGCACCCTTGAGGCTGATATCGGAGAACATGGTGGTAGAAGGATAGAAGTGTATTGATGTGTGGGAAGAAAGGTTGTCTTGTAGCGAAGGTGATGGATGAGAATGAATGATACGGAGCAACAAAGATGGACGAGGACAACCTTACTTATATACCAGTCCTCGTTACCAGGCCTATGATGCACCTACCTACTTACCAAAGCCAAACTGAGCATGGCCAACACTGGCGAGGCCCATGATTCAGACACCCGGAAGGTGGATAGTGTGCCATACCTCCACAGAGCAGGGCCTTGGCCTGAGGACCGGTCGTCCAGCCATACCCTGTAGTCGCCATGATCGTCCATGACTAGTTGCTTGAGAGAACTCTAAACCCCGTTTCAGACTTCTGCACGTCGAAGCAATCGAACTGGCATGGCTTGTGTGTACAAGGGCAAGTTATTCATCCTCGGCATGATGCTAGAAAAAGGTAACCGTCAAGTCAAAGCTTTTCAGGCCGTCGATTATAAAGAACGCCACAATTGCTCTGCCCGCTGTCGTTCGATCTCCGCACAGCCGGGCAGATCAGAGTGTCGCGCATAGCAGGAAAGCGACACATAATCGACACCTACCCTGCTGCCAAACCAGAGCAACCATAGAGCCCCTGTGTCGCTCAAAAGATTTTGAGTTTACGTGCCTGAGACTGACAAGGAAAGAGTGGACACGCCCTCCGTCTTTTTGCTTCCACGAGCCGCAAGCCTCAACATGGACGACACCCTTCGCTTAAGCACCTCGAAGTCGCTGACACACCTTGACTCATGCTGTGAAGCCGAGGGACAAGAAAAAACCCGCATGCCACCAGCGTCCTCCACGTTTCGGATCGCGAAGCGTGATGTGATGGCAAGTAGAGAGCCAAAAGCCTTTTTACATCTGCTCAGCCCCAGGGTTTGCTGGTGTTTCATCTCTCTCGCTGTGAATGCCCAAGAATTGCTCGTTTGATATGCTGTTATCCCCTATACTCTTGCCCTACACATGTTGAACGAGCCTGTTCAGTCTCTTTGCGACTCGTCTGAAGCCAGCAAAACATGCCTTCTCCACTGCAACAAACATGCTGATCGTCCCGAGGTGCGAATGCGAACAAGACAGCCTTACGTGCGAATGGAAGGTGCGCAAATCCATGCAGATCAAAAGAGCTGCTATCCCCCGACACCGGGTCGGATCTGTATACCTTGGAAATGGCTATTCTTCTTCTCTCGCTTCTTGACTCATGGGGTGCTGCTAGCAGCCTTGTACGCATCGAAACAATGATCCAAAAGAAGCATGCATGGGCTTTGAGCTGTCAGAGCTTCGCTTGCATGTTCCAAAACAATATCTTTTCTCAGCCCTTTGTTTCCCTCGGCGAGGTTGCCCTGTTCTGGGTATGCCGTGGGCCACGTGCGAGCAAAGGAAACACTCTGGATCGTTCACGTGCATAAGTAAACTGTTCTAGTGTTACACGAGGTCAAGTGATGGGGCAAGTAGCTGTGTACTCGTGAAGCAAAGCAGTCCATGTGTTCGGATGATACTCCCGCGCGGAAAAGGTCGGCTCGCTCCCATATTAACTGTATATTGCAGATAATTGCGAATCCGACAATCCTACAGAAGTCAGATAGATGAAAGGAAGAAACCCAGTCTTCCATATGACAAAGCTACTGCATGAGAATTTATAAAAGTAGAGCCTTCTGGATCTACCTACTTAGCTGCGATCTCATGGATCATGCAGAGAACAACCATGGATGTGACCGAAACAAACAGACGCCGCGGCAAAAAACAAAAAACTCCTGTTCGCATGCTTGCCTTGCCGGATCCTCACAACGCCTATGAAAAGAAGTTCCCCAAATAATGGCTTTTACCACAACGCATCGCATCACCTTATACCATCAGTCCGGCCATCTCTCTCTTCCGACTCTGGCGCAGCAGTCGGGCCAGAGAGATAAGTCTCCTTCTCGGCATCTTCATACTCGCGCACCAGATCCATGACCACTTCTCGCGCATCGTCAAACTGGCCCAGACCATCCCTAAAGCAATCCTCTTTCTTGTACTGATCAATGAAGGCGTTGCGCTTTCGTAGACGGTCGTATTGAAAGACGATGCGTTTGAAGAGGGTGGCGATGCCGGTGTGGTTGGCGAGCATGAGGCCGGACACGCGCGGGGTGTGTGGGCCGGTGGTATAGGGAGAGGTGCGGGTGAGGGCGACTTGAATGGATGCGGGGCCCCAGGGGATGAAGGTTGCGAGGCGACGTTCGCGGATACGCAGGAGGGATTTGTGGANCCTGTGAGACTTGATGTGAGCATGACGGGAGAGGAAAGTGAAGCGATGACAGCTTACATCGGTCGGGTCTGCCTCGCCCATGATGATGTTGAGGATGGAAATGTAGCAACTGTTCTTGGAGGGGTTCGAGCTGACCATCCTGTTCTTGGGCTGCAGCAGTCTGCGCATGACTTCGAGAACGGTGGTTCTGCGCACCGTCTTTGCGGCTTCGACATTCTCGCCTGTAAAGGGCGTGTAGCTGGTCTGCAAGAAGTGGCAGCGTGGGGTGGGAATCAACGAGGCGACGATGCCGACAAGATCGTTGTGCATGTAGCCAGGGTAGCGCAGTGTTGTCGTCGAGGCACTCATGACGGTGCTGACAAGCTGGTTGGTCTGCTGGAACGAGGGTTCCTGGACGTGAAGTGTGTCTGCCGCAATGCGTGAGAGGGCGCCGTTGTCGAGGACGATGACACTGTCGGCTTGCTGAGCAAGTCTCCTCAGGGACAGCAGCGAGTTGTAGGGCTGCACAACGACATCGCCCGACTGGACCGTGTCGGGGAAGACCGAGTATGTCTGGATCAGCTTCTTGGGGAAGCGGTCGTTGAGTCGTTCCAGCAGGTACGAGCCCAAACCTGAACCCGTACCGCCAGCAATCGAGTGCAGCATCATGAAGCCCTCGAGACTGTCGGAACCGTCGGCCTCGCGGTCGATCATGTCCAGAATCTCCTCTTGCACCGTGTCGCCCATCGAGTAGCCAGCGGCCCAGTTGTTTCCAGCTCCGGTGCCACCGCTGTGGATGTAGAAGTTCTCGGGGTTGTAGATGTTCTTGTACGGGCCTGCCTGGATGCCGTTGATGACCTGTGTGCTGTTCAGCGCCGCCCTTGTTGTGTCTGTTCAAGCTGTTCATACTCTGGGCTCGAGGTCCATCAAGATGGCGCGTGGGATGTAGCGCGTGTCGTCGGACTGGTAGAAAAAGACATCCTTGCGGTCGCCGCCTTCGGTAGCAAAGTCCTCGAGGTTGCCGTCGCGGTTGATGCCATGTTCCTGGCAGAGTTGTTGCCAGAACTGGGAGCCAACNNTGTACCCAGAGTGTCAGTCGGCGCATGTGAAAGCTAGAGGGAAGCTGCAGATACCGCTATTGCCGCATTGGCCTGCTTGGAGCGTGATGATTTCTCTACATGATTACCGGCGTAAGCTGCGATTCATTCTAAATCAAACAAGAACATGACAAACCTCGGCATGGCTGCGTTGGGGCATTGCGAGGAAAAGGTGGTGGTTTGCGGCCAAGCTCAAGTCTGGAAGACGCGCCCGACCGCGTCGACTGACAACACCAGACATCACTACGCACTCAGACCACTAACTCAGGAAGATGCGGACTGCAAGGAACTAACAATACTCAAAAGGTCCATTCTATCCATTGCCTGTTCGGAAACACATTTGCACGTCATATCGCTATTGCTACACATTATCGAATACTACTGCCACGCGATCCTCGCTCGTTCTACGAGTTGAGCTGCACATAATTGCCTGTAACCAATGTCAGTTAATTTTCCTCTCATCAACGTCTTCCACATGCACATACCTGGGAACTGCCCTTGTCTTGCGCCAATCTTTCCAATCCACCACTCATTCTCGTTCGCCGTGCGTTGCACAACTTCAATCACCTCGCCTGCGCTGAAGCTCAGATCGCCCTCTGCTTGAGCTTCGTAATCGTACAGTGCCGTACATGTCTCTGCCTGAGGCACACCGCTGAATCGAGAAGGCTTGGGCTTCGGTGGTGGGGGCTTGCTCTTTGCGATCGACGACATGCGTGCGAGCCCACCAGATGCTGACCCAGTAGCCGAGTAAGGTGGAGGAGAAGTCGGGTTGTCTTCGATTGACAACTGAGCAGTCGACGATGAAAGACCTGGAGGCGAAGGCTTGGGCTTGCCCTCGATTGCCAGTCTGCCGTACTTGCTGCCAGCCGGTCGGCCCAAGCCCTTGGTCTTGAAGTGCACAATCGTCAAGGCTTCGGCCTGCTGTTGGATCTCTCCGCGCTTTTCCTCGAAGGCTGCCTCGATATCCAGAGTCAAGTTGAAGTAGCCAATGTCGATGCTCTGCATGCGCTCATGCAATGTGTAGAAGACGTTCAGCTGCATATAATAGAATGACTGGAAGAGAGGAAGGATGAATTCGCGCTCCAGGCGGAACAACTCGGGCAGCTCCGTCTTGAGCAGGTCGTTGAAGTAGTTGTAGTCCTGAGTCGAGACCTCGACCTCGTTCTCTGCCTTGTACAGGGCTTTCTCGTCCTTAAGCGTCTTGTCCTTCTTGTCCTGCAGCTTTTTAAGCGTGGCTCGGTGACGGTCATAGTCGAGTTGCTTGTGGTCACGCTTGACTGCCGACTTGCGGACCTGCTTGATGATTTCGAGAAGTTCGTCGGCCGGTTTCACGATGCGAGATTCGATCATCTCCAGTTCGGGCTGCAGCGATGCCTTGAGGTCCTTCACAATGGCCTCGTATTCCTCGCAAGCGCGGATACCCTCTGGGTTGCCATCGACGACATAGGAGCTAGGATCCGACGCACGACCGGAGATGGGTTTGTACAGGTCGGCGCAAGCTTTGGAGAACTCGATCTGGTGGTCCAGCATGCTGTTGATGGACTTGAAGTACTTTTCCGACTCATCGTGGAGGCGTTTTGTTTCGGTCTCGAGCTCGGCGAAGCGAAGCTCGGCGTCAACGTAGACGGGGTCCTTTGTGATCTCACCCATGTTGAACCTCTGCTTGAACTGCTGAGGGGCNNCTTAAGTAGGGTCAGCGCCGGACTGAGAAGATGGTGGTGGTGGTGGTGGTGGGCAACATACACGGGTGACGCTCTTGGTGAAGCCTTTCCAACTCATTCTGGCGGTATTGGTGGTTGGTCAGGGCCGGACTGGCAGGGATTAGGGGAGCGTATGTCGGTAGGAGAGCAAAAGGGTATATCCTTTGCAGAAAAGAAGAGAGTAGAAGGGCTAAGGTATACGCTGGCGGTGCTCGGATGGCTATGGGGCTGCGGTCCGTCTTGGCTATGAGATCCAAAGCGTCGATCTTGTCGGGGCTGGAGCGCTGATTGTGGCTGATGATGCGGGTTTATTTGTGGTATGCACCTTGCCGGTTGCTGCAGTTGCATGTGCTACCTGGCCTGAATGATGTTTTGTTATCGAGAGGGGGAAACTGAAGAGTAGTTGGGTGCCTACGTCGTCGGCCTTGCCCATCCGGCCGCATCATCCAAGGCCAAAAACGTTTCCAGCTTGAGCTTGGCAAATGCGCCGGCTACGTCAATTGCTGGAATTGCATTTGGACCCCTCGGCGTCGCAACTCGCCGATGCTCTGGAAGGCCTTCGCCGTCTTCGGTCGCGCCTTCTTCTCTCGGCCGAGCAACTGAGGGTCAAGTCCGAGCACCTGCCGTTCTTTACTCAGCACGCCAAGCTTCTGACGATCGAGCTGCTGTCAAGCAAAAGTCCAACTGGTGTGACATCTGCTGACTGCAACCCAACACACCTACGATTATAATGTCGTCCTCATTCCCTTGCGTCGCGAGGCAGGCCCTCCACCAGTCCGCCAGACGCCTCTCAACCACCTACCGCCCTCGCCTTCTATCGTCTCGCATCGCCGCCACTCGTTCATATGTCTCCGAGAGCTCGCCGCGAAACGCCACTATCAATGTCGAATCCACCATCAAGGCCGACCAGAAGGCCTTCCTCCAGGAGACTGGCATCAAGCCTAAGGATGCTACCATGCCCACCACGGGCATGAGCGCCGAAGCCATGATGAGTCCTACTGCCGGCATTCTCAAGCAAGCCACCATCATGGACCAAGGAACTCGCCCCATTTATCTCGATGCCCAGGCTACCACTCCCACCGATCCCAGAGTCCTGGACGCCATGCTTCCCTACTTCACCGGCCTCTACGGCAACCCGCATTCGCGAACCCACGCCTATGGTTGGGAGACGGACAAGGCTGTCGAGCAGGCTAGAGCCAACATTGCAGAACTCATTGGCGCAGACCCCAAGGAGATCATCTTCACATCAGGCGCTACCGAGAGCAACAACATGAGCATCAAGGGTGTCGCCCGCTTTTTCAAGCGCGGCGGCAAGAAGAACCACATCATTACCTGCCAGACTGAGCACAAGTGTGTCCTCGACAGCTGCCGTCACTTGCAAGACGAGGGTTTCGAAGTCACATATCTGCCCGTCCAGTCGGATGGCAGAGTCGACATGAAGGAGCTGGAAGCCGCCATGCGCCCCGATACCATGCTCGTCTCGATCATGACGGTCAACAACGAGATTGGTGTTGTTCAGCCCATGGAGGAGATTGGCAAGTTGTGCAGATCAAAGAAGATCTTCTTCCACACCGACGCTGCCCAGGCCGTCGGCAAAATTNNCCCCCTTGATGTCAACAAGCTCAACATCGACCTCATGTCCATTTCTGGTCACAAAATCTACGGTCCCAAGGGTATCGGTGCCTGTTACGTCCGCAGAAGACCGCGTGTCAGACTCGACCCCATCATCAGCGGTGGTGGTCAGGAGAGAGGTTTGAGAAGTGGAACCATCGCTCCTCCCCTTGTCATTGGTTTCGGTGAAGCTGCAAGGATTGCCAAGGAAGAGATGGATGTAAGTTTTTCCTGAGAGAAGCTCATGTGGCACCTGCTGATCCCATCTTTACAGTACGACACCAAGCGCATTTCCGCTCTCTCCAAGAAGTTGAGCGATGGTCTCCTCGCTATGGAGCACACCACTCTCAACGGATCTCCCGAATTCCACTACCCCGGTTGTGTCAACGTCTCGTTCGCCTATGTCGAGGGAGAATCTCTCCTCATGGCCCTCAAGGATATTGCTCTTTCTTCCGGCTCGGCCTGCACATCCGCATCCCTCGAACCATCATACGTTCTCCGTGCTCTCGGCAGCAGTGACGAGAGTGCTCACAGCAGTATCCGATTTGGTATCGGTCGCTTCACCACCGATGCCGAGATCGACTACGTTCTCAAGGCTGTGCAAGAACGTGTTGCTTTCTTGCGCGAATTGAGTCCTCTGTGGGAGCTTGTCCAGGAAGGTGTCGATCTCAACACCATTGAGTGGAGCGGTCACTAAGCCATTCTTCTGTTGTATGGGGAGAGATTGTACAGTTCAAAACTGGGGTTGGGCGTTGAGCATTGCTGCTTTGGACTTTTAGGGGGCAGATTTTTGAGACAGCATACCCGAACGACACGATACACCTACCTTTCTTTGTATTTTTAATCCAAACGGCATCATGAAGAAATACTCCACGATTATGTGCGCTCTACCGTGGCATTTGTTCTGGTCTTGCCGTGTACTTCAGGTCATGGGAGGGGCAGGGTGTTACTCATACCTGAGGAATGGGAAGGTTTCACGACCATGTGATGCTAATATGGTAAGCTTGGAATTAATAGAGGTGAATCTCTTGCTGCATCTATGGATTGTGCGTTTAAAACCCTAAGTGATTAAGCGTGTCGAGGATTTATTTCATTGCCTTTGAAGGTCGTGTGTTGTGTATGCGTTTTCACCTTCACCAGAAGAAACCATAATCATAATGTATACGTTATTGAGAAGCACGAACACTACCTAGTATTCTCCGTCTCCTAACTTTACTGCTACTGTGTCCTGCAATGTCAAAGTGGCTCTGGCTCTGGCTCGCCCTCTTCGTAGGAGATCCACACGCAATTCATCGCCAAATCAGTATTCCAAGCACCACTTCCAAACTGTTTCTTTGCTCCCTAGCCATCGCATCTACCACATACAGCTAACAGAATGGACCGCTTGCTCAGTGGGTATGTTACGACCTTATCTCGGCGACACTTTGTTTATTTCCGCACAAGCAAGCCATGTAGTCAGTATGGATGACCATCATGAAGGAGTCGGTGACCGAAAGCCACTGACGAAATCAATGTCTCTCACGGGTCATACCGAGACCAAAACGTCTGTATCTTACAACGAGTCGCCCCCTGGCCCGCAGAAAACGGACATTTTGTCTCAGCGAAGGACTCATCTCATGTTCCTGGACGTCTAGAAGGATAGCGCATGAAAGACCAGAAATGAGAGCCTCCTAACCAAACCTCTGCTCCATCGGAGAATTATTGCCTTTTTGAGTTCTGTGTGGCTGGCGCGACAGCAGAGTTTCAGTGCCACTGTTTCGCATGGCTGCTTGCCGTCCCGTGTCATGACCCTCTTCCAGCTGCGGAACAAGACCCAATGCTGTGGACTGGCCGCGACGAAACGGGATCCTTCGAGGCATGATAGCGGCAGATTGCAGCATGGGGAGGATCGCTGATCTCCATAAGTATATCCATATTCTGCTTTCGCGCCCACAGCCAGCGGGTGCATGGTGGTTATCTTTCCATATGCAAGTTGCAACGTTGGAGAGTGGGGAGAGCATGTCATGGGTACTGGTGCCGCATCCGCGCGCCTGACCTGCAAGCTGTCATGTTGCAAGATGCTTGCAGTCGATCACAAAGCTTGGTAAGCTCCAAGGAGAACAAGCAACGTTGTTTTGAAATGCGAATTTGCTGGTCGTCTTTTCTGGATGTGAGGCTGTTGTAGAGTAGAGCATTGCGAAACATATCCGAGGTGACAGGTACGGTGAACAGTTTCGCTCCCGTCACTCTAACCACGTCTCATCTTGGTCATGCTTCCGTAGCGGGTGAGTCAGGGTGTACTCAGTACGAGGTTCTCGGAGACGTTGCTTTGGGGGTGTGTTGTGCGCCTAAAGGTCTGGCAGCGTGCGATAAGACAATCCTCCAACTGGCCCAATCATGGTTTCATCAGACTGATGAGGCAGTGGATTTGACAAAAGAACAGTTGCTGAAATGACTTAAGCAACGGCCCAAAGATCGGTGAAAACGATTGACCCCGACGATGCTTAAAATTAACTATAAACCTTAGCGGCGGACTAGCCTCCCACGTCGTGAAAGAGGGCATGGAAGACATGCACTTTCGCTAGCTTCAACCGTGGGAACAGTTGGAAGCTTACTGCCCTGAATGACCTATCTCTCAAATACCCTGAGTTTCCTTTGCGCGGTTCCTTGTCTCTTCTCCTTCTATGCCTCTGCAAAACACACAGCGAGATTCGACGTCGCAAGAAGCGCTCATCTAAACCACGCCGGACTTTGGATTCGAAAACTCACCTGGAAACCTGTCAAAATCGCCACAAACTGAAACGTTACCAATATCAGCATACGACAACACGGAATCCTTACCGCAGATCATTGGATCACTTATTTCCACCCTCTGCGATCAAACTATTATAAACCCCACCGCCCCTTCTCTACTGGCTGCAGAACAATAAATATATACAAGACATTTCTGTTGCGATCATCCAAGCTTTGCTTAAATACCCTGACACTTGTCGCTCGACATCGAATGCGAGTGATGGCGGCCAACGAGGATACACCACTGCTCCGACGCTTTTCCATTCCGCCAGCCTTTACTCAACCTGGTTGCTACGAACAAATGTCTGACAAGACGCATATTGAAGAGGGGTATAATGCGCCTGCGTGTAAGTCACCTGAACAGCTCTTCATTTATCAATCTCTCAATCCTCTACTTCAATACATATTTACCCAGTTGTCCTGCCTCACATCCCACGCTAAATTCTATATACGTCCTTTCCCATTCTTCCAGACCATTTTCTCATTACAGTTCTCNTCAGGCACCTTCCCGTTTTCAAGAATGGCCACCACGAAACATGAAGACCCTTCACATCCGCCGCGCATGCCTCAGGCGATAGCTCACCGCGGCTACAAAGCCAAGTTTCCGGAAAATACCCTCGCCGCCTTTGCCGGTGCAATCGAGGTCGGCGCACACGCAGTAGAGACAGACGTACACATTACCAAAGATGGCGTTGTAGTGTTGTCCCACGACAACACACTAAACCGCTGCTTTGGACGCCCGGAAAAGATTATCGACTGCGATTGGAGTTTTATCGCGCCGTTGCTGACAACCGAGGAGCCCAAACAACATATGCCACGACTTTCAGATTTACTGCATTTTCTGGCCACCGAGGAACGTAAAGATGTTTGGGTATTGCTGGATGTTAAGCTGGACAATAACCCCGAAGACATTGTTCGTCTTATTGCCAGCACAATTGCTTCTGTGCCTGCATTATCAGATCACCCTTGGTCGCAGAGAATAGTTCTCGGTTGCTGGGCAGCAAAACACGTACCTCTGTGTCAACGTTATCTACCTGGTGTCCCTTGCACACACATAGGCTTCTCCCTCAGCTACGCCCGCCAGTTCCTCAACATCCCAAACGTGGGTTTCAACATGTTGTTACCCATCCTCATGGGCCCCGGCGGCAAAAAATTCCTCCACGACGCAAAAACCGCAAATAAACCTGTTCTCGCATGGACGGTCAACGAGACCAAAAAAATGAAATGGTGTATACATAAACAACTGGATGGTGTAATCACCGACGACCCCAAGCTTTTCCTCGAGGTCTGCAACAATTACGACGGCAGAGAAAAAGTCGCACTGGGTTGGAGGATCTGGGTTGATGTGCTCAGGATATGGATTTTTGCGAGTGTGTTTGGCTTTTTGTACCGTAATCGATTTGCGGGCAGGACGAAGAGTCAGGTGCAAGTTGTTTGACTGACCGGTGTGAGGGACACGCAAGATTGAGTTCTTGGTTCCTGTTCTTTTTGTTGTTACACATCACTTTTTTGTTTGGGGAGCGTTGATTGTTTTGTTCTTCTTTTTCTGGAGCGCTGTTTTCCTTTTCTGCATATGTGGTTGGCGTTTGTCGTGTTCCAGAGAGGACATGTTCTTTTGTCTACACTCTGCCTCTTTCATTGCATTTTCTCGGTGGGCAATTTCTGGAAAGCAGGCAGCAAAGCCTACATTTTGTACATACAGATATAGAAGTTCATGTATCGCGAAGACCCATTCATGATACATGATTTCCTTACTCACAAACAAGGACAGTGGATATAGTGACAGGGGGGTTTACGTATTATGATGGAAAAATCTGTGATTTTCAAAATTCGAATCGAGTGTTGCAATAACAAGGAACATCATGAAATCATCAATAGATATATGTCTACATTTTAGCTAGACTCCAGACAACATACCGCAAAGCCCATTACTTACTACATACCCCACCTCTCCATTTTTTCCACTGTACCCAAATGTTGCTCGAGTGGTTTGATTCTGGCAAACCCCTTGTTGCAACCCCGCTTGCAAGAAGACCAAATAACACTTTCCATCCCTTCCCGTCCCCACCGCTTCCCAAACACTCCAGAGACAGTTTTTGCTTGATTGTATGCAATGTTCGCAACATTCTGCTGCAGTCCCAGTCTCCAATTTCTCCATCTCTTGACCAGGGATACCAGAAACACCGTTTATGCGAAGGAAATTGCTGGTTTGGGATAGCAGGTTTGGGGTTGCGCAGGCGGCGTGGGAAGTTAGTGCCGTGGTGGCGTGTCGGGTTAGTGTTGTTGTGCTGATGTCTGTTTTTGTCCAGGTGAAGGAGATGGTATAAGGTGTTTTTGTGACGGTGGTGGTGTTTGTGGTGATTGATGTTGTGGCAAGTTCAAGGGGTATTGCCGGTGTTTGTCTGTTTGCGCTGGATACGCTGGAGCCAGAAGATGTATTACTGGCAGAGGGTGTACCAAGAACAGTACTGGTGATGTAGCCATACACCGTCCGATTCTTGAATACCGTTTCTGGCGGCAAAGTCAAGGTGGCTTTTGCAGTTGCTTGCAGCAAAAGCACTTCTGTAGTGTGGATTGCCACTTGCTCTTCACACGCCACCTCTACCGCAAATCTCCCTTCTGTCGGCTTGACTAGTATCGGTCTTGCATCCTTGCCATCTCTCTCATTCCTGTGCTCTGCCACAACACTACCATTTCTCACACCCACAAAGTCTGTGGGCGCAGCAATAAACACCGTGGTCCTGCTCGTCAAGTACCGGAACTTTGTCCTTGTCTTTGTGACCGTCGCATGCTTCCAAAAAGTGCTGGTTGCGATTTTCGTCGCCGTCACAANAAAGGTCCCGTTTACTGGTTCTGCGGTCACATACTTTGTTTTTGTGGCCAGCACACTGAACAGTGTGGAAACTGGGTTTGGAGTGACGGTGATGGTGGAGGAAGTGTAGTTGTGTAAGATTACCGGAGAGAGATCAATTGTGTTTTGGAGTGTTGTGGTTGTTGTAGGCAAACTTCCAGAAGGGGAGGAAGATGCATAGATGGTAGAGCAGACCAGAGTCGTTGATGTGGCGAGGTGGGAATCGATTTGAAGCGCCCAAGTCGTTGGAAGCAGTATTGACCAGGCGAGTATTGCGTTGTTCCACATCTTTGTTGTTCAGTCTTCCGGAACGCCTTGTTGGGCGACAGAACAAGAGACAAGTTGATATTGAGCCGAGTCTGGTAAACGAACAACAAACGATAGCAAAGTGCAATATTAGAAGTGATGTGAACAGAGAAAAACAAGGGACAAACGCAAAAAGTCGTATATCTTACCTAGAGAAATCGTCGTTCATCTTCTCCTATTCCCACTCTATGCTCGGTATAAGGGTTGGATAGCTGCAACGGTTCTCCTGGAAACGTTGTATTTACCGTGCAAATTCGTTGTCTACGGCGCCCCTCCCATAGCGGCCCCTTGGTCCACAGAGAGGCAGGGCCGCCATCAAGATCTTGGTGAGTGGAACATGTTTAGAATCTGTTCCTTGTTTTTCTTTCAGTGGCATGCCGTATGAGGTGAGTTCTCACGGTATCGCCGCCCACCACGAAGCCTCCGGAAATGTCGTTACATCGCCGAAGGCTTCGGCCGGTCACTTTTTATTTCCTCCGTAGCCAGTGACTACAGTAGCCATATAAAGGACTGTTATTCACATGTACATGTCTGCATCGAACATCTTCCAGACATAGCGACAAACGCCTGCGAAAGCGAATGCTAAGCCATCAATCGATTCAGAAAAGTGTCAGACTTGTGAGCCGCACACGCAGTTGCAAGTTACAGACAACTCCTCCTCGAATAATGCTCGACAAACAAGGTAAGCGTACTTTACCAAATCACACTCGATATCTGTATAGACTGAGAGGCTCGGGGGGAGCAGAATCAGGTGCGAGATGGCAAGACCGCTCCATCACCATGCAAGGCACACTAAACATGCGCGATCTCGGAGGCCTTTGCACGAGTGACGGGCGACGCATCATAAAAGGCCGTCTGCTTCGAAGTGCAAACCTCGCCCAAATCACCAGCAACGATGTCACGAAACTGGAACGACTTGGGGTGAAGAAAGTCGTAGACCTGCGCGGTCCAAAGGAAGCTCTCGACCAACCCGACCATGTACCTGCAGGTACGGCAATCATCTCAAGTCCAATCATCGGCAGCAACACCGGCGACGAAATCAACGACTCCACTATCCGAAAACTAGTCATTGGTGCAGGACTCCCGGAATCAATGCTCGATGTCGCCGAAGTCACCAAACATGGTCCATACTACCGCATGCTCTTTCTCGTAGACAGTTATGGCACAAAAAGCCATACATCACGATTATCCAGATACCGTCCTTTTTTCCACGCTGTCATCGATCTAGCGCCCGACGAAACAATCTTGGTACATTGTACTGGAGGCCGCGACCGCACTGGAGTGGGAATAGCACTACTACTCCGCGCACTCGGAGTGTGCCAACAAGACATCGAAGCCGACTTTGTGGCTTCAAACCATGCCCTCCAGCCCGAGCGCGAAGACCCAAACTCGACAGCTTTTCTGCGGTTTCATGCTGCCAATGTGTTTTTGCAACCGCCGACCAACAAACACTACCAACAAATTACAAGACAACTCGGTGCTTCTCCAGAGATCATCAGGGATGCTGTGAAATTGAGAGTGGATCTGCTGAGGCTCATGTTCGAGTCCATAGATGCTCAGTATGGTTCTTTTTCTTCGTTCCTCGAGAGTCAGTTGGGAGTGGGTCCGCAGGAGTTGGAAATCTTGAAAAGCAAACTTTTGGCGTAGGAAGGGTATGATCAAAGAGTGTTTTGGTTTATTCAGATTTATGATTGATATGGCAACTTTTTTCAACTCACTATAGACGCTCGGCACACAAGAGCCATCCCTTAGCAAGGCACAACCACTCACCAAAATCTTGAGAAGTTACGAGTAATCACCACCTCAAAAACAAAACGACAACACCCAAAGGTCGGTTGTGTCGAGGAGATGTATGTTTGGCGTGGCCAGGGGCTCAAGAGCTCAAAGCCCCTGCCAAGACAAGGGTCCAATCTCGACCACCAAGGTCATGACAGCATGTCGACTCGAGAATCAAAGAGGGTCATCGACATCAGAGGAGAGAAGCAAATGTACATTGGATATATGCAACGAAACAAAGGTTGCTGCAGAGTTCAAGATACCGAAAGAGAAGACAAGTTCGGTCCAGACTCCATCAATCTCTGTATCAGGAAAAAAAAAACACCAAGATACGTAAGAAGGTTGTAAAAAGAAACGCCAGTCGTGGGTAACAACCACATGTTCCCCTGTCCCAATAAAGAAGAGTTGTATCTGTCTTCGTATGCAATTGCGCTTTTTTCTCTTTTCTCGTCATGAACAAATCATATTCCCAAAACTCCATTGTACTTGGTGAAGCAAAGGGCGTTTTTACATAATAATCGAGGGAGTATCGACGTTGGCCTTGATGCTCTTGTGAGGGAGGACACNTGCGAGTGATGTTAGTTTTCGCAAGTCGGGAGGGAATTTTGAGGAGAGTGCATACCTTCCACCGTTGACGTAAATCTCATCGCCAACGGTCACGTCGTCACCGAGAACGCAAATGTTCTCGAGACGAGCCCAGCGACCGACAACGCTGTTCCAGCCAACGATTGTGCTCTTGATCCAGGCGTGCTCCTTGACCTTGGAGTTGGAGAGGAGAACACAGCGCTGGAGTCTGACACCGTCTCCGATGACACAGTTGGGGCCAATGACGACGTTTGGACCGATCTTGCAGTTGTTTCCAATCTTTGCTGAGGGATCGATCATGACGTTGCCACCGTGAACATATGACTCGGAGGTAGATGTGAGCTCGGGGCTTTTCTTGCTGGTGAGGGAGGAGAGGTACAGGCAAGTTCCTGACAGGAAATCCTTGGGCTGACCGACATCCATCCAGAAGCCCTCAAGATCGAACGAGTGCAGTTGCCCGTCCTTGGTCATGGAAGGGAACGTCTCTTGCTCGATCGAGGTGGGGCGGAGTTCGATGCGCTTGAGGACGCTGGTGTTCATGATGTAGATGCCGGCGTTGATGCGGTTACCGACAAACTCGATGGGCTTCTCGACGAAGCGGTCGATGCGGGAGGCGTGGTTGGGCTTGTGGACAACGACACCATACTTTGATGGCTCTTCGACCTTTGTGACAATGATGGTACCCTCGTCGCCGTGGGCCTTGTGGAAGTCGGCCAGTTGCTTGAAGGGGTAGTCGCAGATGACGTCCGAGTTCAGCACGAAGAAGGGAGTGTCGTCCTTGGCGAGAATCTTCTCGGCGAGCTTCAGAGGACCAGCGGTGCCCAGGGGCTCGGTCTCGACGGAGAAATCGATCTTGACGTTGTATTGTTGCTCNNGAACTGGGAGATGAGTCAGAGCTGGGTAGGCTGCAGTGAAACGGAATGGGTACCTTTGCAGAGCAGCAGTCATGATCTCGGGACGGTAGTTGACGGCGAGGACAATGTTAGTGACACCGGCTTCGGCAAGGGCAGCGATTTGGTGCTCGATCATGGGCTTGTTGGCAAACTCGACCAGCGGTTTGGGGAGAGTGAGAGTGAGAGGACGCAGACGGGTGCCGAAGCCGCCGACGAGAATGAGAGCTGTATGGCATTGTCAGTCTTGTCGTCTCCCAGAGGACATTCTCTCGAGGCATTGAGAGGAGAAGGGCGGCTACTCACCCTTCATGATGGATCAAGTGGGGTGAGGGTGTTGATTAGAGTAAAGTGCAGCAAGAGTCGATTGACTGAAGACGATTGAAAAGGTCGAGAAGCGAATGGAGGAAGAAATTACAAAAGACAATTCGGTCAAAGGATTACGATCGAGGGGCTGACGACGGCGCTGGGCCACTTTAAACAGCTGGCCGAGTCGCGAACAAGGGGGACTGAATCCCGCCTGCTTGGCGCTGTATTCGGAGCATCCCCTTGCTGCTAATTTCGACCCAACGGCGCCAGCTCTCTCCTGATGATACGAACACGACCTGGAGGCTGGCCCAGACACGAACCCCTTTCCGCTTGAGGAGGAGAAAAGAACAATTGCCCTGTGACACCATGTGCGCTCACTCTGACACCCGTTCGTGAAATTCTTAAATGTCTAAATCTGTATGTAGCATGTAGCTCCCCTACACCCTGGATGCGCCTGCAACGCCGCGCCCGACAAATATATATTCTGATCATGCACTTTACTCGTTGTAGTGGTATACAAAGTAGTTGGGCACGCCCCAACTGCTCCATCCCAGCCGCTTGGCCATCTTTGCAAATCCTTCCGTCTCGATGAGATGGTAGAAGGGGAACGGCGGGAACATGGCCCCGTCTCTGTGAACATCGCCCTTGACGAGCAATGCTGTGCCACCGACACCATCCAGGTTGACAATGTCCTTGGGGTTGCCACCGGGGTCTGTGAATCTTGTTAGCCGATTGCTTTGCGTGTCTTCAGGGGTCCACGTACGGCTCATATATGCCATCAAACTTCTATATGTGGCCATTTCGGCATAGCCCTCGAGCAGAATCTCGTCGGGTCCCATCTTGGAGGCCAGATTCTGGGCAGTGGTGCTGTCAATCCAGCTGTTGAAATCATAAGGTCGAACATCCATGGCGCCCTTCTCCTTGTCGTAGAAACGCTGGAAGCAGTTGGGAACAATGATGGGCTTGTCAAAAGCGGCCAAATCTTGGATCAACGAGTGAGGAGTCTCGACAATGTCCGAGTCGAGCCAGAGGACCCATGAAGTGGTGGGGCCGAGGGTTGTGAAAAGAAGNNGAGCGTTTCTGGCGCGCGACATTGCGGCGCGGCGCTCTTTCTGGGCAGACATGGCATGGCGGTCGTGCTCTGACTGCGAGGTGAGCGGAGGCTCGTCTTCTTGACGGAGGATGGTAATGGAAGCGAAGCGCTTGCTGCCTGCTTGGGTCCTGGCAATCTGTTCCTGGAGCTGAGCTGTTGCAGCATTACCCTCGCGGCCCTTGGGGATGATGAAGCCCAAGCTGATGAGGTCGTGAGGATATGACAGAGCAACCAGGTTGGTCCAGTACTCTTCGTAGAAGCGGGCGAGGGGAGTGAGGATGAGAACACTCTCGCGGTTGCCGACAGGATCGGGAGTGTTTGTGACGTTGTTCATGTGGTAGTGGACAACTGGCGGAGGAGGAGGCTTTTCGCCGGCCTTGAGATTCGACTTGAAGAAGGGGAGCGAGGGCGGAGAGAGGGGATTGGAAGCGGGCATCTTTGACTTGAGCAGCTGTCGCGCACCGGGGACATGTAGGGCGGGACCAGCATCTGTTGAGGAGAAGATGAAGACGAGGAAGCCGAAAGTCAAGAGGCCGGCCAGGACCAGGGTGATGGGATTGGTACGGCGGAAAGAGCGTGCGACGGCCATGGTGGGCGCTGAAAGGAGACAGTTAGCATGCGGCCAAGTTGTATGTCGGAGAAGAACTCACGAAGGGGGACTTGTTCCTTGTGGCTATCGGATGCTGAGCATAACTCGGCGTGAGAGGTGCTGGTACAACAGAAGCAGAGGATACACCTCCTGGAGAGAGAGAGAGAGAGAGAATTACGACGAGAGATTCCTGAGGACAACGGAGGTCCAACGCTTTTGCCGACGCGAATGCACAGCCAGCAGCAACGACAAAGCAGCCAACAGCGCACCAACTCGGCGAGCTCCAGCCAAAAGTTGCGGAGACGCCGCCAAGGGGGTCAGACGCAGCTCAGGAGCTTGTTTCAGATTTCGTCTGTGCTTGCGACTTTTCGAGCGCCATCAATCAACGTCACCATCGCTCTTTCCTGAACCCGAGGAAGATGCACATTGCGCCTTCCTGACAAGACGAGGACAATGTTGCGTCGCACTGCACACACCGCCGCCCTAACGCCAGCGAGGCATTGCCTGTCACGGCGCCAGCTTTCTCTTCAAACCTCTCGCCGTCTCAGCACCACCATCCCGCATAGACTGGCCACTCCGACTTCTGCTTTCGCGCCAACATGGGACAAGATCAAAGAAACACTGAAGCCTCCGCTCGATCAATTCAGGCCAAAACCTCGCCCTTCCTACACCACTGATTCACCACACTCGGATCATTTATTGCGCACATGCACCGTCCTGACTTCGGACCCTACCAAGACGTCCCTCCAAGAACTACTCGATCGCATCCCGCACTTCCAACAAGGAAACGAGACTGGCCTCTTTACAGACTTTCTGCTTCTCGTCACTCCCTCGTACGCCGCAAGCCTGCGCAAGCAGAGCCATGTCATCGAACAAGCCTTGACGCGCATCTTTCCTGTAAAAGAGTTGGACAAGGGCACACACACTACTTTCGGAGGAGATTCCAGAGAGGCCGTCAGACTCGTCGCTGCTGTCGTCGACAGGCTGCCAAAACCCTCTGATCTGTCTGCTTCTGCTGTTGGTGATACTGGCTCCGAAGGTATTGCACTACGCTTGATCGCCAATGACAACCCCATCTGGAAGCCCGAGCTCGCCGTTGGCGATGTTCGTCAACCTATCCTTTCTGACAACAAGTTTCGTTTCCTAAGCTTCCACCTCAATGATGCATCCACTCCCTCTCACATGCTCCCCATCGTGCAATTACCTCTTGCCAACACCATCTTCCACAACGGTCTATCCTCGACTTTGATCTGGCGCAAGTATGCCGTGAAACAAGGTGGAAAGGGTCTCACTCAGATAGACGAACAAGTCTGTGACTCGCACCGTGTCAAGCTTCCCCAGCAACCGGGGAAGGCAGAGCACAACAACTTTGCTCTGTCAGTGCCTCTTGTTCCGTTGACATCTGCCAGATCTGTTGTCGCATGCATGGGAAACATCATCCGTCGCTTGTCTGCCAATTCTGGTCTCGGCTCTCTAGACGACACAAAAGAAGCAATCCTGGCCTCTCACGAACTCGAGCAGTCCGTCACTTCGTATCACGAAACTCGTGGGCTCTCTCCCCGCGCCGTATCTGTCTGGGCTCTGGTGATCCCCGAAAAGACATTTACTGGCGGACTATCCATGGCCGCAAAAGTCCTTGACCACAGAAATCTGCCCGAATTGTGGAAGACTGGTTCCGACCATGATACCGACCCTTCTCAGCCCAATCTCTTGACATTGTTACAACACGGAGCTCGTCTCCACAAAGTTTTGTCTGGAGGCGGCGGCTGGGGCAAGAAGGCTGGCCTTCTTTCATTAGATCCTGACTCTGGTTACGGTCAGCATCCGCCGTGGGAAGAGATTGCACCAGCACAGCAGACAGAGCCCGAGTACATTCAAGGTCTATCGCCTGTACCAACAGATTTACATCGCGTCTGGGGATCTGAGCCCCAAGAGCTTCCTAGCATTGTGAACAAGGGAGATTACATACAGTTCTATATCTCACCGTCAGCTTCTTCGGAAGAACCATTCGCGAAATCCGAGGCCACCACGAATACGCCGACCGAGATCACTTCTGAAGTCAAGACTGTAGAATTTGGCAGTATTCCCAGTACTGTTGACGATATGCCAAGCAGTCACGCATCTCCAGCGGCTGCACAAAGTGTTGTGCAAATATACCCAAATCACTTTGGTGCCCTGTCCGAGACTGGTATTGCTATGTTCTTTGGTCTGCAATCAGACAAAGGACCATCCTCCACTACGCATAATGCTACCGATGCAGCCACAAAGGTCGATGTACCTTTCGGTCGGTTCAGATCTCGATCACGATCTCCAACAGCATCTTCCAAGGCGAAACAGGCCCCGACAGGTTTTGGCTTCTCACCAACGAGACCGTTACAGTCTAGTATGTCTGGCCATTGCGTCCCATGGCAGCTCCTGTAGGTAGTTTATGATGTATCAATTCCAGCACTTCAACCAACCTGACTTAGCACAGGCCAATGTAAGGAAGTTCTTGACGTGCAACAACGAAAGTTTAGTTCGAGCAATGTCTCTCAGGATGAGGTGTCACTTCCGAAGCCCCCTGAGAACACTACTCGGCGACGCACAATCAAGCCGGCCATAGACCCTCGCCAATCTCAAACGACCACGCGAATTCGAAAGATACCCTACAAGGGCTGGAATAATAACGAAGCCTGTAGTGTGACTGAACAAGCCAAGACAGATACCGAACACCCAGAGTTCAGGTTCCGGATCCCGAAGGCTCAGCCAGAGGACGTAATAGATCCGATTCCCGCTCGACCCTTGGTGAGTGATGTGAAAGGTCAGAAACGCATATCCTGGGCCGCGCAAACAATGCGAGACGTCATCTCGCTCAATGCTTTTGAACAGTGGACACGAGACCAGGTTATTCCCAAGACACCTAATGATATATGGTCAGCCCAGGACATCCGCAAAGCCCACACTTTCAAGAAACGACAGTGGAAGTTGCGCAGATCGGTCTACCAGCATCTGGGCTCGAAACCTGCTTGCTCAGGCACTACCCGCAACTCAATATCCTTAGAAGATGCTTCCGCCCTTCAGCACAATCAGCACAATCAGCACAATCAGCACAATCAGCACAAGCAGCACCCAAATTCAAAACCGGCACCGAACACTGTTGCATCAACCATTGCCCCCAAAGCAAAATCTCGACAAGACACGTCCAACCAAAAGACCCAGGAGCAAAACACAGCCACCCTCTCAACCGCAACCAACCCCGCCACATCACGCACACGCACCCGTATCCTCCGCGAAGCCTTCCGCGGCCTCCTCTCTCCCTCGCAACAACGTCTTGCCCTCTCTTACCACCATCAGCACACCTCTGCCTTTTCCCTATACCCTCACACATCTCCACACCAATACTCACAAACCTGATCCTAAAGCTCCTCAGCATACACGAATCCGCCCCCACCTCTCCTCTGACACTTGTAAACTTGCTGCTCCAAGATCCTGCGCAATCACAATCACAATCTACACCCCAAGAGCTGCAACCGCCAATGCAAACAAACCCCACAGAACTGCAGATTGCAGAATTGGTGACTTGTCTCAAAGATTGGGAAAACACAACTCTTGCCCTCGAAACAGCGTTGCGGAACAAATGGCCGCAGGAAACAAAAAAACGACGACTCAAGGATGTGGTGCGGCAGGAATTGGATCAGATACACCGGGTGCAGAGCTGTATTGAAACAAGCTCTTCGACAAGACTAGAGGGCAGCACAAAGGTAGAAATAGAATTAGATCAAAAGTAGGAGCCGTGGGCGAAAAATAATAAGAGGAAAGAGCAAACAGCAAAGAGGGTCAATTGCCTGCTTTGTGGATTAATGTTTTTCTTTTTTGGAATGGAATTTCGTTAATTGTTTGATGATGATGATGATGATGATGATGATGATGGAGAGACGCGGTATATATGTTTTCATCGAGCGCCCAACTTGTCCAAGGCACGAGCACCTTGTTCTTGCCACTCTTGCTTGGATATCCACATGCTTTCCTTGTCGGCCATNNCTGTTTTTCGATTCGTGTCAGTCTGCTGTTCAATCATCCACGTTGAGAACGTCCAGGGACTCACAATGTTTGCGAGGACGGCACCGCCCAAGAAGACCATATGTCTTCTTCTCGGTGGGTCTTCTATCCTGACCTTGAATTNTCTGTGTAGAGACAGGTTAGCCGTGCAATTGCAATTCACAGTTTGAGCATCACTCACGCTCAATCTCTCGGGGTTTCCTTGTAGAACCTTGGTGAGCCAGAGTTGCTTGAGTTCCTTTTCCAATCTGCTGGGAAGACCGGGGTACATGCTGCTACCGCCCGAAAGCACAATGGCCTTGTACAGACTCGATCTGACATCGACGTCGGCGGCTTGGATGGTGTTGAAGAGGAATTCGGCGATACCGGGTTGTTCGACATCGACGAGATGGGGCTGGAACAGACATTCGGGGGCTTCGAAGCGTTCGGAACCGACGCGGATGACGCGGCCGTCGGGGAGAGTGTACGACTCGACCAGAACGGTCGTGTCTTCTGAGAGTTGCTTGTCGAGGGCGAGGTCGTAGGAAACGTAGCAGAGCTTCTCCTTGATGGCGCGAACAGTCTCGAAATCGGCGGTTCGGTTGAGGGCGTAACCGCGGCGGGTGAGGAGGGAGATGAGGTTGCGTGTGACGTCTCTTCCGGCAACATCGAGTCTGCGGGTGAGGTGGTTGAGCACAGTGCTCTCGTAGACGGGGACGATATGGGTGACACCATCACCGCTGTCTACGACGACACCGGACGAAAGACCCTGGGCGTAGAGGGCAAGCACGGCCTGGATGGCGACATAGACGCCGCCAAAGTTGTAGCGTTCAAACATGACTTCGGCCATCATCTCGCGGTTCTTGAGCGGGTTCATTGGCGGTTCGGTGAGCAGGATCTTGCGGCCGGTGGGGTCGACCTTCATCTTCTCGAAGAAGGTGTAGTCCCAGAGATGTTGCATGTCGTCCCAGCGCTTGACGATACCATTCTCCATCTGCAAGCCGTCGCGTTAGTACGTGTGGGGGGTGCTGAGAGAGGTCTTGAGCGTGGCGTACGGNNGATAGGTGATTTGGAGCATGGATCTGGCGGCAGCGGCCTCGTCACCGCACATGATGTCCTTGAGCTGGACATCTAGGCCAGCCTGCTCTTCGGTACGGAGGATTGGGCGACCGACGATGGACGGATACTGTTGCTCGGGGAAGTTCTNGCACAAGGTCGGCGTTTCAGCAAGGACTGGGTGGTATGTGGACGTGTATTTAGGTCGGCGTACCTGACCGGCGTAGCCAGCCTTGAGGAAACCCGTTCCGCCATCGAGCACTAGCAAGTATCAGCGCATTGTCCAGCTGGGCGCAGAGGGTGGCTGCGCATACCAATGGGCACTTCAGCCATGTTGAGTGTGTAGTTCGAGTGAGGGTGTAGACTTGTCCAAGTGGTCGACTCCTTGAACCCCGCGAGATGCAGTTGGTGTCCACAGCCCGCCGACCACCAGCCAAGCCCCGGAAGGCACGCGTCATGCTCCGCACCTGCCGACGGCAGAACGCGACAGCTCCAATTGCAGTTCACCGCCTTGAGGGTTTGGGCCGGCCTGTCACCATGTACATTCGTGTCTACTTGTGCTGCTACAATCCTTGCAACATGCTACCCACATATAATCCAGTGTCAATGTCTCTGGTCCATGTAATCCCCTCTGTAAACGCCGCTCAATATCGTTGTTCATCAATGTCTGTTGGCCATCATCTTGGCCTTTTTGCCCTTGGGCTCCTTGCACACATCGCAGAACCATTTGACTGTAGCCTGTGTCAGTAATTGCATCAACAGAGACAAATCATCAAACTCACCGTTATCTCCCGGTACTGCTCGCAGTCCTGTGCATCCAAGGTGGAACCATTCCATCGGGCAGTCATCGTTGTCACATGCAATCATCTCGCCGAAGCTTCCCTGTCCACAGTAGCAGTACTTGGGCTCATCAGGATCCTCTGCTTCATCCACTTCCTCTTCGTCTGCCACGCCCGCCTCCTCGGCTTCAACTTCGACCTCGACTTCGGCTGCCTCGTCTTCTACTTCAGCCGACACTTCGGTTCGTCGAGATGCTGTCGTTCCTCTAGATCCGTTTCCACCATCGCGTCGGTTCCGAGATATAGTTGTAACCCGTGGAGGTTGGCTCCGTCGGATCGATCTTCCGTGTCCATCGTCCTCGGACATCTCCGAGTCCCTGCTGTCGTCGCGACGCCTGCCCGCATCTGGGCTGCGGTTGAAGCTAGCAATTTGTTTGAGGATGTGAGCCCCACTGCCACTCTTGCGTCTTCCTCGGCTTTTCCTGTCGTGTGTCGATCTCGAGTGGTCTGGCGTGTTGCTGCCACGAGAGTGTCCGTTGTGGAGAAGCCTACCTCTAGTCCGCGACATGCCAACCTCGGGGAATGCCTCTGTGCGTGGTGTTGACGTTATCGATCCGCGTCTCGGCCGGACATCCAGACTGGTGTCCTCCATAGTCACGTCTTCATTCTCCAAAGGCTCGGGTCTGCGTTTCTGTACAGCGCTCTCGGCCTGATCAATCTTCATCTTGTCTTCTTCCACCTCTTCTATACTCTCATGCGCCTCTTTGCTTGTTGTGATCGAGGGTAATATCGACTCGGCAAGCCCGTTCGTACTGCCATTGACCGATTTGTTATCGGCCACCGATGCTGGACGACTGACTTCCTTCTCCGGAAGCAGCGAGTGCTGTAAATTCGACGTCGAGTTCGAGTTTTGGCGCATGCGAGACGAGGTAGGTCTGGATATGGTTTCGGCTTGTAGTTGTGCATTTCCAAGCACGGGCGACGAGTTGGGGAGCCTTGGTGAGTTTGTGATTTGGTTGAGGGCGGCGTTCCTNNACCAATCGTGTTAGCTGCCGTCTGCACTGTATGAGATCCAATCTTGTGTACCTCTTTTTCCAGCCCCAGTACCAGGAGCGGGACCTGGCTTGCCCTTCTTTTTCGTCGCCTCTACTGCCGGGGTCGATCTTGGAGTTGTGTTGCCAGCACCTCTGGCGGCCTTGGCCACGGTGCTCATGTTGCTCGCCGAACGCTCCATGGCCGGTGCACCAGCGACAGCAGGAGCCTTCTCAACCTTTCGTCTCTTTGTTGTGGTGACGCCAGCTGTGCCATTGGCAATCCCCAGCCCGCTCGCTTTTGGTTCCACGTCGGCGTTCTTCCGCGACTTTGCAGTCTGCCCTCTTTTCGTCGTCGGACGGTCGTCAAAGTCGGAGTCGATGGCTTGGGCTCGATTTGTCTTCTTGGTTTCGCGTCTAGCTTCTCCCCTTGCTGCAGCAATGTCTTGGTCGTGAACTGCTGCTGCTGCAGCGGCGAGACTGCTTGTGGCAGCGACGTCTCTTCTGTTGCGCTCGTTCTGTGAGGTTGTGGTCTGTTTCTTGGCGCGATTGTCTTGGTAGGCCCAGTGTGTCAAACTACCCAGACGCGACTCTTCGCTGATCTCGTTTTCGATGTGGGGCATGACGCTGTCGAGACGAGCGAGCTGTTGGGCGAGTGCGCGGTTGGCTTCTGCCATGACGACGTTTTTCTCGTCGAGGTTGGTGATCATGTTGCCGATGACATGGCGGAGGGATTGGAACTCGGATCGCCTTGCGTGGTCGGCTTGTTCGTCTTGTTGCGACTCGAGATCGTCTTGAACGCGTTGGTCAAAAGTGGTGGGCTGATTGCCGTTGATGACGGAGCCAGCCAGACTGGCTGTCGCGCTAGGAGGGGCCGTAAAGGATAGCAGACGAGGAGAGGAGGGTTGGTTGCGAGATAGAGGAGCGGGCTTGTTCAGGATGCTGGATGTGAGAAACTTCAGAGCTTCTGTGGGACCGTAAACCTTTGCTTCGACCTCTTTCATCAGGGTGATATGGCGTTGGACTTCACGTGGAAGAGCAGCGATCGAATCGGCAAAGTACTGGACGGCGGGAAAGAAGCCTGGCGGGTCAGGATCTTGGTGGTCATGGTTGTCGAGCTGGCCGAAGGAGCGGGCATAGTAGTTGATCGGTCTCGAGGTCGTTGTTCGCGGCTGACGTGCGGATTGGCGACGGCCAGTGTTTGTATCGGTGGTGGCTACCGAGGCCTTTCTGACAGACGAGGTCGGCGGCATGGCGGCTGCGTCGACGGTGCAGCGCGAGGAGAGTCGAAGAGACGTTTGACGCAGTGGCAGAAAAAAGCAGTCGTCGGGAGGAGTCAGAGGGATCAGACAGCGTGCTTCGGCATGGCAGAAGCGTACGAGGGCGTGAGTGGAGAGTGCTAGTGGAGAGAAGACTGACACAAGCGCAGATGGGAATTGCTTTGGCTGCTGCTGCTGCTCATGCTCTTGTCTCCGCCTTCGCGATTAGCGTCGGCCTCTGTGAGCTCCGATGGCGCGCCCTGACTCGGGGACTGCTTGTCTCACCGCTTTATGACGCGCACCTTCTTACTCCAGTTAGCTATCCTTCTGCCTACCACAGACCATATCTTCCACCAATCCTCACCCTAGAGCCGAACATGTTACCAATCAGCGTCTATTGCTTCATCTCGTTGACATCTATAAGACCACGCAGTCCAAAAGTAAAGCTGTTATCCGCATCTCCTTAGGCAGCCGTCAATTGAAAGGCGCAAGGTAGGTGTATATCTTCCCTCGATCCTGAACACATTCTCTATTCCCTTTGCCTACACCACACCGATACAACTCATCTACCAGAGTTTGTCTTATATACAGCTACAAGAATGTTTTATATCCTTTTCTTCTAGACTTTTCCATTACTCCTCCTTTACTCTACATCTTTTTCTTGCAGACGACACTATTCCTCTCGAAGCCATGTCAGAAGCAACACTCTCGGAACGTGGGAGAGCCATGGCTCGGACCAGTGTAAAAACGCGCCTTCAACCAATTCTCTCCAACCTCTACCATCCACAGGACAATCCCGAAGGCCTTGTCGACATGGGCACCGCCGAGAATGTAAGTCAACTCCTTTCCAATGACTTCTTCGACTGTCACTGACCTGATTGGACANNGCACCCAATGACCAGAGACGTCTCAAAATTTGCCAACGACAAGATACGAACAACTCCTAATGCTTTCACCTATGGCGAAGGTCCTTGGGGAAGCAAGCGTCTTCGCACCGCCATGGCCAACCACATGAACAGATATTTCCACCCCATCTCACAAGTCTCACCTCAAGATTTGATCTTTACGAACGGCATCACCTCCATGACCGAACTTNNTTTCGGGTACGCCGTGGCCTCGCCCGGCGACGGTATACTCATCTCCCGTCCCTCCTACCAAGCCTTTCCCGCAGACTTTGGCGCCAGAGCAGCACTCAAATGCGTCTTTGTGACTTTTGGCTCCGTCGATCAATTCTCGGTGAACTGTGTGCGCAACTATGAGACTGCACTCCTCGAGGCCAGGGAGCAAGGCACTCACGTCCGGGCCCTGCTGCTCTGTAACCCGCATAACCCACTCGGCCGCTGCTATCCTGTTGCCACAATCATTGCTTTGATGCAGTTGTGCGAGAAGTACAACTTGCATCTACTCGCCGATGAGGTATACGCCCTCTCCGTCTTTGACTCTTCTTCCCCTCACGAGCCTTTTCATTCCGTCTTGTCCATCGACAGCAAGCCCTACATCTCTCCAAACCACTTGCACGTTCTCTACGGCATGAGCAAAGACTTTGCTTGCGGGGGCTTGCGACTGGGCTGTCTATACACCCGCAACACGGCGCTAATGGACAGTATATCCGCCATCTCGCAATTCGGCTGGCCCGGCCCGCTGAACCAACTCTACGCCGCAGAAATCCTCGAAGACGGCATCTGGCTAGAAGCCTTTTTCGCAAACAGCAAAACCGTGCTGAAACAAAAGTACGAGGTTTGTACGCGATTGCTCTCCTCTAGGAATATTTCTTGGTCTGGAGGCGTTTGTGCTGGGTTCTTTCTTTGGGTNGGGTTTGATCTTTACTTCACCTCTTTTTCACTTTCTTTCTCTGATCTCTGATGCGAGTTTCTGCAGATTGACCTTTCTCCCTTCCTTGACCTCTCTTCCCACACCGACCCCTGGGAAGCAGAAGACACACTGTATGCAAAACTGCAAAACGATCACAAAATCTACATGACAAAGGGCTCGTTGTTGCAAGCAGAGCAGCCGGGATGGTTTCGCTTGGTCTTTGCGCAAGAGGATGAAGTGCTGAATGAAGGGTTCAAGAGGTTGTTTGCTGCTATTGGGGTTTGAGTGGTGAGAGTGTAATGTAAGAGCCAGAAAACAAAAGCGAGAGGATGCTATGCGAAGGGAGTAATGTTAATCTTTTGTGTCTCCTTGATTATGCGGTGCAACCTTCAGAATTGCGCAGATTCCCTACAATTCTAAGGCTGAAGCTCCGAGCTGTCGCCCTCCAAAGCAGTCGAACCATTTTCAGCACTACGGCGCCCCAATGCGATACTCCCTTTGCCCAAAAACCACAGCATAACGACACAAGGGATAGCGGAAACGCTGACCACAGCCTGGAATATCAAAGCGCATTTCATGGAGCCTTTGGGCTGCGTGTAAAGAACGCCTTTGAGTGCATCCATAATGATGATAAAGATGGCACCGAACAATTGCCNCCCAGCCCAGCATATTGTGCTGCTCACTTCCGGACTGGCTGGATAAGTGATCTCGACCAGATATTCGAGCGCGCAGGGTAGCAGAGAGAAGGAAGCGGCTCCTAGTATTGCAAACGTGANTCTGTAAGGATGAAATCAGCATGTTTCAGTGCGAAGAGTGGTAGCCACCATCTCGTCCGGTTTACTCACATATGGTCCTGCCACCGTGCGTGTCTCGGGCATGAAGACGAGCAAAACATAGCCAGCCGCTATCAATGGCACCAAAAGCGTGATGGTCAGCAGATATCGTTTCGTGCGGTCGACGAACGGTGAAACGATTGCCGAAGCTCCTAGGCCGACGAAAATCAGAATGGCACCTGCTATGCCGGCGTCTGTCTCGGTAAAACCGTACGGTTCCAAGATCTGGTTGATGAGACTTGACACAGCATTGAAACAGCCAACGTAAACTCCAAAAGCGGTGAGCAGCAGAGAGAAAGCCTTGTTGTCTTTGAGCAGCTTCAGTGACTGAGATATATCAAGCTTCTGTATATCTCCAGAGTAGGAAGGAGGAGTTGGTGGTTTGGAGGGGATGAAGAAAGAGGGCAAGCATGCCACGCATGACTAGGTCATATCAGAATATGTAAACAAGCTCGAAAGGTAAGGGATCAGGCTTACAACTATTGCGGTGTAGAGGACCATATTTGGTACATCTGCCGGGTTCGTGGCCCATATAGGGCCAATGAGTTGACCCAGCGCGCCACCCAGAGGATTGGCTAGCGAAGCTATAGCTGTAGCGGACACCCGCCCAAACAGACCCTTCTCGGGGAACCATAGATCACTATAACGAGTCGGTGCAGCCAGCACAAAGGGTTGAGCGAAACCTATAATGACCTGACCTAAGACGACGACTGAGAAGTGACCATGAGAGCCAGCACGAGTGCCGGCGTACCGGATCCAGTTTCCAATGAATAGCAAGAGGGCGGAAACGACGATTGAGACCTTGGGGCCTTTGTGCAACGCCCATATAGTAANATCTGGGGGCAGGGTATTAGTCGCAAGATGAGACTGGTAATCTAGTAATGTCTGGGAGGCGTACGGAGAAGCAGCGATGAACGCAAAGAGGAAACCAGTACTAAGCCAATTGATAGCACTTTCGGATACTTGGTAGAATTGGGCAGCAGTGCTCGAGACGGCCGAGAAGGTCAACCNACTGCTCGCTATCAGTAAAGTGCGCATCACGATATTCACACAAGCAGTCAAACATACATCCCAGCTGACGATGATATTGAGCAGAACAAGGACAGATAGACCGAGGAAGCGTCGCTTGTATATTTTGTATTGGAGCGGCGTCGCAGAGCCGCCATACTCGACGCCGTTCAAGTCATGTACAGTGGTGGTGGTTGGATTGAGAGGAGCCATTTCGGATTCATCAATACCGGGTTCATCAACATCGGGAAGATGCGAACAAGAGTCTGACGAAGCACGACCATCCATGGCGGAAGAAGCTGGTTATATTGATAGAGTTGATGCACGATAATTGTCACGAGGCGGCGTCTAGGCCATGGAAGCTGATGTGTGCGACAGCTTGGCGTCGATAACCAATGCAACAAGGAAGGAGCGACCTGTTAAGACAAGCCTGAGCGCGGCTATCCTTTCCTGCCCTATAACACAGCCAACTCGTATAGCTATAGAAATGCACAATAGGCTCGAGGAACAGTGCAGCGTCCAACGAGAGGCAGACTTTTGTTAGCTCTCTTTGACATGCGTTTGATGTTGGAAACCACCGTGTCTTTTTGTGGCTCGGAAGTCAGCTGTGTTGTAGTGAGGAAGGAAGATGCCCACGGAGAGGTCCTGGATTCCAGATTTATCGTTGCTGCATGCAATATTTCAAGAGTAGGAATGGGAAGGTGCATCCAGCTGACAGAGAGGCGGCGTTGCAAAGCGACGCGAGTCATGACAAGTGACGTCTTGGTTGTACATTGATAATCCAATCGTCTTTGGCGGCGGCGAGCTGTTCCAACAACCATCACTCCTAGGATCAGACACTCCGTGAATCTCGCTTCGAGAATGTTCTATCTCGAGTCGGCGACCTGCGACTAATCCAGCAATCACAGCCTTTGCCCATAGTCACTTCCAGACCTTCGAATCGAGAGCACAGCGACAAAGCAGCAGAGAGGCCATGTACCAGTCATTCACCGGAGCATCGCGCCGACCACGCCAGGTCAACCTCTCGGGCAAGAACCCAAACCCTTTCGCCGCCAGCAACCCCTTCGGCGGTCCACAGAGCGCAGTACAGAGCGCCCACCAAGACCGACAGCAGCGCCAGAAGCAACGCCAGGAGCTCCACGCCGCCAAAACAGTCCAAAGAGTTTGGAGAGGTCACAATGCGAGGAGAAAGACAAGAGATGGATGGCGCAAACAGTGGGATGCTGCTGATACCACCGACGTCGACGCCGTACAACGCTTGAACGCTCTCCTGCTGTTCTACTCGCCCTCCACCGACACGGACGTCCAACGCCTCGTCGCCTTCGTCTCTGACCACTCGCTAGACACGACTGCGTCGAAGCACCACCTGCGCCTGGAAAAGGCCTGTTTGGATGCCTTGAGCCAGCCGAAGCCTCATCGTGTGAACGACCTGCTAACAGTCTTGACCTTCTTGGCCACCACGATACCACACGAGACATCTCTCATCTCACACGACTACTACACTACCCTCTCCAAGTTGGATCAGTCGTCACATACAAATCTCCGACAGGCTGTAGCCGCNCCCCTCAGCTCACACCTACCCGCGGCCTACGAAGGCTTCGCCGCCGCATACCTGACCACTCCCCTCGAGACTACCACTCTCGATCCTCTTGCCCGTACACTCGACTTGTTCAGACTTGCCCAGGCTATCTCAAATGTCTCTACAACGCATACGCTCGACACGAGACGCCGTCTATGGCTTCTCGGCCACTTTATATATCTCAAACAAGACCACATACGCGCCTCGGACTTTGTACCAGTCGTTGCACACCTTCTTTCTTCCTTGGCCGACATCATTGCTCCAGAAGCCCCTGCCCTGGACATGACCAACAAAGACTATGATCGGCTCGTTCTTGCCACAAATCCTTCTCGTGTCCATCTCAATCGTTTCCTGCGGGACCAGCTTGCGCGCTTAGTCGATAGAGATGCAATCAGTTCTCTGGTCCCACGACCTCTTGCTTCTTCAGACACGTCTATGCTGGACGACACATCAGATTCGCAACTCCTGGCCAGTTATGCCTTGATATTGCTACGCATCTTCCCTTTGCGTGCTGATGATATTCGCATGTGGCTATACGTCGGTCCTCTTGATCAGGCTTATAAAGAGGACACTGTTCCTGCAATTGCTTACTTCTGGAAGGGCATGCGCTCTACCTCCATCTTTACAAGTATATACAGAGATCCACGAGCAGCTGTCGAACTCTTGAAAGCACCAAAGTCGTCTGTCTCTGCTTGGAAGCCGCCTGGATATGAAGCTGAACTCTCCAAGAGAAATGAAGAGTGGCGCGTCATCCTCATCTTCCTTGAGCTCTTTACCTTCGTGCTCAAAATCACGGATGATGAAGAGTTCCTCGGCGCAAAGTCAGGCACCAGTCAGCGGGACAGTAAAAACGCGCTACCCATCGAGGACCTGAAAGACTTGACTGTGTTCTTGAAGAATATGGGCTTCTCTATGTATTTCAACGCTCAGGAGATATCCGAGTCGTTTGAACCAAACAATGAAGCTCTGAGTACGGTCAATTTGAGTCGTCATTTCGGCGGTAAATCAACTGCTGCTGAAGCAAAGCCTGAGGCGCCACCACAAACCGTCTCAGTAGCAGGTACCGTTGGCATGAGTCTTGACTATGTAAAGGGTCTGGTCACTGGCTTACTTCGCTCTGTATACGAACGAGATTCGAGAAGAAACTTCCTACCGGCAGGACACTGGTTAATGACATCTCGACTCGACATGACTAATTTCATAACAGCCGTCGTCAGTGAAGACGAACGACGTCAACAGTTGCAACGACAGGCCGTTGACGAGGAAGACGAATCCGATCAACCTGAGGCGGCATGGGACGAGGCTGAATTCACCTCCCTGACACTTTCGCAGCGAAACTACCAACGCAACAACCGACAAGCCAGCACAGTACGATATCTACAGTCCGTCGCTCCCCGGCTGGAAATTTTACAAAACATGCCATTCATGATCCCTTTCGAGACAAGGGTACAGATTTTCCGCGAATTTGTTCGTCTGGACATGATGGTCCGAAGAGGCGGACATGTAGATCCGGACCTCTGGCGCCATAGAATGGCGTTTGGGTCGCTGGGCGGCACCAACTCAGACGAGATTGGAAAACATCATGCAAGCATTCGCCGCAAGAACGAGTTCGAAGATGCATACAGGCAGTTCTACAAGCTTAACGATGGTCTGAAGGAGCCGATCCAAATCACTTTCTTAGATGAGTTTGGTCTACAAGAAGCAGGTATCGATGGAGGAGGTGTGACCAAGGAGTTTTTGACCAGCATCACCACGGAAGCTTTCAACCCTGAAAAGCTCTTATTCACGGAGAACAGTCAACACTCCCTGTACCCCAACCCGACCAGTGTCGAGGCTCACAAGGAAATGTTGCGACTGTCAGGCTATTCTGAAGATACGGAAGAGCACCGAGAATCTGTGAAAGATCTCTTGCGTCGTTACGAATTCTTGGGTCGTATCGTCGGTAAATGTCTGTACGAAGGCATACTTATCGACATCAATTTTGCCAGCTTCTTCCTCAGCAAGTGGGCTCTGTTCGGTGGTCAAGGCGCCGCGTCAAGAGAGTCCGGTTATAGAGCGTCAGTCAACGACCTGCGTGATCTTGACGAAGAGCTATATCAGGGACTAATGAGCTTGAAGCACTACCCTGGCGACGTTGGCGAGTGGGGCACATACTTTGCCGTCAACAGCACAGTCACCCTTCCTAATGGCCATACCAAGACAATCGAGTACAACCTCGTCCCCAACGGTGCAAACATGCTCGTAAACCGAGGAAACCGTCTTTGGTATATCGCAAAAGTGGCCAGCTACCGCCTCTCGGGCCAATCGAGCCTCCAAACCACCGCTTTCCTCACTGGCCTCTCTAGTATCATCCAACCAAGCTGGCTCAACATGTTCAACCAGAAAGAACTCCAAACCCTCATTGGCGGCGAATCATCAGACATTGATGTCGCCGACCTCCGTGGCAACACTCAATACAATGGTGTCTACGAAATCGGTACAGATGGTCAAGAACACCCCTCTGTTCAGCTCTTCTGGCAAACAATGCTCGAGCTGCCCGACACAGATCGTCGCAAAGTGCTCAAATTTGTGACTTCGACCCCTCGTGCTCCGCTGCTTGGTTTCGGGTCGCTGAACCCAAAGTTTACAATCAGAGACTCGGGAGATGACGAACACAGGTTCCCTACTGCGAGTACCTGCGTGAACTTACTCAAGTTACCAAGATTCAAGAGCAAGACGACATTGAAAGAAAAGCTTTTGTATGCCGTGAATTCTGGCGCTGGGTTTGATTTGAGTTAGGGGGAGTTGCATATTGGGCTCACATGGCGTTTTTCTTATGAGATGTGGGGAGCGCGCAAGTATAAGGATACAATTAGATCAGGTTCAATACAATTCCCTCTATCGAGCAAACAACGCCGTAGATCTTATGTCATAGGCGAGGTGTGTATGAATCAGCCCCTGGCTTCCCAATATTCCGATCCCCAAGCACGATCCCAATAAACATGTGTAATCAAAAATCAGCGAAAATATCGAGACGTTCCGTGCTACAGAGCCGAGGCGCAGTCACTGTTGTAGACGTATTGTGTTGTGCCAATTCTGCAGCATCACTGCGTTGTATGGTAGGGGGCGATGTGCGTTCTTGGGCGATATCGTCCCAAGCAATTCCTTCAANAAAGGGTTGGAGCATGACCTGGTCTGCATCATCTTCCTGAGCCCCGAGACGACTTTCGGGATCACGAAGCAACAATTGTTGCAATATTGACTTGCTATTGTCTTCCATTCCAGGCGGATACGCAGGTTTTTGATCGTCTAGAATTTCGTCGAAAATGGCGTCCATGTCTTCTCCCTGGAATGGACTCTGGCCTTCGAGCATCATGAACAATGATACTCCGTAGCCCCACCAGTCTACTGCTCGGCCATAGGGCTGATCTAGTAAAACCTCTGGCGCTATCAAACCACGTCCACAGAATGTAGTGGTTCTTGACTCGTGCTTTATGTTGTCCTTGCAGATCTCAAAACCCGTGAGCCGGATATGCCCATTAGCAGCGATCAAGATGTGGTCCAAATTCACAGCTCGATGGATGATTCCCCTCTGGTGAACGAATGACAAAGCGTGGCAAAGCTCAGCGGCATAAAATCTTGTTGGAGCCAGACCGAGCTTGCCATTTTGTGAGATGTAAGATTCCAGATCTCCACCAGGCATATATTCAGTCATTAGAATGATATCCTGGTCGGTCTGAAAAGATTCGATCAGACCGAGAACGAAATGGGCTGGTCCTCTTGCAAGCGAAAAGTTTCGGCCCCAGATCTTTGTTGCAGTGGTATCATGGTCTTTATATCTCTTCAACACCTTGAGTACACAAAGTACCCTGGTTCGTCCCCGTGGGGCTTTGGCCAGCCAGATATTGCTCGAAGTTCCGGTTGCGAGATGTTGAAGTACCTGCACGTGGTTCAAGTCGGAGCACATCTGATAACAGTCGCATGTTGTCGTCCTGAGATCCATCTCAGCCATCAAGAACTATATCCGAGAGCTCGATATAGTTATCGGATGCACTTGCGATGAACGTGCACGCCGAGCGAGGATTTGATTGTTCGTGGGCTTCCAGAAGGGCTGCGCGGGGTCTTGAATATATGCCTTGCGGGTTGCGGGCAGAGGCCAAGCCTGGTGTTGCCGCCTCCGTATTCAAAATGACCAACTTGACCAGCGTGTCCTATGCTGTGACTTGCAGCTTGCCCGTCGCATTCATTTGATCCTCTTCCATGGTTTGTAGATCCGAGTCGGTGGCCGCGAGAGCAACGTTCACTGCGGACAAGCCAGATGTCACAGTAAATAAGGTTTCGGGGTCCAGAGGCCTCGTAGGTCGTCTACTCCGAACCAATAGCAGGGCTGGATTATCGAGTCATCGCACGTGTATAGTTCGCCAGTGTGCTGAGACTTGTATCAAAGCCAAGAAACAGGTCTCCGGAGCCAGAAGCCGTGTGCACCAACGTCCATTCGGATACGCAAAGCCGACTCGCGGCCAAGTCGTCAAGCAGAACATGGGTCTAGGGTCAGGAAGGTATCCACTCAAGCTCCGCAGAACACGACTCTCATAGCTAGATGTGAACTTCTGATACGGGTATCAGGTTTTGAGCGGGAGAACAGTCAGTGGGGATAAGTTGGTGCCTGGCTCTCGTCACCCTACCCTTGTTTCTAACGTTTGACGCGTTGTCTTCCGACCAAAGTATATCTCGAAATATGTCCGGACAGAAAGCTAAGCTTGCTCACTTGTATGGGGTGTATACCAAACATATAATTGTACGCGTACTTCAACCCAGGAGACTCGTATCCGGATGCCATTCTGGTGTGATCATTTGTTCTAGGTCAATGTCTGAACAGGAGATTCAAAGATGTGCCATTCCCGCGGCATTGCCAAGACCAAAACATAACAAAGAGAATATTAAAGCAGTCGAGGTGCCATTCACCAACTCTCCTCTTTGATCTAGGTTCGAAGTCTACATCCGCTTCACGAACCATCCACATGTCAACTTTCTATTCGCTTGATTTCCTCTCTTCTCATTAATTGCTTACAAGTATGGCACTCACCAAACTGGAAGAGAGTTTTCGGAACTCTGGCCGCGATCATGCAAAACTGTCAAAACTAGTACCATACTCTGGTCTTATCCTCACTGTCACATGCGTGGTCATCTTCCTTGTCCGAGTCTACGTTCTGGAACCGCTCGTCAAACGCTTCGCCACACAGTACAAGATCCTTGATCAAGCACAACGAAGGAGTCTCATCAATCATTATGTGGCCGCAAGCATCAAACTTATCCTGGTAGTTGTCGCCGTCTATCCTGCGATCATGATCATCTCTGGGCACTGGAATCTACAATCCTCCTTCGGCAGTCAGAAGGTCACTTACGGGGATGTCCTTCTCTGTGTCTTCGAAGTTTTCACGTCAATGTACATTTTCGAGCTCTTCTACCGCGANAAAGTCAGCTATATTAGCGCTGCTCATCACATCGGCGCCATAATCATCACACAAACTGCCACTGTACTGTTTCACGATCCAAAACACAGACAAGACGCTGAACTTGAGTTTATACTCTGCTTGCTCTGGGGTATGAGTAGACGATCTGAACTTTAAATGCTTGATCCTGATAGTGCNATAGGCATCTTCGACATACTCGCCGAGTTCTGGCCACACGCTGCCGTCATCATCTACCGTACTTGGCCGAAGCAGCATACGATGCTGGCAAACATTTTCCTTGCGACTGCAATCCTCGAAGTCATTGGAACTGTGGTGGAAACTATCACCGTCTTCTCCATCTTCTTCTCGCTTTGGAAAGAGTGGACTATCGAGTTCAAAGTCCTGAGTCCGACTTTGCATTTGCTATTCAGGTGTGCGCAGCTCTGGGGAGCAAGAGTGTTTTGGCTCATGTCGCAGCAGCACCGTAGAGATGCTGATGGGAGTATTGCGGAGGAAATCGCGCCAAACGATGTAGTACCTGCTTATCAACGAGAGGCGATATCTGACAAGGAGGAGCCGTACAACGGTCACAAGAATGTCGAACAGATGGCGTGAGCCGCCAGGTCATCCGTCCGAAGTCTGTACAACTATAGAAATGTTGCATCATCGACTAAACGCACTTTAGCACCACTTCTAATCACTTCAATACCTTCGACTACACAGTCTTTTCGTGTGAAACATTCAAGAGTCGAACTGGACGATAGATACAGTCTCAACTCTCAAGGAGCTGCCATGGTTACAAGACGATAGATGAAGCTGGGCAATACCTCAGCACTGCAAATCTGATTACTATGCAAGTCTAGTTGGATTTTGCGGGACCTTTCGACTTGGAGACTCTTAAATGTCATGATCTCGTCCATTGTACGCACCCTTTGCAACAAGTCCAGACAAGAGACCAAGTGGTTTCACCGTACAATACAGGCTGAGCAGAAATAGAGCACACACATTTCAGACCTAGCGATGGATCAGATGGTAGAACAATGCGAAGACATGAGGTCGCTCCATGGCGAGCTAGCGTAGCGATAGACACAGATAGAATGGAAAGATTGTATCTGTGTATACGTGGGCACACGCGAGCCTCAGTCACTTGGATCGAGAATTGTAGCAGTTGAGCCAAGGTGCCAACATCGTGAACGGTGAACGATTGAGAAAGGTATCTCAAGATTAAGAGGAAAAGGCCAAACTGTACGTCTGATCTCGTGATTTGGAAAGCACGCTGTCGTCGCTTCGAATGATTTACGAACCTATGCATGAGTCAATGATATCGTTTCTGGAAGCGTAGAGTCCACAGCGTTGGGGAGTTTCCCCGTCAGTCTGAATTTACCCAATGGAAGTACTCATGTTAGACTGTTCTTCGTTCGTCCATCACATATATGGAGGCACGTCGGCTGGTCAGACCAGCTTCGGCATTGACGGCGTAGATGCCCCCAGAAGGTATGTGATTGGTTGAATTTCGGAATCCTGTCATTGCACTTCAGCTTCCGGCTCAGGAGTACATGTAACGTCGCTGCTACATTACCGTGCTAAATTAGTTATATACAGCGCATGCTACCGTACAAGCATCTAAGCAGGGGTTCGGCGATCAGTCGTTCGACTGATCGCGCTCGATAAATGCCCAATCACAATGTAAGCCATCGAAAGAAAGACCGTTTCATACCCGGACGCCATGGAGTCCTGCAACGGCCATAACGTATTTTGTACCCCTACTCGAAAAAGTGGACCCTTCGATAACCGAGTAGGGCGTGTCTTGATCGCGCAGTTGCAAGCGATCGGGCCGACACAGCGATTCAACCTGAACAGTAGCACCCTGGCGAACACGATCGCACCTCGTTCGGTATGCACATGAACTCGTTCGGTCAACCTTAGCACTAATGGCGTGTGCCATGGAATTTCCGCCATGTAATCTCCGCCATGACACCTAATTAGTTGGTTTTTCGAAAGCCTACTACACTTTAGCTTCTAGCTTGACATACACGTAACGTCGCTGCTAGATTGTCGCACTGATTAGCAGAATGCTCACAGACAGATCTTGCATAAGGTCTATTTTTGCCTCATTAAAGCCAGTGGAAGGATTTCACCTGAGGAATGTATCGCCGCGACCTAAGTCGTCACAAGAAGGGCCGCTATGCAGGCAGGACTTCAACCTGAGCGCCGCGTCTTGGATCATAATCAACTACATGTCTCCTGGGAGAGTGTCTCGGGCCGTGTTCGCCCTACGTTGATTTGGTCGAACCATCAGAGGTATATATATCCCACATGGAGCCACGTCAAAACCGCTTGACAGGTTCAGCTTCTTTGTCGTTGTTCCGGTCCTTGTCAATCTTTGAACAATACTACCATCAAGTCGAGTGTTGGTCAAATCACTCCAAGCACTGATCAGAGAACCACATGGTCGTCATCATGCGACCCGCACTAGCTTTCGCCATTGCTTCCGTCACTCGGCGCGCAGCTGCGATTCCATGCCTTCCTCAAGCCCCTCCACAGATCGGACTTGATCCCCTTCACGCCATGATCTATCGTGGCACAAATGGGTGTGAGGGATGTTCAGAGTCTGTCCAAGTCTTGCTCGGATCTGCTTACCCTGGCATTGAAGTCGTCTTCGCCGGACCAGATGAGGATGTCAAGATCAATGCCGAGACTCTTCGTCATATGGACATGTTTGTCCAGCCGGGCGGCCCGGGTACGTGCTTTCCTATGAATCTTCTCGCAGTCTCTGCTAACACCGCNCCAGACCTGAAAGAAGCATGGAAAGAGGCAAAACCGTATGCTTCTGACGTGCGTGACTTCGTTGCGCGTGGTGGCTGGTACATGGGATTCTGCCTAGGGGCTTACCTAGCGGGCCCCAAGAATGGCTTTGGCCTCCTCCCAGAGGGAGACAGGATCATGAGAGCAATTGTAAGGCCACATTCCCAGGTGCGCGATTCACAGGACGCAGTAATTCAAGTCGACTGGTCTTTCACAACTGGACAGAATCGAGGGACTACCGAACGTAAACGATGGCTATATTTCCAAGATGGTGCAGCATTTGTCCTGTCCGATAATTCCCCAACGACAGTAATTGCCCGCTATTCTCATAATGGAGACGTCGCTGCGACATTGAACGCATTTGGCAACGGGTGGGTTGCAAATGTTGGTCCTCATCCAGAGGCTGATCAGAGTTGNGTGTACGTTTGATGCCCATTATGTATTGATTTCCAACAACTGATCGAGTTTACAGACGACCTTGCCGATGTCGAAAATCCGGACGGTATCAAAAGCGACATTGGTGTTGACTTCGTTAGAGCTACCTTGTATGCCGCTTCAAAGAATACTCTCGGTCCAAGAACGATTAGATCGCCAGCTTTAAGAGAGCTGATCGTTGCAGGAAACTTATAGATTCAGGGGTCAGATCCGATTATCATTATAGATGTCATCAATGTCTTTCAGTGCGTAAAATTGTATCTCGTGTCAGATTGAAACTGTGCATACAACAATAATGAGAAAACCTGCGTCCAGACTAAAAAGAAACGCTTCGATACCTTAATAGTGCCCGATAAGTGATCGAAAATGATGCGAGATTGTTGTCCCCTGCTGGGTCCGGAGTGAGGCTCAAATGTTTGCAAGGATTGAATGCTGGTGATTTATGTGACGTGCGCCGTCGTGATGGAGGTATCCGCTACAGCTTCTGTTTTGACAGTCTAAGAAGAGGTACGTGAGCGAGATGCAGATGCAGATACAAGCGACCATGATCCGATACTGATTGGGGACGTCGTCAACACTTTGTCTGTGCTCGGCTTCGCAATCGATAGCTGAGGGCTAGGGATCGCAAGGCTGTCACTGACTGGCTCTTCCTTTCCCTCGCATATTGCTTTCCAGCTCGGCCGAGCAGGGCGAGCGACGACAGACTCGAGAAACAGTTGATTCAAATCCATGGTAACTCTCGTTAAGCTTACGGTCGAGAATTTACTGGTTTTACACTCCGCGATCAAAGTACAAAGACTTAACGCCCAAAACCTGCACTTGCAGACAATCTTTCAGACCTGTTCACTCAACTTATCCATGTCTTCCGCACATTCCACTGTCCACGGGTGATCTCTACCGTGCTTGGCTACATGGTAATTCAAAAGGGCCTGTTGTAGTTTCCTCGCCTTTGTCTTGTCACCTTGCGCATTTGCAATCTGAGCCAAGCCAGCAATGCCGTCCTGAGTACAGTCATGGTCGAGACCATACTTGGCCAGACTCTTCTTATAAGCATTATCCTGCACCTGCCACGCCTCTTGCACGCGGCCCTGAAGTAAAAACGCGCGCGCGAGGTTATTGGAAGATTCTAGAGTAGCAACTTCATCTGAACCATATACCGCGGCGTTTGCCTCAAGCACTCTTTCGTACAATGGCGTGGCATTCTCCCACCGTTGTTCGTTCTGATAGTAAATCGCCAATTGCTCTATACTCTCAATTGTGTCCACATGCAAAGCACCCAGGACCCGCTCCCTCGTGGCGAGAACCTCCAACTGCAGGTTCTCGCATACATCATCTTGACCCAAGCCAGATAATATGGGAGCCAGATCGTGTATACTGCGTAATGTATCAATGTGTGTTCCTCCCAGTGTTTGCTTCCTGGCTTCTATAATGCCACGTTGTATTTGTTCTGCTTTTTCCCATTGGCCTTTGGATTGGTATTTGAGAGACAGGTCGTAAAGGATCTCTTGGGTTTCGGGGGCGCTGGAGCCGTGAAGCGCAGTTTGGTGGCTTATCTGTTGCTCCAGAGTGGAGAGCTTGTGGATGGTTTGAGCTAAGAGGTCTGTCTTGATCTCATCATCGGCGGAGGGTGCGAGGTTCTGGGAGGAGTCGTTGGCTGCTCCTTTGGTAAATTGGGAAGATAGATTTGTGTTTGGCGATCCATCGTTGTCTTGACTTTGTGATGGGACATTGTCGTGCTGGGCAGTGTTCGACGATGCTGAACGGGTGGCTTGAAGGGCTGTTGGTTGCGAGGTCATGTTGTATGCGAGTTGAGAATTGCGTCTCGAATTGAATAAGTGGAGTGATACGGCGGTCGATAGCGACTTGTCTGACAAAACTATTGTGCGCGCATAATTTTTGCGGGGATACGATAACTAGCCGGAGTGTCTTTTTTTGTTTAGTCTATTGTTTACTCGCGTGTACGATGTACGTCATATGTTTTGACACTAGTACAAAACAGTAGGATAGTATAGCAAGAAAATTTATTTATCCTTCCTCTTAACAACTTAGAAAGTTAAGCTACTATAGGTAGACTAACATAGTAAAAGACATTCTAAGCTATACGATCGTTATCTAGTAACGCAGGAAAGCTCCCGCCTTAAAATATGGTTAATAGGGTAGTATCTTCTAATAAAACTATAACGGTTAGGGTTATAAGCATCTTTTCTATAGCAAGCATACTAACTTTCTAACCTTTGTTTTCTAATCTCTAAGCTATATAATGTTAGTCTAGCATTTCTATTATTACCTAAAACAAACAATAGAGCTAAGTCTTTTACCTTTATATTACTACCTTTTTATAGTAAGGACGGTAAAGAAATCGTTTATACGCTAATAAGAATTTTATTTCTTATTCTTATACATTCCTTAAGCGGTACGATTTACGTTCTTATATATCTATATTGCCTAGTTAGAAATTAGCATACTCTAACACCTTTACCTTAACATCGACTTAAAGCGGCCCTTTAGCTATACTCTTTCTTCTAGCCTTTATTCTCGCTCCTTACTAGTATAATACATACACGCACATCTCCTACTTTTCGTTTACCTATTAGCTAGCTACTCGCTTATAGGTAGCTTCTTTATAATAAGTATCTTTACTATAATTACCTTACTATTACTCTAATAGCAAATAAAGTAGTTAGGTAGCTACTTCCGCATATACTAGTATAACTACTATTTACTTATAAAAGTAGCAAACATTTGTAATAGCACTACTATATCTACTTCTTTCTTCTACTAACTACACTCTCTTATTATTACTACCTTTACCTCTCTCTTCTACTCCTTCTTAAGTAGCAACTATTCTACTACATTCTTACTTAGGACTAATCGTATAAGCTAGCCTACCGTTAACATAGTTAACCTTAATGGTTTAGAGGTCGATAAAGAGGGCTTTATAACCCTTAAAGGCACTACTATAAGTAGTAACGCCTAGTAATTCCGGACGTCCCTAACCTATACGATCTAGCTTATAGAGATCGGCCTCCGCCTTAATAACGCTTAATAAGAGGTTATAGCCTTACTAGAAAGAACCTCCGCTATGCTAAAAAACCGCTATAATAAAGATAGCATACCTCGCTACCTTTAGTACTCCTACTACATTAAAGCTCTTCTTATTTAGTCTTAGTTTATATAGGCGGCTAAGCTAGATAGATTAGAAATGCTAACGTATTAGTAGTTCCTTTATTAACTAGGATAAAGATGTTATCTATAAGTATAATTAGTATAATAAGATAATGCGTAACGATAAGTATAGAAGAGGTCCCTTTAAGGTATAAGTCGCATAATTTTCATTCTTACCTATACGATCTAACTTAGAGAAATAGGGCTACTACATTCTAGAGGGCTACTTTAATAACGTCTATAGTAACTATCGCTAGTAGGATAAGAGCGCTAAGTATAGCTATAACATTAAGAACATCTAGAGAAAGGAGGCTAAGGCTACTACTACTACTAAGCGTAAGGTAGAGAGTCGTATAGTTAGAGGAAATGGTCGCCCTTCTTATATCTCTAGAAAACTAGAGAGGCTTAGTATAACTAAGCATAATAAGAAGTACGGACGTAAGTTAAAGAAGTAAATCTAGAGCGAAAGGTTATAAGAAAAGGGCAGCGATATTTTTAAGGCGTACGATACCTATAAAAAGTGCTTTTATATAAGAATAGAATAACATTCTTCTTTTTAAAACATTATAATTTTTCTTACTAAACTTTAGCTTTTTCTTTATTTTCTATATTATAACTTTAACATTATAGATTTAATCTATATAATATTAAGGGAATATTATAATATAGGTTCTACTTATATAAAGGTACTTATACTTCTCTATAACATTTTAGACTTTTTAAATTCTATTTTTCTACTATTCTTTAGTAGCTCTACGATCCTTTAAGTAGTACGGTATCTATCGTAAAAGCGCCTCTTAGAATACTAGCATTTCGTATAGCTAAGAATGCTTAAATTCCTATATATACTACCTTATTATAATGCTAATTATACTACCCTAAACATTATTATTTAGTCTATCCTTTTTCTATCTCCCGTCGTAGTAACGTTATCTTTAAGAGCTTTCTATATTAACTCCGTCTACCGCTATATCCCTTATAAAAGCTAAAAGAAAAGGATCTTAAATACTATAAGAAGAACGTTACCTATACATTCTTCTACTATACCTAGGAGAAACTTTATATATAACGCCTCGACCTCTTATAACGTGTTCGTTCTAGTCTATATAAACGCTATCTAACGGTATAGGTTAATACCTAGCTACTAAAACTAACTATATAAAATTATCTTATATTAAGATCTAAGCGTCCCTAGATACTAAAGCCTTTATTACATAGGTTTTATTTTCCTTAGACCTTTCTAGCTATTCTTTCTAGCAAATCTCTTTAGGTATACGATGCTATCTAGGATTAGAAATCTACCTAGGCTAGAGAACGTATAAGCTACTAATATCTTTATTATGTAATCTAATAAAGAAGCAAAAGAAGCTATAGTCTTTATACTACCTTTTAACACATTCTTTTACTAGTACGATTTATATAAAAATTTACGGTCGTAACTACTTATACGAATAGCGCTACTCTCTAGACTTAGAAGCCTTTCTACTTCTATTAAAGCATAGCCTTATTCTAGCCCTACCTTTTTAAGCCTTTCTTTTATCTTCTAGCTATATAATATATATTATATATCTTACGCTTAAGCGCTACGATTATTACGTTACTATACTTAGGTATAAACTTTTACTTCTTATTTCTTTATCTAGTTACTTTCGCATCTAGTAGTGCTAATCTAGCTTAAAGCTATTTCTAGAATTATATAGGTAGACGAATCTTACTTTAATTTATAGTTACTTTTATATGTTAAACCTTAAGATATATAAACACCCTTTTCTCTATACTACTATCTATTACTATAACCACTTCTACTTTATCTTTCTTTATAATAAGCACCTTACATTCTATTACGTTCTTTATATAGACTAGTAACATAAAATTAATGGCTCTATACGTTATTAATATAGGCCCCTTCTAGGATTAGAATAATAAGAATTATAACATTAAGAGTAAAGAGGTAAGTACTTCTACCTAAGATGTGTAAATACTACTAACCTATACGATCCTTTAGATCTACCGCTACATCCATACAAGTAAGGAGTAAGAAAGACTTTACTCTACTAAGAAAAAGAAGGCTAACCTTAATCGTATTAAAATCGCTAGAAGAAGACTTTTTAACATAACCTAGCGAAAGTCGTATATCGATACGCTACTTATTACTACTTAGTTCGTATAGCTAAGTTCTCTAGATAACGTTTAAATCTAATAGTGTAATAGTAGCACTAAGACTACTTCCCTCTATAGCCTTTATAAGAGCGGTAAGAATACGGACGATAGCGCTTCCTATAGTCCCTTTAAGGTATAGCTACTATATCTAACATTCCACCTATACGATCTAACTTAAAGAAATAGGACTACTACATCTAGTAAGGCCACTTTAATAATGCCTATAATAACTATGTCTAGAACGACTTTATAATCCGTTATAGCAAATCTCTAAGCTATAATAAGTAGATAAGAACGACTTTATAATCCGTTATAGCAAATCTCTAAGCTATAATAAGTAGATAAGAACGCTTAACTTTAAGAACCCTATAAAGAAAGAAGATTATATAACTAGAGAAGATAGCCGCTCTTTACGTACTATTAAGAAACTAGAGAGGCTTAGAGTTACTAAATATGCCGTTTCTAAAAGAAAGTAAAAGACGTCTTTACGTTGCGCTCGTAAGCCTAGTAAAGAGTTAACCTAAAGAACGGAAGGAAATCTAAGAAGTAAGCATATATCTATAAGAATGATTATAACAATTAAGAATTTAACATTTTAGTATTAAAACATTATTTTTCTTTTTAAATTATAGCCTTTTTAAGGTTCTTTCTTTCTATTATATTACGCATAAGTCGTACATCTTAAATGTAGATATAACTATAAGCTTACTCTCTATTATTAGATATAAAATGCTATTATAGTTTTTTATACTATTTCTTTAAGATTTCTTTAAGGTTTCTTTAAGGTTTCTTACTTCTTTAGGCTATATAAATAGTAAAGCGATAGTCGATCTAGTTTAAAATATAACATTAATAAATTCTAATATAAGTAGAAATATAGATAGGGTACTCTTAATTATAATCTCTTCTAAAGGCATATAGCTATACGATTCTATAGCTACTTAAAAATAGTAGTAGCTTCTAATTCCTAGTCCTCCTTCTAGAGTACCTTATCCTTAGGTTAGTCCTTCTTTTACTCTTACTAGAGTTATCTTATAAGCATAGCCTTTTTGCTTTAAGCTTATCTTCTACCTCCTTAGAAAGGTAGCAGCTACGTGTATAATATAGATTAGTATTAGTATTAGAAGGGCTAGTTAAAAGGTCTTTAAGGCTTTAGCGCGGCATTAGCGCCTTAAGAGACGTAACGTACTTTAGAGTCTACTTTCTATTAGTATGTAACTTAGGCAAATATAGAGTCTACCTATATAATACCTTTAGACCGCTATCCTCTTATTTTACTTTCCTTTTAATAATGCGCTTTTTCTCTTAAGGTTTTACCTTTATAGTAAGCTTCTTTAGTCTACCCCTTTTAGTAGGCCTAGGTAGAGAGGGTAAGTCGCTATTAGAATTATCGGTCGCCCCTTAATCTAGGTTATATAATCTTAAGGTAGATGTTCTAACAACTAAAGTAATAGTCTAGCGTAATGCCTTACTTGCTTTTAAAAATAAGAGTTACTTAGTAATAAGATTAAAGAAAGTTAGAGGAAGCTTTATAGACTTAAGACTTACTTAGCCTAGCATCTACGTCGGTTTACTAGAATCGTATATAGCGGCTAGGTAGAATTTAGCCCCTTTCTCCTTCTACTTCCCCTAAAATGTTACTACTTTTCTAGAGACTTACTAAAGTTCGTTAATTATATTATACTTATACTTAATCTATCTGTTTACTACTATAGTAGTAATAAAAGCTACGATATTAGTCGTATAGCTTAGTAAGTAGAGGGATTATAGAAAAGAAGACATACTAATCTAATTCTAGGTTTTAGGTAATTTACCTTCCTTCTTAGAGGCTATAATAATGTATAGAGTAATGGGCGTAGGGTGCTAGTCTACCTTCTCCTTTAGCTTTCTAATAGTCTTTATACTAGCAAAGTTTAGTGTCTAAATTAGACGGAATAATATAGGAGGGCTATAGGCATTACGCATAGCCTTATCCTACTTCTAAGTTTTTGCTATAGACTCTATACGGCGTTATAAACTAATAGATGCCTTCTTATGCTCCTTCTTAAGACTACTAAATCGGTCGTTTTAGTCTATAGTAGGTATATAGACTAATACGGCTTTAGGGGTAGGGCTACTATCGCTAGTAAGGTCGATCTTAGGGATATTAATTTAACGAATAGGTAAGGACTCGATAAGGGCATCGTACTACTTAAAGCCTAGGTTAAGTAAGCGGTATTCCCTATTTCTTTTACCGTAGTGCTAGTAGAACTAGGCGTTTAGGCATCGAGTCTAGTAATTATACTTCTACTTACTAGCGTAGAAATAGGTCTAAAGATCGCTTATTATCTTTATATAGAATCGTATAGCTAAATTATCTAGTTAAAAAACAAAAAAATAGATTAATTACTTAGTAAAGAGCTCTTAATTAAAATCATCTATATAGGCTTTATAGTTAAACTAGTCGAAGCTAGTACCGCTTAGACCCCCTTTAGCTAACTCCTCTTATTTCTTATAGGGTTTCCCCTAGTATTCTTTATCTATAGATCCCTATTAGGGGTCGTACTATCTAATAACGCATTAAGTATAATAGCACGTAGTTACTAGTTATAGTTACTAATAGAGGGGGAGTCTTAAATAACTCTAGTATGTCTATCTAGCCTTTATCTTTTTAAAGCTTCTAACGGTTATAGAGGGCGGTACTAAGCTATATAAATGCTTCTTTATAGATGCGCCTACTAGTATCTATAAAAAGTCTTCCTTATTAATGTTAAAGAACCTATGACTTTAAAGGATCTTATAGTAGACCTCTATCGTTTAATAAGGCATAACCTCGTTAATATCTATAAGCAATTAGTAAAGCTAATATTATATCGGCCTATACGAACCCCATTCTAGTGTAACTGCTTTAAGCTCCTTAAGAAAGTCTATATTAGCATTAAACCTTAGGTCTTTAATTGTTTTATCCTTCTTATATAGATAGGAGGGTCGACTAGGCATAATATAAGGTCTATTCTTCTAGAAACGGATGTTATGCTTATTCTACACCTATACGAATAGCGCTATAGCGTTTTAAAGAATTAGCATATAGACGTAGAGCATAGCGATCCGATTAGTTCTTAAAGCCTTATTAAAGAGCTATCTATCCTTATACTCCTAAAAAGCGCGCTATAACAAGGGGATTAGTAAGAGTACTTATCTATATAAATCATCTTTATAAGAAGAATAGGTTATCTAGAGCACTTACCCGCCATTTTATAAGCATACCTTTTAACAGCTAGTTCTACTAGGCTTCGATTCTCTAGTTCTTCTTACTAGTTCTAAAGAGGAAATAGTCCTTAAATCGTTTATCTTAACGAACTTTCTCTAACATGCGGAAGTAACAATTAGTAATTAGAATCGTCTTATTACTACGGTCTAATTAAATAAAATGGGGTATATAACCTACGGACTTTATAGCTTAATAATATTAGCGAAATACGCTAGAAAAGGGGTAAGAGATTAAACAGAATTTGTATAGCTTAGTGCGCTTACCTAATGCCTATGTTTATAGTAATACTAACATAGTACTAGATAATATATCTAGTATAAGCATTAATGGCTCTATAAACCTAGAAGCTATAGTCTTCTAGCTTATAGTAGGCATTAATAGACTATACTTAATTTTTTCTAGCTATACGATACTCTCTACGGTGTCTCTAGAGGTCTCTATAGTAAGATATAACGCTAATAGAGTCTACTTATTTTACTATTAAAAACATTTTGTCCCTAATTTTTAGAGTTAACATGCTACGTTATAGGAGGGTTAGCTATATAAACCTTAATATAACCATCTACGTAGAGTGTACTATATAGAAGTACGTAAAGAGAAATTCGCGTCTAAATTATTCGATAGTACTACTATTAAGGGTTTTAGTAATAATGCGCCTCTACTTATCTTTAATCTGCCCCTAATAGCTCTAGGAAATACGGTAATACATTTTTATGGCCCTTTAAAGTCGTATAACTCTAGTTAGAAAAATGGAGTACCCTTCTCGCTTAAGTGCCTTTATAATAGACTTATTAGAATAGGCTTTAAGAAAGTAGAGTAAGGTAAGGCGACGACGAAGCTCTAGGGTATCGACCGTTACTACTTAAGACTACGCTTTATTCTTCGCAATAATGCGCGTAATCGTATAGGTTAAAGAAACGACCCCTTACTAAGATAACTATAGCTAAGCATCCCTTATTATACTACGTTAGACTACTTTAAGTAGCTCTTTCTAGAGAGAATTAGGTATAGTTAGCGGCCTCCTAGTTATATTAAGTATCGTATAGATAGTTAACGTAGTGTAAAGTAGTGTTTATGTAGTATTTAGATAGAAGGAAAAGAGGTAAAGCTTAACGGTAATAAGTTTCCTTAAGAGGTATTAAAAGGTACATTACTCTATACTTAGTTTCTTTGCTATAGTAATACTTTGCGCGCATCGTACACTCTAAGAAATTCCGAAACTTGTATAAAAAGACGCTAAAAGAGTTTTATTAGATAAGTCGCTATTAACCGCCGTAAGTAAGAGATAGTCTAAAGAAAGAGTTTATACTTTAGGTTTTAAAGGATTACTTCTACCTTATATTCTCGCGTAACTAACTAATAAATTCGTGGCAGTCTCCTTATAGGACTTTAACGACATTACTACAATTAGGTTATACGTAGCCGCTATCCGTGTCTAAATGTCATTAATTAGATAGATTCCGACTAGTATCTAAGTCTAGCATGCGATAGCCGTTACATCTTACCGCTTAGATCGGTAACTGCCTTACTAGTAGATCGTCGCCCGTCTAAAAGCAGCTATAGCGCTCTTAAAACATCGTCGAACGATGGATTTTGTCTTACTATGTATAAAAGATGGTTATAGCCTATACTTATTAATCCTCTCCCTAAAACCATTATGCTATTAAAAGCTATAGAACTGCACTATTAGATCTAAATAGGTGTATAACTATAGAGATGCCTATAAACAACTCTACTATAAAAGAGACTATGCATCTCTATAACTACATTATAACTATCTATTACGCATGGGGAGGTAGAAGCTCGGGGTGTAATCATGGAATTGTAAAAAACAAATGCATATGGTTAAATACATTATAACTATCTATTACGCATGGGGAGGTAGAAGCTCGGGGTGCAATCATGGAATTGTAAAAAACAAATGCATATGGTCTAGCGCTTATTGAGAAACTCATAAAGCCTTAGTTTACTATTGGCTCTCCGACTGAGCGTTAAGATTTTAGAATACCCGATGCAACTTTACGACGTTCTGCTGTGCTACGTCCGAGATGATCTTGACTTTAGCTTGGAAGCCACGGTCCTAATTTTCCAGCGCCTGACGCCAGACGTGAGTCTCCACGCTTCACCGTTTTATCCCCAACGTGAGAGTGTTCTGCCCCACTCCAGGCACCTAGCAAACTTATCGAGCTGGCCAATCAAACTAGAATACCTCAAATAGTGCTCCTTCTCCCAGAGATCGAGTTCTGTCCAGTTTCCCCCTCCTCAATGCACTGCCCGAGAAATTCGATGGACGCGAGGGTCAAGCGAAAACGCATCGTCGGCTCCAAGTATAGCCGACATGCTTGTCGAACGTGTCGGTATGGTTTAACCAACGAGGCGAACTTGACNAATTCATTTCTCACTCTAAGCAGAATCCGGAAAATCAAGTGTGACGAAGGCAAAGATTCTTGCAACAATTGTATATCCACTGGGCGAATCTGTGATGGTTACAGCGTCATCGTGCCGGACGGGCGCAACGTTGCTCCACGACCACTTCTTCCAGCCTCGAAAGCCTTGACCTTTCCTAGTATCTGTGCACGGCCTTCTGCATACTCTTTCACATTACACGACGCTCAAGGACACGCCCTGGACTTCTTTCGTCGCATCACCATACACCAGCTTCCTTGCGCGTCTGCGTTTGAGACACCATGGGAGTCTGTCGCACTCGACCTCATGCATGGTCAGCCATCACTCGCAGCGGCAGCGTGTGCCTGTGCTGCCCTGCATCGCGCTACTACTGACAGTCCAGACGGTGACCGTACTCAGTATCAGTTTGCGCTTCAGCAATACAACAACTCCTCGCTCCTGATGCGGAAGTACATTGACGATCTGGACGATAACACTTCAGAAAGCGCTACCCTTGTTGTCCTTGCAGTCTGCCTGCTNTTTTTCACCTACGAGACTTTCCTTGGTGATGATGCTAAGGCTGCCATACACCTGCACACTGGTCTACGAATTATCCATGAGCGATTGCGCCCTCGAGAGAACGGTCAGCAGTGCAATGGCAAAAACGTCATTATGGTTGACCATACCTCGACGAGCCTTTTCAGTGTCTTCGTTCGCGCGTTTGTACGGCTAGACTCGGATTATATGCTGATTGGATTCGACGAACCGTAAGTCAGACCTCTGTGCTCGTAAGCACCTGACTCATCTGAGATTGAAACAGCNTATCTATACCCGATCAGTCATACTGCAGCTTGTTCGGCATTCTCCAATCCCGATGAAGCCAGCCTTCATCTCGAAACTATCACTGCAAAGATCTTCGATGTTTACGACCTCATAGCTCAGAGAGCCTTCCAGCGTTTGGAAGATAGCGAGTTCGAAGACATAGAGACTCTAGATGAGGATCAGCAGATCTGCCTCATGCGAGCAGCTATACGCTTTTCGAAGTTGAGTCAAAGTCTCGAGGAAGCTGTGGTAGATTGTAAACAATCTTTACATGCTTGGACCAAGGCTTTCAGGATGGTGCCCCAAACATCCGCAAATCTGCGGTCGCACATATCCACCCAACTGTTCTTCTTCTGCGTCCATATATGGATCGAGACGTGGCACGACGTCAATGCCTGCCTTGTGGATCGCTTTGCGCCTCAATTTGCGTACTTCACTGATCTCTGCGAGCAGTACCTTGACTTACATACCGCAAGAACGCCACATCACAACACTTTCGTAGGCTGCAATGGAACAGGCGAATATCGATTCTATACGCCTCCAGCTTTCTCGCTCGGCTCCGGAGTTGTGACCTGTCTTGCAACTATCGTCGAGAAATGTCGTACTTCCTCAATCCGTCGACGCTGCATCGGACTTTTGCGGAAAATAAACTTGAGAGGTGTTTTCGACACCAACTACCTTGCCACCTACCTACAAGCTATCATCGATCATGAAGAGCAGGCCGCTCAACTCCAGCACCCGGATCTTGACTTCAGCAACGGCTTGAAAGCGAACGAAGTGAATGAAGATGCTAGACTCTTGGAAGTCATCATGTCACCGGCGCGCCATCGATCCCGGTTCGAATTCTACAAATCAAACCGCGTCAATGCAGTCTTCGTGACAAACGGGCGTGAGATGCAACTCGGACGCCTTACGGCCTGCGTCTCGCGGGAAACACCCTCATCATGAAGTTGTTCGATTAATCGCAGGTCTTTATTACTGAGACAACAGCTGTGCGCCAATCGAAAGCAAGGTAGCACCACTGCTAATTGCCTTTATCCCTCCAACTGGATTGGGTGTTGGATATTGCACGCAGACCAACCTCGCAAGTTGACTGGCCAGCAGATGTTCCCTGAAATGCTGATCCAATCCACCTGCCATATAGATAGTATGGTTCTCGTGCATGCCACCATGGTTTTCACCCCAACAGAGCCGTCCACCAACCACTTCATCATCCATCTTTCCTGTCTTGCTACCTTTCTTTGGCCACACTCGGGAAGTCTCGTACAGCTCATTCCAAGTGAATCTGCTGAACGTCCTAGTCTTTTCAGCCTCTTTCCACACAAATTGCCGGCCACCGTAGTAGAAACGGCGAGTAAACCATCCACTTCTCTCACTCCGATCAGGCATTTCCAATGTCAGTCCCTTGCGGTGGCCGGTCATCTTGAGCATATATGCTCCACGTGGTGTTCTCATGATGTCGACGCGGAGAGCACCAGCAGCAGGCAAAAATTCTCCGGCTCGCCGCAGGACAGCTTCTCTTATCGGTTCTTCAGTCTGCCAGATGAATTGCATGGCATACAGAGTAGTTGTGTTTGTCTCGTCCTTTACAAAATACCAGTGAGAGCGTTCGCCAGCTTGTAATAGCTCCGAGTCATGGGAGATCCTGTACACAGTGGGTGGAAGTGAGGGATCTAGTGTAGGTGCAAACTTTGGTACATTGACTGGCCTTAGACGCTGGATATGGTCGGGCGCTTTGCTGTAGTAGACTTCGCGGTCCATGTCTTTGGGTTGTGTTTCGGCAAAGTCGCGCAGAGTTTGCTCGTCNNCTGGGTTTCACTATAAGCTTCTAGTCCCAGACGATTCGTCCCTTGAAGTAGGATGTCTTGACGATTGTAGGGCGCAACATACCAGACTCAGAAGATGATGTTTCTCTGCTGCAGCGGCCAAGAGCTCGGCATCTGCACCAAGAATCGTAGGAACAGAAACAAAGCCACTGAAAGGTGGATTTGCAAGTGCCGCTTTGTCGAGCATCTTTTTCCTCTCCTGCAATACCACAAGTTGTCGCTCAAACATGACACGATGAACTTTGTACATGGACTTTCTGATTTTTGGCATCAAGGTCTGGAGTATATCAATCGCGGTCTGATGAGCTGATATCGCTTGGTCGAATTGTCTGTGATGCTCGAGGACGAACCCACGTATAACCACAGTATAGAGACTAATCATGTTTTTCGCAACTTCTGTACTCAATGACGTTTGTGGGATGATACCATCGTACTGTGCTAGAGACGACATTGTCAATGAATGATGGCGAGTAGAAAGAGTGACAACTTCGGACAAAGGACCCACAGATGATTATGTAGCTTGTGAACTCTGCCTGATCCTACCCTCTCAAGACAACGTCGCCGACAATGCCCACATGAACGTGCGACGTACGGTCAAACATGCAGTTGGGATTCACACACGTGTATATCACATCAGTCCTAGTACGGGTGCCTTGTTGCCAGGTTTGCGCAGGATCAGCTAGCTAAGCCCCCAATTCCTGGGCAGGGGTGTGGATTCGGTGCTTGGAGCCGACGAAGGAATAATTTTGGCCTCGAAGAAAGGCATGCCGAGAGAAAACAGTAAGTCAGGCTGTATAGCAGGCGCAACAAATGACCTGATGTCAAAACTTGGCATGCTGATCTTGTCGGGGTCGCCGAAGTTGGCGTTTGTCGAGGGAGGAAGGATGTTGTTTGTGTCGCATTGCAAATCTTCGGCAGGACTTGAGGATTCGTGGCGCAATCTCACGTTGCCTTCTTCTATGTCCGTGCGACTTGGTGCCCTCATCCTTGCCTTGACGGTCATATGGAGAACGAATGCCTGAACCTCTAGTAAACTCAACCTAAGCGTCGCATCTCGCTGTCACGTTTTGAACCCAGCCGACTCTGCGGGAGACGGGCCCAAACATCGGGCAGTCACGAATTATTCCAAGAAGCGCTTTGACTGTCGGACCCTGTCTTGACTTCCACTACGCTCAGCTATATCGGCAGAAAAATGGCCAACGACGAATACAGTCTTATTACTCCTGATGCGTTTCTAGACCGCATGAGAAACTTTGTCGCGACGGATCCATTCCCGAGGAACCCTCAAATCAGCACTCATTCTAGCCACGCCGACAGGATTGAGGCAGGATACCAGGCAGATGGACACAAGACTTGGGGGTTTGTCATCTATCGCACAACATATGAGGACGACACTGACTGGACTGAATTTATGCGTCGTCTACGTTATTGGACAATGGATAATATGAAGTTCTACAACGGCCAGGATGTGCTAGATCGGATGACATGGACTATCTTCGACAACCGAGAGCGCTTCGATGGCGCAGACGTGTCCACCATCCGTCAGCATTTCCGCAATTGGGCAGAGAAAGCAGCGCGAGCTGAACAGCAGCAGCCTGAGGAAGCCGATGACAAGTTGCCTAGTATGGGTCGCTCCCCGCGCTACCGGTACTGCATCCAAGTCGATGCAGATGCGCTCAAATCTGCTGTATACGACGCTCCTCCACCACCCGACTTTGACAAGGACAAACAAGGATGGGTCAATCTAATCGACAAAGACTGGTTACCTCGAAGCAAAAACCCAATTTACGCGGGAAGACAGCCGGACCCAAACGTGTATGAGCCAATCTATGGTATCACAGAGCATAATGTTGGCTGGGTCAGATGCCCATTCTCGAGTGTGATGACAGAGTATTACATACTGTTCCAGGACCTCAACGGGTACACGACGAGCTATCGACGTCCACCAGCTATATTAGGTTATCCCTGGAGCTAGGATTAGCATATTCATCGTCTTCCTCATCTGTACACATCCCCTAACCCCATGTTAACAGTGGCCCATCTCACTTACCTATAGAATTGCAAAGTACTATTGGAGTCGAGTGTAACTAAGGCCACTTCCATAGTCCTCATCGCCTTGGAATAAGCCATGGCGGCCCGAAGGCATGTTCATGGCACTCAATGCGAATTTGACGTTGTCCGAAGACTAGTCGATATCGTTCGATGGCGAGTCGTTGTGGAATGTCGTGCATCGTGGGTCTGCATCTACATGCCGCGTGAAGTGTCACCCTCACCTGAACGAGTCACCCTCATCTGACCTGGCAGCTGCATATGTGAGGATGAGAGCTTCCGACAAACCTACTCAACATGGCTTGACTATCACCAAATTTTACGTTAGCCGAAAGCCCCTAACAGAGTAAATAGATCAAATGGGCTTCATCAATCCCTTCCATCGATGGGAACGAGTTTCAACAGACCATCTCTTTACCTGGTATTCTCACTCAAGCTTCTCAGCTCAGAGGCGGANNCCGCTTTACCTTCGTCTTCACTTCTGACAAATAACTATTCTCCGGTAGCCAATGCACCATCTTGGTGGATGATTCTAGAAAAAACGTCAGATATGCATTTCAACTCCCATATCATCTTCAAAATTCAAGGCTTCGCGATCGTCTATTGGCCAACGAATTAGAGCACTAGGAAGCTTTTATTGCACGTTGCATACCTCATGTTTCACGAACAACTGAAAATAACTTGTCAACGGCCAACCAGATTGGCTTTCCGTTCATTGCGTATGAGTGGCTGGAAGGAAAACAACTGCTTTCGGGTGACCACGAGCCGCAAAGTCGAGTACAGCGGGATGATGCTATACAGATTTTGGCTGCGTTCATAACAGAGACAGTCTGTCGATTGCAAAAGCTAGGCNNAAAGTCTTGTGTCTTGGAGGTTCACAGAGCTAATAGAGGACAAACAGCAGAAACAACCGCCGAGGTTCATGTCACCCAAGCGATATACCGCAACATCACGCGAGTCTTGGACGGCCAACTCAAGACTGCGGCACTTGAGGACTGCCTTCGTCAGCGACGTCTTATTCGCAAGTTTCTAATTCCTGAGCTCAATGACTCTCTTTGGGTAATGGTACATGCAGATCTTTCGGCCTCAAACATAATCACAGATGAGGACTACAATATCTCTGGGTAAGTTCTTTTGCACCATCCCACTGTCGAAATTAACAAGAACCGCTAGAATGATCGACTTCGGCTTTGCAGAGTATCTCCCATTGCAATTTGCAGCCAAGACCAAGATGATAGTCGTAATAGGACGAGCGGTTTCATCACGTCTCCGTATGCGAAAGATAGCTATAGTATACTTTAGAAATACACGATCCTTTATATGCTTGAGCGAGCTCCATGGGGAGCACATCTTGAGTCATCTCCTGGGTGGAACCTCTTCTTGACACACAATAACAACTGTGCGTCTTTGTAGCCTTTTATGGGAAGATGCAGCCCTCCAGATGTAACATGAGCTATACAGATTCCTATCCACGCGCCACAGGAGCGGGAAGTATCTGCTGGAATACGCTGAACAGTTTGGACGTTGGATCCTCCGGCAGTGATTGGTATCTCCAAGCAACGAAATGATCCGGCCTCACAAGAACGCAACCATCCTCTTCCACTCCTCGCACTTTCTCGAAATCGCCATAGGCGTCCATGAAATCTTGACGCCAGCCAATAGAGAATACATTGATTGATATGCCCGGTCTCTGCTCCTGCAGTGATCTTGCAGCTTTGACCCAGCCATCGCCTCCGATTCCAGTAAGAAGAGTATAGGATCCGTTCCCGCAAAGATCCAACGACGATACTCTATCAGACTGACCATCTCTTGCAAGCCAAACATGCGGCAAATGGTGACCAGGATAGGTGCTGACTGCAAGCTGCTTCACCAGATCGACATCATCGTGTTTGGGTGGCTCGTCGTCAGGCTCGGCGTACACTAACGGCGAGCCGACATAGATCTGGTTCATCTGGATGCCTAGAGCATTGAGTTCGTCATCGAGCTTCTCCAATGCGGACCGAAACTCTCTTCTCTGCCGGCGACCTTCAGGTGTTGGCTGTTCCATAAGAGACACTGCGGCCGCTCGCTCATCCTTAGACAAACCAATGAGACGCCACCACCTTCGCTGATCTTCCATACCCTCGTTGGCTCGTTTGACGATCGCATCTCCAACCGGCTTTCTTTCTGTGGTGATTGAGTCAAGAATGGATGAGTCAGCGACGCCCTTGAGGACGAAGGCTAGCTTCCAAGCCACGTTCATGGCATCGCTAATACATGTGTTACTGCCGAGTCCGTTGATAGGTGGATGTCTATGGACCGCATCACCAATGCAGATCACATTTCCTTTCTGCCACGAACGTGCTACCTGGTCGTTGATTGTCCACCGGAAGCTGGAAAGGATCTCGATTGGGACCGTTGCGTCACCAATCATCTGGTGAAGTCTCTTGATTATGTCTTCGTTACTGGGCTCGAACGTCTTTCCCGATTTGTCGGCAGGGTGCATCGAGACCACGAACTCATTCCAAGGCGTGACCATGCGGAAATTGCCGACAGCAGACCAGTCTGGTGCTTCCGGGTTGAGAATCCAATTGAGGGAGCCTGGCCGGTGGGCAATATATTTCGAGAGTTCCGCCTTGATGTGAACGTTGAACGCGGTGTTCAGCTGCTTGCCATCTACAGTGATCCCCAGGCTATCCAGGACAACGCTCCTTGCGCCATCAGCCCCCAGCAAGTAACCTGACCGTACATCATAGGTGTGTCCAGTGCATCTATCTTTGAGAGTCGTCCGAATCCCACCGTCAGCCGTTGCCTCTTGCGACACAAACTCGGTATAGAACCGATATTCAGCTCCTGCTTTGATCGCGTACTCAACCAGTACTGGCTCTAGTCTGCTTTGTGGCAGATCAGACATCTCACAGGGGCTGGCTGTCGCGTACTCTCCCAAGCGCGCGGGATTGTTACCCCAAGCCCAGAGTCGACCGTATTCTTCATCAGCGAGAGAGTGAAGCCATGACGAATGCATCATGTGGCGGGCGTTGCTTGCATATGGTGCCACTGCTGCCTCAAGGCCTGCATCTCGAAGGACTTCCATGGCTCTTTGATTGAAGATATGTGCTCTGGGAGTGTTTGCTGTCGATCTGTGGCGCGAGACAACTATGGTCTTGATTCCAAGACGACCCAATAGTAATGCTGCAGTGGAGCCAGAAGGGCCTGTTCCTATGATGAGTACCGGAATTCTGACATCTGCCATGGGGTCAACAATGAGTCAACGATACTGTCTGCCGAAGGTACTACCTCCTGAGCCGCCAGTATGGTCGGCCGACATCCTGGAACAGATGAAAATGAATTGTCTTTTGCTGTATTTTTTGCAAGAAGATAACACCTTGGAAGAAAATAGAAGGCCTTGAAATTGTATGAGTGAGCGGAGTTAGAAGACTGTTATTTGGTGTTTGCAATCTTGTGACGTCGTGAACGCCGAATTGTGGTTGCTGTTTCTTGTCTCCATGCCACTTTAGCCGCTGTGCCACCCCAGCATCATCCAAAGCCGGCCTGCCGAAAAGTGGTTCAAAGTCAATCAGAACATCGAGCTGGAAGCTTAGTCAAGTGCAATGTCCAACAAGCGATTACTGCGTCAAGACCGATGCCAGAGCAACGTCCTGTGTCGCGTGGCGGGGAAACCGAAAAACCCCTCCCATCCATTCTGATGACATTGCGTGTGGGACGACCTGAGGACCAGATAACTCAGACGTTTCCTACTCCAGGATTGGACAGTTCTTCGCTGCTCTATCGTCTTTGTTCGCCATCGCATCCAAACAGATCATGATCTCTCATATCTTACCTTCTAGCATGCATTCTTGGAGCGATGCTGGCGAGCTGAATCCAACAATCATTTCTCGCTGGATCATTGTTGGTGTTGCAGCTTTTGCAGTTTGGCGAGTGAGTATCTTCGGTTTTAAGCGCGGACTTGATAAGAAGGTTGACAGTAGCTCAGATCTTNNCTACGCTTTCTTCATTTCCCCAGTCCGCAACATCCCTGGGCCTTTCTGGTCGAGAGTATCAAGCATTCCATATCGATGGGCGACGTTCAGAACGGCAAGGACCGAGTATGCCCACTCGCTACTAGAGCGTTATGGGCCGATTGTTGTCATTGCCCCTGATCAAGTCCACACGACCGACGAGGCGGCAATGAAGACAATCTACAATCGTTCCTCGATCAAGACGAGCTTCTACACCAACATGGGCTCCTGGAAAGGGGTAGTAACCACATTGGGGAAATTGGACTATGCTTCTGCAGCACCTACCCGCAACAATTTGCTACAATGCTTCCAAAACAGAAACCTTGACACACTCACTGGCAACATCGATACTCATGTGTTCAAGTTCGTCAAAATCTTGTCTGAACATGCAGACCGGGGGCACAACCTTGATGGTGTTGTCTGGTTCCGATTACTCGCACTTGATATCCTTACTGATGTGCTTTGGGGAGATCAGACCGACCTTCTTGGAAATGCCGATAATTCTACCCCGGACTTCTTGAGGCGCTTCCATGCGTTCAGCAAGTACAACGCACTCAAGAGTTTCATCCCGGTAGTGGAGATCTTTGTCAAATACTTTGGCAATAGCAAGTGGAAGCAGCTTCGTCAAGACTGTCTCGACATGGATGTTACCGCTCACGAAGCTTTGATCAAGTGGAACCAGAAGGATACCAAAGGACATAACAAAGATGTGTTATCCATGCTTTCTTCCATGCAAGCAGATGGGACCGCAGACGGAAACATGCTCCAGGCGCACATCCCAGCTTACATGGTCGAGATGATGGCAGCTGGGTCATCCACCACTTCTCACACCGCAACCTTTGCGTGTTGGGCCCTGACCAAGAACCCAGGGGTGCANAAAAAACTTCGCCAAGAACTCTTCGAGGCATTCCCCGAAGCTCAGGATCTCGATATGCGCAAGTCTCAAGATCTTCCATACCTCGATGCTGTAATCAAAGAGACCATGCGCGTGTGGCCAATGATCCCTGGCCCTCTGGAAAGATATCTGGGAAGCACAATCACAGTCAACGGGCTGGCAGTTCCACCTGGCGTTATTGCCTCGACAGCTGCGTATAGCCAAGGCCGCAAGGAGGATGTCTACAAGAATGCAGATCGGTGGGAACCAGACCGCTGGTTGGAAGCGGACGAGAGAATGAAGCTGAATTGGACCCCGTTCGGCCATGGATCACGTATCTGTCCTGGTAGCAACCTCGCCATGACTGAGCTGAGATATATGCTGTGCGCGATCTTTAGAAACCTGCGAGCTGTACCGCCTACCGGTCATGAGAATGACCCAATCGAGATGATGGATGTATTTGCCGCTGGCACCAAGTCCGGTGTTTGTTGGTTGAGGTTCGAAAAGGACGCACAGGCAGCTTGAGAGGCAATTACTTGTAGTTTGATGGATGTATATATCTCTTTACCATATTGTTCGGTCACACGCTACTTGCAACTAGATAGTTAGTTCACTTCGTTGTAGTATATAATGAATCAATGAATCATAGTGATGTTTGCACTTTTTGTTTCCAATTTCATGTGATATATCCAGTTCTCGTTCAAAATTCACGTGCGGATGCTACTGTCTGTTTTCACTCCTTGCTTGCGTCCCTACAACTACATAGAGCACTTTTCGATACATTATGAAAACACACAAAGGTCACCGGCATCAAAAGATGCCCGGTGAAATGTTGGGGTTTTGTGCCTCTCTCCGGACAGTTCCTTGGACTGAATAATGTTATGCATTCATATAGATTGAATACTGGCAACCATTCCTAGTGGAGGTTTCTGTACAAAGGTCTCCAGTATCTGATTCTCTATGTCTGCCAATCGCTCCGAGAGACAAGGGAATTACTATACGTTTGACTAAGCCATAAGAGGCCATCCGCGACTACTACATATCAAGAACTCAAAAGACTGGAGGAACTGGTGGTCCCCAGACTGAAAGTGCCTGTGGTCCTGCCTGCTCGTGTGAGACCTTCGAGGCATTATTGACCAGATCACCGTCCGCGTAATGCTCAACAATAAATCCACTAGGGTCAAACCAATAATCGAACACCTGGCTTCCGAGCACGTGTCGTCCGACACCCCAGCATAATTTGTAATCCTTTGACGTGAGATAGTCGTGGCCGAGCTGCTGTATGTCAAAGTCGTGCACTTCGAAAGCGGCGTGTGCCACGTGTGGCTTTTCCTCTGGCTTCGTACGCTTGAAAAAGAAGGCGTGATGGTCGGTAAATTCGTCACCGCGGTCGATGTGGAAGAATACCGTGATCGGTTTCTCGCCTAGGTAGACAATGTCCGAGGGCGCGAGGGCCAGATGCTTGGTGTACCAGTCATACATCATTTGGTAGCCCCCGTCTGGATATGTCACTCCGTAATGGCCCCACTTGAAGACGGGCGCAGGACCAGGCTTGAAGCGTTGGAACCTCCCTTTCCTTGGCTTGTCGTCTTCGAAGTTGACGGTAAGCTTCTCTAGCTTCAGTGCTTCGGGCGATCTTTCCGTGACTCCATGTACAAGATGGACATGGAAGCCAGCGGGATCAGTCAAGGTGACAATCTCTCCTCCACCAGGCGCTTCAAGAGGCATAATTGGAGTTGCATTCTCAATCTTTGCCGCCTTCTCTAGCTCCGCTCTCGTTTCTACCGCGTAAGCTGCACCATCAAAGGATGATGTTGAGGCCTTGCGAGCGAGATAGACAAACGGATCGGGACCATAGCCCCTGTAGAATATTTGGTCACCGTTACTGCTCCTTTCGACTTCAATAAGTCCGAAATCCTCCATAAATCGATGTGCTTGATCCAGATTCTCGTGGTTGTAGATAACGAAGGCTGTCTTCAAGAGGCGAATCCTCGGGTCGCCGATAGGGATGGGCATCGTTGATGAGATTGATATGAATGGGAAGTCGCCAGTCCAGAGAATAGTCGTGTGTTATTTGAAGCTTACAATGAACAGCGTGTAAAGTAATAGGCAAGACCTCGTGCTCGTCGATACTGTTGTGGCAATCCAGCGTGGCTGCCAGGTGCGGAGTCCTCAATCGCGGGGATCAAAAGTCACGCGAAGCGCAAACCCGAAGCGATATGCCACTTTATCCAGGCGGTGAATTCGGCGTGGTTCCGACGTTGGCACAGGAACAAAAAAGACTATCGATCTCATAAAAGATAGTTTCCTATCAACCTCGAACCCACTGATTCCCTCAAGCACCGCGAGAGCCTTTCCAGTCATGTCACAGCCCCTCGTCCAGTGGACGCGTCTTGTGCGCTACATTTCCCACACCGGTTCCATCAAATACGGCGAACCTATTCTCCCCGACACAGACAGCGATATCAACCAGCTCGCTTTGGATGGAAAACTGGAAGTCATTGTTCTCGACGGCGCGGACGTTCTTTCGGCCTCTCCTACTGGCGAGAAGGAGAGTGTGAAGACATTGCTAGGCCCACTTACGCCCAAAGATGTACCATATGTTCGATGCATCGGTTTGAATTACAAGTCACACAGTCAGTGAACACATATATCGATTCTCAGACTATACAATTGCTGACCGAAACCGATTCTCNNAGTTCTCGAGACAGGACGACCACTCCCAACATGTCCGACTGTGTTTTCCAAGCCTGGTACAACAATTGCGGACACCAATACTCCAATCCCTATCCCCGAGTTTGCCCAGTCACAGTGTGACTACGAAGGAGAGCTCTGTATTCTCATTGGCAAAGATGCAAAAGACGTGTCTGAAGACGACGCTCTCAACTATGTTGCGGCTTATACCGTCGGCAATGACGTTTCTGCTCGCGACTGGCAACGCGAGCCAGGCAAGGCTGGACCGGTGCCTCAGTGGTCATTCAGCAAGTCGTTTGACAAATATGCCCCTCTTGGGCCGGCCCTCGTCTCGGTCAGCGTACTGGGCGCGGCCGACAAACAGTCTTTGAAGACTTTTGTGAATGGCGAACTCCGCCAATCTGGGGACACATCCGATCTCTGCTTCGGAGTCAAGGCATTAGTCGCATTCTGCAGTCAGGGACAGACACTGCAGGCTGGTTCTATAATCATGACGGGCACTCCAGGNGGTGTGGGATTGTTCATGCAACCTCGAGCGTTTTTGCACGACGGTGATGAGGTGGTCGTTGAGATTGGTGGAATTGGGAAAGTGGTAAACAAGATGCATTTCGAATAGAGCGCGTCGCCGCGACCAAAAAAAGTCAGCGAGCTAGCTGGCGTTTCAATATAGATAGCTAACTACATTAACGTCTTCGTTGCTAAACCCAAGACCATATCCAGGAAGGAGGATTGTGTTTTCCAAGTAGAAGTCATCTTTGGAAAAAGTTCCGCAAACAGGCTCATCAAATTAGGCGTGTTTGCTGTGGACAGTTCGACCTGATGACTCTCAATGTGCTTGGACGAGCCCATCATGTTCAATGATTGCCTAGACTTTTCACATGCACCAGCCACGGCCCATATCACTGTCGCTGCCTGATACACACTGATCACAGTTAGAATGGTATAACGTGCTTGTGAAGATGTGGGACGAGACGTCTCCTTCTCAATCAAGGTCCACATGGAGCAAGCATGCTTGATGGCCACAACTGCTTGGTCGGTAGTTGACCACTCCACTATAGTCCGACCCAGAGCTTCTACAGACTCTGACCGTGTACCTTGATGATAGACCACTTGCTGGATTGTCCCGACTGGCGCATGCAGACGCAAGAAGCTGAGGTGAAAGAGCATCAGTCCACTCAGGTAAGTAGTGCGATTATGCCCGTATTGATTGGACATTTGACTACTCGCCACCATACTTTTCCACTTTCGCAGGGCGCAGATGACATTTTGTCGCTCTCGCCGGAGACCCGCCATTTTTCTGGTTGAGTAATCTAAGTGGTCGTGGTTGGCAGTGTAGAGCTCATCATTACTGACAGAAAAGAGATCATTTGTTGTTGGACCTGGCTCGCTGTCCGCGTCGAGGCCAGTCAGACGTTTGAACATGCCCGAATCGTGACTGAATCGCCAAACAGAGTATTGCAGCCCGTAAAGAAGGAGCTCGTGTTCAAGAGGCTGTAGAAGCGGTAGCACCTCGTTGGGGTCGAGGGCGATCCTGACAAGATCCGAGAAAATCATGCCGCGGCAAAGACTGTGTTCTGAGCTGACCGCCGTGATGTATTCGCGAGCGAACAGCCTCTTGGTCGTCCACAAAGCGTCCGAGTAAGGTAGTTCAAGGTCAATCTCCTCATACGATGCCAATGGTTTTAAGTCTAGCAGAACACTCATAAACACTTCCGCACGTATGATTCCATAGGCCAATCGCTTGCACCCCTCTGCGAAGACCCACTGCTTATGCCATCCTATCGCAGAAGTGTTGGTGGTTGATTGTAGATTAATGGCGGTTGGAATACCACGATGGGGTCTATAGCTGAACAACCGCATCTTTTGAGCATGCACATTGAGCAATGCACCGAGTTTTTGAGCTGCTGAGAAAGCATGCTGCTGCTCAAAGTAGATCGCGGCGACTTGAGTGAGCAGCATTGCCCTGCCAAGATCGAGATTTTCCTGATCTGTGTGGTCGACCCTGGGTGGTGATACAAGAAGTATCTCGCGCATCTTCTCGTGGAGGAGTGATCCATACCTTGATGATGCACTCCCTGAATAGAGTGCTCCTATCGAGGTCATGGTGAGTAACAGCAGGGGGTGGAGCTGGCCACGCTCGAAACTGGGTTGCCATATTAATGGCCATAGAGGCTGGAATTGTTCGAGGTATATATCCACAAAGTGGTCCAGAATTCCATTGCTTTGTGAAACTTCCGGAGCGTTTGACAAATTGAACACGGCGCGAACACGATCTGAAGCAGATTCCCAGAATCGGATCCACCGTGCTTGATCCCTAGCACTGTCGAGCGCCTCATTGATGATTATGTCGACAATCTGAGTTGGAGTCATAGGCAACTCAGTCTGTGCGTTTGATTCTGGAGTGTGATCATTGCCAACATGCGCTGTGGATTGTTGGCGATCGTCTTGCGCCTGTTGACCTGGAACTCCTGTCGACAATGGAAGGTCGTGGAGGCCATTGCTTGGGGACGGGCCATAATCAGGTCCATTGCGCAAGTACAAATCTTCATGAGTCCAAGGCCAGTTGATCGCTGTCGACCATGGCTCAAGTAAGGATGAGAAATTTTCATGCGGTGCTGTATGCATGAGCGCGAGGATGTTGGCGAACTCCTGTTCATCTGGATTGAGCTGATTCTGATCCGAAGCACCAACTAACAACGAGCCCGGAGTCAACGGAAACTGTTCAGCTGGTGCTGCGTTTGTGTCGAATAGTAGCGGAGAAGGCGATCCTGTTATGGTTGCAGCGACTGGTTCTTCGAGGCCGGCAGATGTCGCTGGGGATCCGATGCTATCTTGATCGGGCTCGTCCAAGTCATCAGTCACAGCCCTCCGACTTTTGCGACGTGTTGGTCTGCCGTACGAACATTTCGCCTGTGTCTGTGAACAGACACCACAAGGTTGGCCTCCATCGCATCTGACGCGACTGTTTCGGCAAGCNNTTGACCTTCCCTCGAAGTAAGTAGAAGCCTTGTGAGACGATGACAAGAACCCTCAACACTCACAAGCAGTATGACAGCGTCGTCGATCTCGCTCGTTCCGGCTGCTTGCGCCAACCTGATGGATTCTCTCGTGCCTCGCCAACAGATCTTTCCTGCGAAAGCTTATGTCACAGATTGAGCACGTGTGCCGCCCTTCAGACGCATGGTTGTGCGCGTGACGCGTCAAGGAGCTCTGAGTGGCGTACGACCTGGAGCAGACGCTGCATTCAAACATGGCAGAAGTGGCAGGTGGTATCTGACGATTCGATTGAAAAGTCGCGCACGGAGAAGGGTCTTCGGACTCCTCGGTCGTCTTGGTGGCCAGAAACCCCAGCTTCTCCAGCTTCCCCGGATTACCGGGGACGCCACATATGCCACCACCTTTCTCTTATGCCACTTTACCCAGACGCTGCTGCTATCCTACGCTTGTCTTTCTGTCTATCCGAATTACCTCAGTGGCTCCTCATGCTCGTATATTTGAGCGCATATCTTTTCGACATGTATGAGCCATCACATCATCCCCCTTTCGCACAACTGTTACCACGCTCCAAACCTCATCATGGGAAAATCCGCCTTCATCACGGGTGCCAATGGAATCAGCGGCAGCGCAATCCTGGAATATCTTGTTGCAAACACCACCTCTGAGCAATGGAGCGAGATCATTGTCACTTCGAGAAGTCCCTTCAAAACTACTGTCTCGGACCCACGCATCCGGTTTATCGCCTTGGACTTTACTGAATCCGCCTCCGAGCTTGCTGAGAAAATGCGCGATATCTGCAAATCGGTCACTCATGGCTACTTCTGTTCCTACATCCACAAAGATACCTTTGAGGAGCTCAACGGCGCCAATCGCAGCCTGTTCGAGAACTTCCTCGACTCGTTGATCGAGGTCGCGCCTGCTCTGGAAAATGTCACGTTGCAGACCGGAGGAAAGCATTACAATGTTCATCTACATCCAGTCATGTCGCCTGCTCGCGAAGAGGACCCCCGGGTCAAGGAGACCATAGACAACTTCTACTACCCGCAAGAGGACTATCTCATCTCGCGACAGAAGGGCTCGAAATGGGTGTACAATGTTGTGCGTCCCGAAGCAATCATTGGGTCCACCCAGAAACCAAATGGCATGAATGAGGCTCTTACTATTGCCCTCTACTTTTCCATTTGCAAAGAACTCGGCGCAGATGCTCCCATGCCCACTAACCAACGATACTGGAGTGGAGTCGACGACGTCTCTTATGCCCCGCTCATCGCTGACCTGACTATATTCGTGTCCACCAACCCTCGATGTGGCAACGAAGCATTTAATGTGACCAACGGAGACTACTTCACTTGGCGTTACATGTGGCCACGCCTTGCCGCTTACTTTGGCGTCAACGGTACGTCTGATCAGGTCTTCAAGAAGGACGTTCCCAAGGAAGGTGACGTCCAGCTTGACTTCAGTCTGGGCGAGTGGTCAGTCGACAAGAAACAGGTGTGGGATGCACTCTGCGACAAGAAGGGTGTCCCAGGCGCCAAGTCCACCTTTGAATTTGGAACATGGCACTTCCAGGACTGGGTCTTCCAAAGAACATGGAGTGCTACTCTAAGCATTAACAAGGCTCGTAAATTTGGCTGGACTGGACACATCGATTCTTACCAGAGTTTCGTTGAGACCTTTGATCGATTCCGAGCATACGGCATGGTTCCCTGAGATCTTTCGGTTGAGTGGCGGTATTTGTTTGCCAAATGAGACTTCTTGTATGATAGTGGATGGAGAGAATATTTTAGTGGCGAATCACGCAAGTGGCTATTTAGAGATTGCATTACTCCCGGCAGCCCTGCAATTTTATCGTTCCCTTGTTCGTTCGGACAGCTCCATCACTGTGGGATGGCTTCAATCGACTGTGACCTTTTATCTCGTGCGTCTCGTCGTTACTCTCACTCTGAGGTCTCGAGATAGGTTCGAGGGGTTAGTCCCATCCTCGTCCGGGCAAACATTTATTGAGCTAAGGTCCTCTCCAAGCTCAAAGTAAGGATCTGATTTTGGAGTACTGGCTATAACAAAGAACGGATGAGTGCGTTGCGAAGCAAGGACAATCTTTGATCTGTATTGGTTGGAAACGTGGAGTTGCCGAGCAATCTATTTTTGACAAGGCGACGAAGTGACAAGGTATTGAAAAGCTCGAACAACATATGTGATGAGTGGCATGGAGATGACGGCAATACAATACAATTAAGTACAATTTGCTCAATGCTAAGAGAGAAGGGCTCAACAGAACTGAAATAACCTCTCTTCCTCTAAGCGTAGTAGCTTGGGGCCAACTTGTACCGCATCAAAACCTCTCTATCGTGTCCGAAGATCAATTTGGCTCCTGTGGTTTTCTGTAAGAAGTGTATCATCTGGTTGGACTGCGACCATGAGTGATGATCCCGGGTCAGCCATCCCTGTGGGGCTAATGAGTCGTAATTTTCTTGAACAACGTATTGATCTGACGTGAGGACCCAGGTACCGCTGTCTTTCAGATTGATTTGCGCGATGCATAGACCAGGCGTGTGGCCGGGACAATGGTGTAGGAAGATGCCTCTGGCAAAACCAAGACTGGCGCCTGTAANAGGCCGCCAGTTCAAGTCGAACTGAAGGTATGATGGAAGGTAGAGGCNCTATTTTTTTCCACGCAGTTAGTCTTCGGACCCTTTTCCTGATCTCTTTCCGGCAATCTTCCATAGACATGGTAACTCACCTAGATCGGTCTTGCTCGCCACACTGTAAAACGCATGCTTGAGTTCCAGCTCATGGGTGTAGATGGGTACGTCGGTGTTGCGGAAGTGCTCGAGGCCGCCAGCGTGATCGATATGCAGATGACCAATGATGACGGCTTTGACATCCTTGATATCGTTGCCTGTCAATTTGATCTGGGCATCCAACTCCATGTCTTCGGTGTAGCCTTCTCTGGCAAACAGATCCACGAGCTGTGGTCCCCAGACCTTGGGGTAGTCTTTTCCAGCGCCGGTCTCAAAGAGAATCAAACCTTCTTCGGGATGGTAGATGAGAACCGAGATCATGACTAGAGAACGCCGAGCATTTTCTGGGTTGGGGTTGCTGGCCGTGGATGCACTGGCCTAATCTGCTGATCAATATCAATCGTTGCGTGGGACGTTGACCAACGTACGCCTGTAATGAAGAAAGCTTCATCGGCCACCATGTTGCCGACGTGCAACAACCACAGCTTCGTTCCCTTGCGTAGCGTGTTAGTGAATTCGACTGTGACAAGAATGTTGCTTGTTACTTACATCAGGGGCTACTTGCGTCGGAGCGATCGACATTTTGGGAGTTGAAATCGAGATTGTTTCGTATGAAAGCAAACATAGGACAAGACCGCAGTCACTGTAATATATACCATGATGGTTCGAGACCGAATTGCGGGGATACAATGTCTCAGAACCCCTCCACACGGCGCAAGAGGAGTTCCCATTTTCTGGGGTAAGTGGTCGGATAATGTGGCACATGCATCCACCAAGCCTTTGGAAGAGCGGCGACTGTTGTAAGATATCATCAAATCCAAGCTTCTGGCTACAACGAGCGATGAGACGGCGTTCTTGATACCGTACAGACGCACCGACCGGCTCCCCCTCATGCGCAGGCCCTCGTCGTGTATTGGCCTCTTTGACTAACAAATCTGGATGAGAGACACCTTCACCATCACCAAAACCTATCGTATAGACCCCGGACCTTGTGAGTGATTTAACGGTATGCTATGCTTTCCTGAACTGTGCCGGATTCAGTTTTGTACAACCTGAGCCTTACAATACATTGGATTCTCAAAGCCAATCCGCGATCAGGTTGACACGGTGCAAACATTACGCCGAACCCAGCTTCATGCATCACAATCGACGATACGACGCGGATGAACCTTGGTCCGCCATGCACGACGCTGCAGGGAGGGGTAAGCTATATGAACAACACAATCAGCATCAACACGTTTTGTACAATCATCCCGATCACCGTGTCTGGCAACATGGCGCCCATCAAAGTTGGACTCGTTGGTTTAAGTACTGCATCGAAGGTAACGAACTGGGCTGCAATCGCACATCTCCCATACCTGCAATCAAAACAAGGCAAAGCTCTCTTCGACGTTGTCGCCCTTTGCAATTCCTCTGTAGACAGTGCAAAAAAATCGATTCAACACTACGGTCTTGCCGAGTCGGTCAAAAGCTACGGCTCTCCAGCAGATCTGGCTGCCGACCCCGATGTCGAGTTAGTCGTCTGCGTGGTCGGTGTCGAGAACCACTATGATGTATTGCTCCCAGCGATCAAGGCTGGAAAGAATATCTACACCGAATTACCTCTGGCATCCAATCTCAAGCAGATGCAAGAATTGGTGGATTTAGCCGAGAAGAAAGGTGTGCGAACTATGTTTGGATCTCAAGGGCAAGCTCATCCAGCTGTTCACTTACTCAAGAAGATGATAGCAGAAGACAAGGTTGGAAAAGTTCTAAGTACAACGTTTGTTGGAACAACAGGGTTTCCTCTCACGAAAGTGCCAGCTTCCTTCCGAGTGGTCGGAGAACGCGCAGCCGGAGGCAACTTCGCGACAATTTGGTTCCTGCACAGTGAGTCTTGTGTCAATGTCAGAAGCAGCCTCATGCTAACAACCATAGGCATAACTTGTCTTCTGGAAGTCTTTGGCGAACTTGAAGCGTTCAGCAGTATGATGGGTAATGATTATCCAACTATGGACCTCGTCGATCCGACCCAGTCGGGTAAAATCGTCGACAGCATCACAAAAGACACTCCTGACAACATCCATCTCCAAGGCCGCTTCTCATCTGGAACTTTGATCACATATCAGATGCGTGCAGGCGAAGTCTTCCCCGGCGAGCCTGGCTGCTGCTGGATCATCAACGGCGAAAAAGGCGATATCCAAATCACAAACCCTCGAGGCTGCTTCGACATTGAACACAAAGGTCTCGAAATCAAGTACAAGAAAGCCGGCGAGCGAAAGGCAGAGACAATCGAGCTGTCCGAAGACGGATATACTACGCTCAACCATCCAGCTCAGAACGTCGGCCGTTTGTACGAGGCTTTCGCAAAGGGAGATACGGCTTCATATGCTGATTGGAATGTTGCGTTGAGGAGGCATAAGCTCATTGATGAGATGTTCGCGAGAGGAGATGATGATAAGCCATTTGGCGAGGTGGCGCAGTACATGAAGTGATGCGTTAAAGACCTTCGAGTCAAATTCAGGCAGCCATCATAGATAGCTATAGAAATGCACAGTAATTTTCATAACAAAGGCATTTCCATGGAGACAAGGTCATTATTGAGCTTCTCTATGATCACGCTCCTTTCCTTATAAAGCGACTCGAATCCTCACATCCTTCGATCATGGATGCTTGGGTGCACTCTCCTCACAGCGTCAGGCTCGGCAATAGCCAAGCGATTTGAAGCATCCCCTTGAACCATCGCTCCATATTTGACTTCTCTCTGGCCAACCTCTCGAATCAGTTGCTTCACTGGAGCATTGGCAACAGTCGGGTGATCAAGGATGGGAGCGCGGAAAGCGTTAGCGATCTCGAAGGGCCCAAGAGTGACATCTCGCCCGAGCTGCCAGTATCCCCAGTAGCTTGGAAGGACGCAGAAAACGCAGAAAAGTATCGAACCCATAGCGCCGTACATGAAGTTGCGGTTCGTTCGATAGTGGATGCTTGTGCCGTATTCAGTGGCACGGATCGGTGTTGTCAGGGAGTGGTTGTTATCGCTGTTGAGGTACCATGGATCATTAGACAATGTAAACATCAGTGAATTGATCTGACGAATAGTGTAGTCCAAGGGGTCCTGATACTCAAAGTCGCAACCAGCAGAATCGTTGCGGAAGTAGTCAAATGGACTGACTCCGGCTGCACCGGTCTCGTCTACAACAAACTGACCTGCCTCGTAGCGCATTTTGCTAGTCCCGGCGAAGTATTCGTTGAGCACCTTGGCGATACCTCCAATGACGGTCGCCGATCCCTCGGGCAAAAACGAAGGATCCTCTAGGATGTCCTTGTAAGTAACCAGCGAGTAGTTGTTTAACTGATGTATTGTTGAATTGTAGAAGGTTATTCGATCATCCCATGATCACTTCGTGTCTTCTGTGTAATAGGTTTGGAATTCTTCATCAAAGTAGTAGACCAAGCCTCCAATGATAGTGGTGTTATAGCCGAGATACATGTTCGACACGTACGGGACACTGTCTGAATACGTGTTGTCTTCCACTGTGACGGGATAGTCGATGATGGCCGGGCGCAAGATACAGTTACGTCGAGTCAATGTGCCTGGACAACTAGTTGAGTTCCCCTCGAGAGCGGTCGCGTTCGAGAAAGTGAGATTCATCTCTATCCTGGAGTAGTAGTCATCGACTCCAGCACCCCCGTAGAGAGGCTGAAAGGTAACGTCGAAGAGAGTGCGATTGACGTTGAGAGACGACGAAGTGTTATTTTGGGACGGTGTAACTGCTTGTTGGGAGACACTTGCTCCATAGTCCATCTCAAGCTGTTCGCTTTGGCAGTCAACAGCAAAACCGGTACCTTGGATCTTGTATGTGCATGTCCCATTGCACGGTTGTGAGTTCACATCTGGCGGGAAGAGACCACCAGTTCGGGACCAATTATGAACGTTGGCGCTGAACCATTGGGCCAGAGCGACGTTGCCAGATTCGTCCGCAACGATCCCCGTATAAGGCATGCTGTTGTTGACATATACATCGATAGTGACATTGCGGGCCTTGTCAGATTGAAGGGTGGTGCCAGCAGCTTTCTGCAACAGAATGCCATCAATGATAGTCAGTTTCGCAGCCAGGGCCGCTAGAGCGATGAAGTTGAAGTATCTGCCGTACAGCAGAATGTCCTTGATGCTCGAGCTGTATTGCCAAGAACGATGAAGCTCTTTTATGGTGGCGCCTCTGAGAGCCTTCCTCCACCAGGTAATTGCGACGCCGTTTGCAATGGCCACTCCGAAGGCGATGTTTGCGATGCCGTTGAAGCCGGAGAGCAGAACACTAGGTCCGATCTTTTGCGCCCAATGCAGCTGCCTTTTGCCATCGGAGACAAGAAGCACGATGATTGAGCTATTCGCACACAGAATAACGATCAGCAGTGCGATGAATCCGTTCCAAGGAAATCTGGCTCTGAGCCCTGTCCTCCACTGAGGATCAGGGAAGGCTTGCTCTTCGTTGTCGAGCTGGACTGTGTTGACTTGAGGTTCTTCTTTGCCGTTAGACATATTTGGGAAAGTAAAGAGGACGAGAAGATGATTCCTTTCGGATTCTTAAGGATGAGGTTTATATATGGTCAAGAGAAGGCATGGTCAACCAGCTGCCCGTAGCAGATGAGCTGAATTGGGCGTGCTCATAGCCATTTTCCATATTCTGTCGCAGCTGGAAGTATACGCTGAGCGAACTTTCTCATGCCGTTCGTACGCTCAGGAAGTTCACAGCTGGAGTAGAGTTGTAGCGCGCATGTAGATTTGTTCACAAGAGTGCTGTATGTATGTGAAAACCTTTGAGGGTGTGCTAAAAGTCCGGTTGCCGAGAAATGATCGAGGATTGGATCCGCAACATCTTGTCGGTCTCACATGGACAAAGAGGTAGCTTGTCGGACAGGCCGAATGTGCCGTGCGTGCAGCCTCACAGAGTGTATCATGGCTGTTCAGCTGCGCCTGATGAAGTATGAAGAAGCTGAAACGCAGGAAGAAGTGTAAGCGTGGCGCACATGCGTTATAGAACACTTGAGATGTCATACAGAGCAGATGTTCAAGCTGAGCTTCCTAGATTCTGAATCTCTACTTGCCAACTCATATCAAATCTCACCGGACGACATGTTAGAGTCCAAAGATACTGCAGGCATCTGATCGAGGATACACGATGGCGCTGCTGGTCGAGTAATAGAGAGGAACTTGGGACGCAGCTTCAAAGTTCAGATTCTTTGACCAGAAATTGAACGTTCTCCAAGCGAGCAGGGGCGCTCCTGCTCTAAGCTGACGGAACGCGCTCGGTTCCCCACGATTTTCACGAACCCCACCTTCAATTCTTGACCTTCAGACTCTTTCCTGCTTCATACTTCCATCGTGCATGAAAACACGCAGAACAAGGAAGTCCAACATGATCGGACCATACGTTGAAGCTCATCCCGAAGCATGGATATCTTGCTTGTTTCTCAGAGAGGTCGGGTGACCATCAATTCAATCTCTGGACAGCAAAAGCTACGCCATATCCTGGTCAACAAGTGCCTTGAGCGACGCAAGGAAGTCTGCGCAATATGCATACGAAAAAGCCTATCAGTATGAAGCTCTTTCTCTGCCAGCTGTTTTTAGCTTTGCGATGGAACCTCTTCCGCGATCTGGCAACTGGTTTGAGCAACGGACGCGGCCGAAAATTAAGCATATCGCTCAAGGCATGGCCGAGGCTCTTATCAGGGCTGATAGACCGATTTGGACAGGTACGTACCGAGACCACGCAGGCGCGGAGGGTGAATTAGGAAGAAGCATGATCTGAAATTTGTGATTGGCTGAGCGGCATGGCCACCACGTGAATTCCGCTCTTGGAGCTGAGGTACATGCAAGAGAACCATACTTACCACACTTCGTTTGCATAGTATTAACAGTACTGCTATCACATACCGGAGACCAGGGAGTCAAAGCGCAGTCACTACCATTCAGCTCAGGAAAGGGTAATGGTGCTTGACGCGCTTGGATCAAATGCTTCTTCTGGAACGAACTGGCTCGCTCGCGAGCAGACACAGGAGAGCTGTACAAACAGAGAGAAGCTGAGTGCCAACCGTGGAATTTCTGTGTTTACACCCCTGCAACAATATATACTGTCCCATCGACTCTTTCCTGTTAAGCAGCACTTCCATCCCAATTCGCAAACAACGTCCTGCAACTACTTTCCATCTTCTCCCTCGCTTCATCTATTTCCACGAAGATGGCTAGTGACGAAGCCATCATACCCGTCGACATCCTGACATACGGTGCTGTCGACAAGTTCAAAAATGATGTGACAGTCACCGCTACCGCCATTGATTCGCCTGATTCGCCTAAACAACGCCCGACCATTCAACTGCAAGGTCGTCGCAGAACCACCTCATCCTTGGGCCAACCAGAACAACCAACTCTGCACAACACCACCGACGATACTCTGACACAAATCGGCAACCTCTTCAAGAAGATTCATGGATTTTCCATCATCACGCGATATGCGTTGTATGTTTTGCCAGTCGCAACACTCTTGATCATTCCTCTCGCGCTTTTCGACACTATTTACAAAGATGCCCGAGCTGGCCACATTCGTCTCCTTGGCTTGTTCATCTGGCTGGAGGTCGTCTGGGTCGGCCTTTGGGTCTGTAAGCTAATGGCTAAAGCACTGCCTGTAGTCTTCCAAGCTGCATGCGGTATCGTGAGCACAGGCATAAGGAAATACTCGCTTGTCCTGATGGCCCTTGAGATACCTATCAGCCTCTTCCTTGCTTCCATTGTGAACTGGGCGACGGTGCCTGTGATATGCTCTTTTGACCAAGGTCACTGTCATGATCAATGGCTGGTGACGCTTCACACTGTCTGTCTCGCAACCATCGCAGTCGCTGCTGTTTTTCTGGCCGAGAAGTTCTTCGTGCAGCTCATCAGTATCAACTACCACCGCAAGCAGTACGACAGAAAGATCAAGGACTCGAAAAGGCTCATCTCTATACTGGACATGATGTCTGATGCTTCACGACAGTTATCACCACCCTTCTCACGCGAATTTGCGGACCTTGATTACGACATCTTCGATCCTGATACTTCAGGCATCAAGAAGAAACTTGGTCAAGCCGGCATACGGACTAACATGATCAACGACATTGGCCGTGCGAGGGACAAAGTCACCTCTGCTTTTGGCAACATCGCATCCGAAATTTCAGGAAAAACCATCTTCAACCCAAACTCTGCTCATTCCATCGTCATCGGAGCACTTGAGACACGTCGTGCTTCCAAAGCACTGGCACGTCGTCTCTGGCTAAGCTTTGTGCCTGAAGGCAAAGATGTACTGCTAGTACAAGACATTCGAGATGTGCTCGGAGCCCATCAAGCTGAAGAAGCCGATGAAATATTCAATGCTCTTGACAAGGACTGCAACGGCGATGTCAGTTTGGACGAAATGATCATGCTCGTCATGGAGGTTGGCACTGAACGCAAGAATAGAGCCTCGAGCATGCATGACATTAGTCAGGCCATCGAGGTGCTTGATCGTATGCTTGTCGTCGTGGTATTCGTCGCTATTGCCTTCATCTACGCTGCCTTCTTCAGCAAGACCCTTGCTTCCAAGACTGCTCAGCTCTGGTCTGTGCTTACTGGCCTCGCGTTTGCCATCGGTGGTACCGTTACCGAGTTCCTTGGTTGCTGTATCTTCCTCTTCGTCAAGCATCCGTATGACGTCGGCGACCGTGTCGACATTGACAAGACCGAGCTCATTGTCGAACACATCTCGCTCATGTACAGCGTCTTCCGCCGAGTTGACAACGATAAAACTGTCCAGGTCTCTCACGCTGTTGCTAATACTCTTTGGATTGAGAACGTCTCTCGTAGTAAAGCAATGAAGGAACGCGTTACCCTGGGCGTATCTGCAGCGACTACATCGGCAGATATCAGTGCTCTACGCATCGAATTGAAGGAGTTCGTGAGAGCAACAGACAATGCGCGAGATTACCAGCCCGATCTGGATGTCGAAGTCGTTGGCATCGGCAATCTGGATCACCTTGACCTGATGATTGAGATCAGACACNNAAAGTAAGCTAACAGCCAATGTGACAATTCAAGGACTTGCTAACTTTACTCCCAGTCCAATTTTTCAAACGAATCTTTGCGGGCATCTCGTCGCAATAAATTCATGATTGCTCTTCTGGCCGCTATCAAGAACGCAGGTATCGAAGCACCATGAGCTATGTACTTATCACTCTCTGTGGACTATGTCAAGTTTTGAACAAATCTGTGCATTTTTATAGCTTACAAGATTACTGCTCTCCATCGTGGGAGAGAGGCTGATAAGAGATTGTGACTATCTGTCTGGCGCTTCTCTGGACGTGTTGGCTGTGATTGGCCCTCCCTGCTCTGCAACGCTCATTCATGGTCAAAGCTTTCTTCTTCTTCGTCCATGAAGTTGTGGGCGTGGTTTTCCTTCGCTTCAATCGTCGTAAGATGGATGTCGCACAATTGGTGCAGACACAGATGACAGCTGAGCATGCAGAAGAACCTCCTTGGCCGACGGACTGGTGGGTGGCTTGTATAGGCTTCTGAACTCCTCAACTTGTGAATGCGCATTTTCGATAACTACCGTTTCTGCTGAGGGGACAGGTGTTGATCGTCTCGCCCTGGGATTATGGCTTCTTGGACCGTACGTTTAATGCTTTCCTTAGCCTGCTGAGAGGCCGAGCCTTGAGGTTCCTCCATCAGGCTTCTTGCGGCTGCGTTCCGTGGGTCTCAGATCATGGTCTGGTATGGCATCCTAAAACTCTGGCAGGGACATGTCGGTCCAGTTTGCAAGGGCTTGAGGACGGAAGCATGAATAGGAGTGGCCTTCTCAGCATGAAGCCAGGACCTTCGGGCACACGCTCAAGTAGCCATTCTGTTCTTGCGCCACGGCTTGCCGGAGGTATGCGAGGCTAGAGGTGCCGGGTGGACATTGTGTGCTTATAGCCGGCTCTTGAGGGGATCGCAGTGCCAGCGACCCTCCTCGTTTCCGCACTTGTTGCGCATCAAGATCAGATTGGACTGAGGATCAGAAGTGTAACCTGAGCGCCAGAAATCGTGGTTAAGCTGGAAACGGCAAGATTGATGGAGATGGTTGGTGCTGGGGTACAGGGGCATGAGCGAGTACGGACTGAAAGTTCTGATGCGGCGAAGAGCGCTGTTGTCGTGGGTGCAGCATGGCTTACTCGGACGCACGCTGCGCTTGTTGTAGATGGTCGATTAGTCAGTTGTGGGATCGAACCGAACAGAAGCTGTCGGTCATCTCTTCCAAGGTTGCGCTCGTGTTGCTCTGGGCTTGTGGGTATAGTGGGTCTCATCTCCGTTCTCTGAAAACAGAATTGCCTCTTTCTGAGCAGGACCTGGACTTGTGTCTCGAGGGCTGGAATCGCAAGTGGGTGACCGGGACCGTCGTTATAGTACGAGAGGTTGATGCTGTCGATGGAGCGAGAGTCTCGAGAGATGATTGCGCGACTGGACTGGAGTGGAAGGCTCACGGCGCCGTGGTGCGCCAGTCATCTGTTATGGATTGACGCGCATGCTGAGGACGAGATCGGAGACACATGGAAGACATGTAACATTTCGAGTCTGAGTACCGACAGATGACTTGCAAGACTTTCCAATCGGACACATCGACTGCACACAAGGAAGGGGCGGGAAGCGCTCCTGAATTCGAAACCTGGAGAAGGCGCTAGTGACGCGTTTCACCTTGATGGATTGCTCGAAAGTCTGGGGAATAGCGTCCATGTCAACTCTCGAATTGACACCCATGAAGGACGGGAACGTAGAAATAAACGTTAATAAGTGTAAGCCGTAGAGAAACGTTGATCCTACAAGCATTCGGACTTAGCCTAAAGATGGAAACTATATAACAGCCTATGAGAATATCTCTTTGTATTGAGAAGTAGGATATGTCTTAGAGCACTTGATAAATCTCCCACTTATGTATGGCGCCATGATGTGCTATGATAATGTACAGTCGGTCTCTACATAGCGGGTGTGGCCATAGAGATGCATAAGAATGGCCTTGTCTCAGTGGAGGAAACTCAAGGTTGTGCCATCCCAGCTTCCTTCCGGCAGTTTCTTGTGGTGTAACCGAAACGGTGACGGGTACCGAAGACAAGTTGCGACAGAAACGATTGTTTCGCCCCAAGCTGATACAGCGAGCAGTGGTGAAAGGTCCGGCTTTCGATATCTGTCTTGAGAGCATTGTATCGATAGCTGATCTCAGAAAAGAAAGGTAGAGTATCCAAGTTGAAGGGATGAGGTACTGCACCAAGGAAGGCAGACGGGCCTTCTTATAATAAGCTCCAGTCCTGTGCGACATTGCTACATGGCGATGCGCATACGGAGGCTCGCCAACGCTAGCCAGACAGGGCAGTGTTGGTAGCGACTGCGGATTTAACGATCTCGGAGCGGCTTCGCCTACGCTAGCCCAATGCGGAAGTCGTCGCCGAATGACTATCTTGCATGATCAACAGTTCCAGAAAGTTTCCAAGTCTTCTATGATTCGATGGACTGGCCACCCGATCTCAAGGCTGCTGGTCAGCAACAGTTGCTTGAGCGCTTGGCGCTGCATGGACATGTCAGATATCTTCCACCTGCTCGAGTCAGCCTCAAACTCTATTCTCTCCGGGGGACCGATGTCTAGTCATAGTGTGTTATAGAAATGCACTATGCTTCTCAAAACGAGGCGGTGTCCATAGAGAGAGTATCACGATTGGATATCTCCATGGTCACGGTCCTGTTTAGCAAGTAATTGTGCATCTTGATAGCATCGAATAACGCTCGATGACGGGGTGGGATAGAGGTAGATGGTAAGATTGTGACAGTATCTTACTAGCGGAGAGAATCATTGGACGTGACGACTTACAAAAAGCCATAGGTCCAAAGGCATTGACTCTTACAGCTCTGTTCTCGTTTGTATAGGCTATACCACACAGTCTCTCCACATTCTTGGTATCAGGTTCTGTATCTGGGTTGTATAGCTGCAGTAAGGTCTTTGCAGTCAAGTAGTATTGTTCGGCTGCAANCTGATTTTTGGTCAGCAGCAGTCGGATTGTTAAGACGATAATTTTGTACTCACTGTGCCATGGTCGTAAATACCATTCAGATGGGAAGGGACTGCCTGATATCGGACCCCGCGAGTATGCTGCATAAGTGATTGGTAAATTGTTCCTCCAAAAGACAAGGTCAGCGTTTAGCTCTATCCAGTCATCTTGCTTGAAGCTTAGGGACTCTCTGTTTTCGTCTCCGCTGAAGCAAAGATTGATTACATGTGCCAGGATGTAGGTGATGATATTGGCGTGCATGCTCTCTGATCGAATGATTGTGTTCGGGATATCCAGGTGAATATTCAGCCGTACTGGTCTTTGACACTCCAGTGCAACTGTAATCTCCTCACGCAGGTAATTCCAAGCTCCCGCCTGAAGCAAGCCTGTCATGGTCATGTCAATTTCTTCTGTCGATGAGAAACGATATGCGCCCAAGAGATGTCGCTGCTCTTGTCTTGAGTCGGCTGCAGAAGAATCAGAGGAACTTTCAACGTATCAAACACACCATGGAGTACCTCTTAGAATCTCGTACGAGCGCAACAAGCAAGCTGCCACCAGATAGTCTTCTTGCAGGGTTGAGTTGAAGTCACCGAGTCCACTGAGAAGCCCTTGTATGCAAGCGTTATGATATAATGTGCTGCAATCATCGTAGCGCGAATCGCCCAATGTTTTGTGTTGAGCTGAAAGGGCAATGATGGCATTGAACAAAACCGATACTTCTAGCGCTCTGGACGGGACCAGAGCCTCGAAGTAGCGATCGTGCTCACAGAGATCGTACCAAGGTGCGAGATGCTCGATATAGTGAAGATAGAGACCAGCAATTGTTTCGTTGCGCAGGTCTTCTGTAGGGCTGATCGGGTCCGGAATGTTAAGAGGTGGGTTCCCATCAGAATTTGATTCGGTCGACGTTGACTGTTCAGCTACATGAACAAATTCCGATTGAGTTCGCATCGCCGCTAGCTCTCGCTCGGGTTCAGTCAAGGTATGCGTCGCTGTGTAGACAACGGATTTTCGCTCCGGATCTGGCCTTTCGCATCGAACACGTCGTCTCGCACATCTTTGGCAGACAGGTCGGTCGCCATNCACCTGTTTTGGCGTGTGAGTAGTCGCAAAATGTCCCGTCTCCATCTTATACATACACTTGACCTTTCGTTGGCGACATGTGAAGCTGGGATGTCATTCAGTCGAAGGCCTGTCGCAGGAGCAGTCGCATTTCCTACCAAGCTGACACGTTGTCAGCTGAAACCCTGATCATCGATGTCCACCTACAATCTGAAGGCACAGCTCTCGGTATCGTACGAGAGTATTAGTTGAGGGGTTTGTTGCTCAAAAAAGTCCAGATGAACGGTTTCTCATGAGGACTGCGACGCGTGTGACGAATGATCAAGTTTGGCACGAATGACATGATGGCAACTTGATGGGGTCGTGCCAAGATGATGAGTATTATAGCAGGGTGCTACCCTTGACAAGCCTTTCTCGGGGATGATGGAGTTCTGATAGCCACGCGAATATTCCTAGATATCTGGGTCTATGGAACTGTCCGATCAATACCCAGAATAGATGCACTAGAGTATTGTTCATACTCTTGCAGATTCGACGGTGTGGTCTTGGGATTTGCTGATTTGATCATGCTTGCCCCGGGAGACACACTCAGATCTCGACAATGGAAATCCGCTCTCCATGAATGGGAGAGTAAGATCTTCACTGTTTGATCCACAGCGTCATCGTGGGAAGGCCGCATTCTGTTGCAAAGTAGAAAAGACAAAGTGCGCTTTCGAATTGTTGGCTCCCAGCGAATATTGCCTTGTTTCTCAATAGACTGTGCATTTCTATAGCTACACACGTGCCTTTAGTACAGGAGATATGGAGTCTTGGGCCTGTTGGTCCAAGACCCGCATCGATCAGGTGGACCGTGCAGCTGCCAGGTCTCGTCATTCTTTCTTGGCGAGTCATGGAAAAACCGTTCAGCTCACGGGCAGCACAAACCCTTTCTGGGAACCCTGTGTCCCTCACGACAACATTGATTGTCCCTCGCTTAATGTGATTGAACGGCAGACATGGCCAATGGTTCTGGCAAACAAGCTTCCTTTGCGTGGGTCGAATATGACCCTCGAGCCTTGGAGGAACGCAGAGCTCTAGGCATTTACAAGCAGCAGCGGCGTGTGGTGCGGGCGCATGTCGCCCACACTTCATCCGGCGCCCGGAAAGCTACCATCGCAAGGAAAGAATCCATCAGCAGAGCCGCAGGACTGAAGAGAGCAATCAAAGCCCCACCGAAGCCGACCGAAACATCACCGTTAGCATCACAAACACAAGATCAAGCAGACAAGGCAGCCTACGAATCCATCTCGCGTCTGNNTTTTTCGAGACTGCGTTCGCAAGATGCGAACGCCATTGCCTCCATGGCGAGGAAGTCTGACCGAGTCTTGCTCTGGAATGCTTTCACTGGTGGTACGATATGTTTCGAAGCAGCGATGTTTGTCGCGGGGACCTATGCGAATACCTGCGGTCTCACAAGGCACGAATTGCACACTGGCTTCGGCAGCGGGCTGCTGTTTCTTCGCGGAGCTCTTCTCGACGGTATCCAGAAGACGATTGTTCACACACCAAAAGATAGCTTCAACTCCATCTCTATTGCTCTCCTAGCTGGCTGGGAACGCAAATTCGGCGATCATCAATCTTACGAGGTTCACATGCAGGCATGGAAGACCTTACCTCTGGCACTCGGATCACTGGAAGATACTAGTATCACTGCACTGGCAGATGTGGCCATGACTTGCTTCCAAGAGGCAACCCAAGAGCGGTACATCGCAGAGACGGCATTCTCGCTTGGTCGATCTCTGGCATACGGGACAGTGTTGCCCGAGGGTCTACCACCAGGCTTTCACGTCATACCCACTGACCGACCCGAGGCAGTAAGTCTTCTGAGTACAATCTCCAAGTGCGCGAACTTTGACTACGCTGCACCCAACTCCATCGCAGAGTTTCGGAAGCTCGTCATAGAGACCTTGTCATGGAGTGCGAGTCATTCCATCTCCGCGGCACCAGACGAAATGTACGAGGAACAATGGGACAAGATACAGCTCAATGCCTGCTACCATATCCGATCAGCCATGATCTCGGCAAACGCGCCCGTCATGTGGGCATGCATCAGCGCTCACAACGGGACCTGGGCCTTTGATGTCCAACAAGGCATCGACATTCATGCCGAGGCGTGTAAGCACCTCAAGACTTACAAACTCATGGGCACAAAGTATCAAGATGTAGCAATCTGGGCCAAGATGACACTAAACAGCCATGCCACACCCACCCAGAGCGGAGACGAGCATATCAGTGCGTTGATGAAGGATTCCGGCGTCAGGACCTGGGAGCATATGGAATCGCTGCTCAAAAGATTTATGTACAGAGAAGAGCTGGCTGGCGCGAAGTATCGGAGGTTGTTCGATGCACTTGTTTACTAGCCACGAACGATCACGACAGAACATGAAAACAGTCATATCAGAAAGAACATGTATCGGATATTATTGCTGTATAAACAAGAAGCATTTGCACGACCATCGAAACCTCGAAAATTGACAAAGGAAATCATTGTACGTTCGGGGCCTTCCAACTGCGCGGGAGACGGATGCTTTGTGGCAAGAACGACAAGTCGTTGGAAAGAAGCCATGACGCTGAGCTGCTCTAGACCAACAACATAGCAACACCGACAGCGAGAGCCATGACCATGGCGGTACTGCCACCAAGACTGAAAGCAGATCCAGTGTAGGTAGCGAGTGGCGGGCTCGAATCAGTAGCGGTAGCATCGAGGCGAGAAGTCGCGACAGCAGCGACAGTCTGAAGAAGACGAGGAGTTGATGTGTAAGTCATGGTGTCGCCTTCGAATGCGACGCTGGTGAACGGCAAGACAGCGACAGAAGATGCGCTGGGAAAGGAAAGTCTTTCGGCTACAGCAGCAGATGGTTTGAGCGACGAGCGGTCGAACTCTCCGGGTGCCAGAACNNGCTGAGATCGGTTAGCAAGGACTTTTCGCATCTGTATCGAGATAACTTACGTATCAATGACATGGGCGACACAGTTGAATAAGATTGTGTTTGGGAAAGTAATCCTGGCATTATTGACCCAGGCAGAACCGTCAGGCAAGACAGTGAAGGTCAGGTTAGTACCTTGGAGTGAAGGGACGCTGACATTACCAAGCGACGGCGAGAAGATGACGCTATTGGGGATGATGTGAAACTTGAGAACTTGCTGAAGTGTTTCAAGGTCCGCAGTCTCAAGTACAGAGCCGATAGATTCAAAAGCTGCGTCAGTAGGAATGAAGATGGTAAAATCAGAGATATTGAGGCCCTTCTGGTCTGGGCCGCTAAGACCAACATCGAAGCCGAGGTTGGCAGCCTCAAGGGCAGCGTTCATGGCACGATATGCAGCACGGTAGGTCCAAAGCTGGAGAGGAGGCCCAAATGAAAACACAGTATCGACTGTATGAATCGTGATACCTTCACCGAGCTTAATGTCGGCTTGAGTCACGGTTGAAATGGTCTCTTCGCCAGATAGAATACAGACATCGTTTCCGTTCTTGACCAGTCCGTTGTAGGCGCCACCAGTAATGTTTGAGAACGGCTGCGTGGGGGTAATGTAAGAGCTGTTGAGCAAAGTCTGAGCAAAGGTCGGGACATTGGTAATGACATCGGATGGATAGACCCCTTTGAAGACGTGATTCGCAAGAAGAGCAGCCACTGCGATGGTCTCGTTGCGATGCTCGATGGCGGCCCCTTCCGGTTCGTTGCGAGGGACCTTTGCGAAAGCCTCGTTGGTTGGAGCGAAGATGGTAATGTTCGAGGCCGCCGAAAGAGTCTCAGCGAGGCCGGGGACAAGAGCGACGAGTTCAACAAGAGTACTGAGGTCCGACTGGGAAGAGAGAAGGCCGACAAGGTCGCCCTGCGCCAGACAAGAACCAGCCATCAAGGTAAAAGACAGGACAGATGAGCGCATGATGTAGAATAGTCAAGGCTGGATTGGATGCTGTTCGAGTATTGAGTTGCGATGCTGCAGAGTCGATTCTCATGGGCTGTCGCCTTGATCTTTATACCCCATCTCGAGATAGCGGTGCTTCCAGTGTCCAGGAGTCCAAGAGATCAAAGGCAGCACCCATGCAACCCAGCTAGGACGAAGTTGTCGTAGACAAAGCACCGCGATCGAGAAGTTGGCTCTTGATTCATCCTTCCGGTGTTCGATGTTGCTGTGGTATGCATGAAGGATCAAGGAGTCTCACAGCGCATGATGTCGAGCGAGTTGCTCAGCCATTGCCAAGTCTGCAAAAGGAGCGCCCTCACCAATCGATGCGAAGAGCGATGCATGGTCGAACAGAAAGAACGGCCAGTTTTCGCCGGTGCTCGTTTGCGGAGAAGTCATGGATGGGAAGCGCAAGCGAGAGGTCCGCCTGCTTGGCGTTGGTGGCGTCTTTCCCCCCAACAAGTGACTGTCGACAACTCGACTATAAAAGTGCATAGTACATTATTCATGCGCAGAGGTAGGTTTCGTTGAGGGTCGCTTTGAAATGGGACTCTCTCTAGACACGACCCTAATCCACAAAGCATTGGGCATGACTACAGGAGATCAAGTGCTTCTTCTTCGTCGCCACGGGAGATGATGATTACTTGACCCGCCGGTCAGTTGCCTTGCACACACCGACGGACGGTTGAATCTCGCCGAGGCATCTGTTTGCGGGAGTTCATTCATCTAAATAAATTTCTTGTCCGAACCCGTCCATGGCGGCCAAATTCAGCCGGCATATCTATCTTAGGAACACGCTGTCAGATGGAAGCCACCATTACACCTCAACACTGTCCCGGCCAGCCATCATACAACTCGGACGCGACATGGGCAAGCGAAATCGAGCTTGTGAAGTGTGTCATCGGCTTAAGATCAAGTGCGACGTAGCTACTACGCCTCAGCATGCTTGCGAAAGATGTATTCGCAACGGCCTGGAGTGTGTTCCGGCAGCGCCACGCCTCCAGCGCGACCGCATTTCACGTCTCGAAGCTCAGATCGAAGAACTTAAATCTGCGCTGTCGGATCAAAGCAGCAACACTACAAGTACACCAAGCCGATCGCCTGGAAATCTGCCCGTGGACCAGGACCAATCGATGCTGTCATTTGTTGACGCTCGTATTCCACTTGGCAAGCAGCAAGACTTGCTTGACACCTTCAAGCATCAAGCCAGCGCCGTATGGCCTATTGTTCGGCTAACGATGGATCTTGCCCAGCTTCGAGTTGAACGCCCGATCCTTCTCTCATCTATCATGGTCTATTCTTGTACACAACTGATGCAAGACACAGAGTTGAAGACCCATGATGCATTGGTCCGAGAGATGATGCGTATACTTGGCCACGAAGTGATTGGCAGGGGTCANAGGTCGCTTGAACTTGTCCAGGCATTACTGGTGACTGCTTTCTGGAACAAGTCTACCCGGAAGGATCAACAAGCCAGTTGCTACCAACTTGTACAACTCGCTGTAGATATGGCAATTGATATTGGCATCGCTGGATCCTCATGGCAGCCTTCACCTGCGGCATATTTCGCACGACTTGACGATGCCACATCTTTGGACGCTCGGCGCACTTGGCTCGCTTGTTACATTGCTCTATCGACGTCGTCTGTCGACATGCGACGACCCAACACAGTTCCGTGGGATCATCATCACGAAGAATGCCTTCTATACTTGGAAGCGGTAGGGGAAGCACCCGACCATCTACTCTGTCAAATCGCGCGAGTCACTCGGTTGGTGCAGGAAGTCTCGAGCCAATTGTACCTGTTTCACCTAGCCACGTATGTGGATGGTAACGAATACAGCACTCATGTAATCATTGAAAGCCTCAAGAACAAGATTGATGTATGGGCAGCGCAAATACCAGCATTCCTTGCAACCTCACGCACGCTCAATGTCTTGCGCCATGTCGCTATGGTCCGCTTATACGAAGTCATACTACACACCAGGACGAACAAGTCGTCGTTCGCTGCGCCGTTCATTCCGGGCCGTATACCGGTCAAGGACTTCCCGACGCCAGGGAACGTTATTTATCCTCTCAGAACAGCTCTCGAATCACTTGTTCGACACTGTCACGCTGTAATCGATACCGCCACAGAGATGGATCCCGCTCTCGTCTTGAGCTTACCTACCTTTGCTTTCGCCCCAACTGTCATCTATTCGTTGTATGTTCTGGTGACGACTCTGGCCGCCTCCACAAGTCCAGGAAATGCGTACGGACAATGCTTGCCAAGAAACATCTTCCAGATTGAGCACTGCGGGTCAAAGCTGAAAGGATTGGCGGTGGGTATGAAGTCTCTTGATCCTACAATGAGTTGTTGGACAACTCGGTTAATCGACGCGACGGAATGGTTGGAAGAGTGGTACAGTGATTACGCCATAATTCTACAGCGGTATGAGACTTATCTTACCATATAATATGTAAAAGGACAATACCGTAAAGCCTACTATATTATTATATAATTTTCCAACCTAAATATAATTATATATACCTATAAGTATAACCTTTTTACTATTAAAAAAGTAAAAAGAAACAATTGCTATAGTAAGGTAGCACTATAGTATAAATCAATAATAGATTAGACGTATATATAGCTAAGATATGCTAAGGTCTAAAAAAGTATTACTTAGTCTAAAATAAGGCTTAGAAATATATAGCTAAGGTTATAAGCTATTATATTAACAATTAAAACATAAACTAGATAGAAATAAATACGGATGGTTATAGTAGAGTCTTATTGCATTTTTGCTATAGAGGCTTAAGTAGAATTAGAATTGCCTTATTTCTAGTCATAGCAACTTATAACGGCAAAGTATAACTGTTATATGGAATAACAATCTCTTAAAGGTAAGGATAAGCTAGATAGAACGTCTACTTATTCTTCTTTCTATGTCTAGACTATTAGCTAGTCTAATAAATTGCGGTTTGTTTACTTAATTGAAGCCACTTTTAAACTCTCTTCCATGCTTCTAAGTCCGCGACCAGTGTACTCTCTAAGAATTTCCTCTGCTCTAGGCTTCTCTGCAACCTCAGTCAAGTCCCAGCCTAGACCTTCGATATTGCTTGGGAATGCCTGGTCCGGCTTCAAGGTTCGAAGGACGTCTAGCAACGTATTCATGTTGAAAGGCTCGGAAAAGGCAAAGATACGTTCAGACTGTAGAGTTGTAGAAGCGATAGCGGCGACGTGGAGGACTGCTACATCCTCTGCATCAACAGCATAAGCTTTACGATCAATCAGTACGTTGTTGGCTCTTTAAGAATCTCTTGAGGGATTGTGACGTACTTGGTGGAATCGTTCTGAGAAACGAGAAGGCCCGGTGTTTAACTTCCTCGTCTTTTTCAGCATCAACAAGGTCTGCGATGAGACCCGCTGTACTACCTGATTGTCCGTACTGTCGGCCTGACGCGTGTAGTTGTATGAGTCACTTGATCTCTGGAACCAAACGGAGGGATGAGTTTACATACCGAGCACCTTCCCCATGATGAAATTCGGTATCACGACGTTGACTTCAATTCCAGCTTTTTCGCCAGTTGTGGCTGCCCATTCCCAAACCAGTTGCTCGGTCTTCACCTTAGACGCAGAATACACGTGCATGGACATCGTCTCTGCAGGTGTATCTGCGGCGAAGGCTCTTCAACACTGAATGTGTTCCAACTGTTCTTGGTAAGCTTCAAAGCCGTATTGGGCACTGACCACATCGTGGCACATTGGCTCGAGGTGAGCACAAATCTTTTGATCGAGCCAGATCTTGTGGCCGCATCAAGAATGTTCTTGGTCAGAGCAACAGAAGATCCGATCACTGTCTCCGCATCGCTCGATTGTAGCACAGAAAGAGGAGGACATACCCCTGGCAATTGGTTGACGTGCGCGACAAGCTGTTGGGTATACCCGAGCGATCGACCTCCCATCCTTCAATGAGGTTCTGCCGCTGCACGCGTGCTCTTTCTGCTGGTATCGGGCATGTCGCTACAACTATCTGCGATGCTGCGATGCCTGTCGTTCTCTTCGTGGCTTCCTGACTGTTCCGCGAGCGATCACTTCCTTGTTGGCCCATGCCGCCCGACTTGTTTCGCAAAGCCACACCAGCGGACGCTTGCGAAGTCACAGAGGAGGGTACCCGCGATCCTTCAGGAGTTATCTTGCCCCATCGAGACACTGCTCGACAATGGCTTCCCAGCTCCTGAGGGGGGAAGAGGCAAGCCGACAAAGTACTCAGGCCCAAAGAATCTCACGCCGAGTTCCAAACCTACCGTTGTTGTTTCGTTTCCCAATCTCTTCATCCACCTTGCGACGTCTCGTTGTTCTGGTGCCATCGTGTTTTCAACCCCTCTTATACACGCAAAGGGCGCGCAGAACCCGACCGACGTCCAGGAAAAGACTTTTGGTACATGCCACGAATGTCTGGATGCTCGCTCGCTCGCTGCAAGGAGAGACTCTTTCTGCTGGGACTCGAATCGGAGCTGGAAGGCCCAGGTCCACGAGGTCTAGCCTGCGGGACAATATCATGTCATCCTACGCTGGAGCTGGCTCGGAAACTTTGGGGAACCATCTCAAGAGGCGCATAGCACGCCGTCATACCACGGTAAATTCGAGTTGGTCCCGGGCAACCAAATGGATATCATCGACGCTCTGACAGGATACGGACCGCTAAAGGTCGTACGCCGGGGAGAAGACACGACGACGTGTGTTGTCTTCGTCGGTGATTGTCTCGGGCGCGGAGGCGGCGACATCAAGATCTGCACTTCTTGTTTTGAGCGGCGTTGAAGTGCCGGTGTGACCACTTGCGCTTATCTTCTCCTGCGTAGAGGCGGCGATACCAAGACTTGCACCTCTTGTCTTGGGCGGCGAGGAGGTGTCGAAGACGACGATTCCGCCTTTCGTTTTCGGCAGCGGGCAGGTACTGGGATGACCACCTGCACCTCTGGTCTTGCGCGATGGCGACTGGCTGGTATAACCACTTGTACTTCCTGTCGTGGACTGCGAGACACTGGTGTCGGCGCTGAGGCTCGAGCTGGTGACGGTCTTGAGACTGCGACCGGCGATGGTGCTGAGAAGAAGATCTGTGACGGCGTTGGTGATGGCGCTGACACTGGCGCTGATGGGACTGGAACTGGTGTTGGCGCCGGAACTGGGATTGGCGATGCCACTGAGGATGGGACCACTGGAGATGGTGCTGGTGACGATGATGGCGAGGCTCGTCTCTGTGTCTATTTGGCTCTTCTCAGCGCGACGGCCGCAAGCGCTGGATGTAACGGGTACGCGTCCTCATCATCATCATCATCATTATCATCATCATCATCAACATTATAAACAGCACGGGAGCTGACCATCTCTTCCAAGAACCCTGGCCATGATGGGGTTTGAGTGATTCTGGACACGTTGGAGAGCATGCCTCCGCAAGCATCTTGTGCCCACGATCATCTGCGAGGAATCGGGTCAATCCGACAGACTATCAGAGTAAAGCTTCATACTGATGCATACATTGAACGGATAAACGTGTAGGATATGTGGTTGTCAAGTGAAATGAGAGAGCCATGGGCTCTGCGGTTCATCGATGTATACACAGTCGCGCAGCAAAATGCGGGGAGTCGATCAGATGGACGGCGATCATGCAAGCTGGCAAGCTGGCAAGCTGTCGTCTGTGCCTGAGCCATTGAGCGAGATCAAGAAACAGTACGAGACCTTCTGGATCTTGTCTTGCTGCACCACGCTGGCCTAGAGACCCTTCCTGTTCCTGCTCACCACCTGCCGAGGGTCTCGGGTAATGCCTCAGGTTCGCCGGTGTTGTTTCGCAAAGTTGTCCACTCTCGCTAGTTGCCCGGATTCGGTGTCGAGCTTACGGCACGCCCTGGCAGCTACTGACGTCCGCGGCGGCGACCACCAAAGAGCTGTCGACATGCTCGCCTCTTCGCTTGTCACCAGCTATCTCTTGCTGTATGTATCGCCACTTTCTGTTGCTCAGCAACATGTTAATACATCCCTCGCGTCGTGTTGCATCGCAACCCTCGTTTCCGCTAGAAGGTGTGATTCGGCGATGACCTGCTCTGTTGGCTTCGGGCGCCATCTCGACAATAGCAACCTCTGAGCCTCCCCACTGCTCATCCCACGAGGCTTTCACGCCACCTCCAAAGCTCGAGCACTGAGCCTCTGGGCACGGGATATGCTCAAGACTCCACAGTCACCCTCGCTTGGATCCGTGGTACAACTTGCTCAATCTCAGCATTGTTTTCGCTGCGGGCTGTCTGGCGCAACGGAATGTGACTGACTTGCACGGGTCCACGGATTCAGCAAAATTGAGGGGCCACGGTTCGACGCTCACTGAGGTCGCCCGTGGTAGCGGGACTCCGCGGGGTAGTTCCTCGGGCGGAATCTGATTCCGTATCGCATCCCATGAGACGTTAAGGCTCCCGGTCACATTTGACTATTGGAACTCTTTAGCAGTGTAAAATGCCTCCAGCGCACTCCAGGTCAAGTGTGAATGGTCGACAGCCAAGGACTAGGGCCTTGGTGAAACTGTCTTGCTTTTTGGGATTCGAGGATTGTACGTAGTATGTCTTCTGGTATGTGGTTTGATACCCCGCTGTGTTTGTCTTCTATGCATCCTTGGCCGCCATCATAACGTGTGTTACGAAACTTCTCACCGAAGCTTCTGGCTGTCGTACCGAAGGACAGAATGCGATTGGCATTGAACCATGTATTTGCACTGCTAGTGACTGGACACGAGGAGAGCCTCCAGTTTCCACATGTGTCTTGAGCATCGCGAGTTTTGCAGAAGGTTGCGCTCGACAGCAACTCCACTGAGGTAAACACCTTGATGGGCAGAGTTTACGAGTCGCCGAGGCCCGTGCCAGTTGCGTTCATGGACTTGTGACGAAACGAATGGTTCCTTCTCAGTGCTCTCTCTTCCCATTGAATGATCTTTGCTTGGATACTCTGCCATCTTGCGAACCGACAACTTGCCGACAAACACATTGCCTTCGTTGGATGTCGATCTTCGCATACCCCTCTTCCAACCACGTCCGTTCCCGCCGCACGGCACCCGAGTGCCTGGTCATCCACTCCGTCGCCCTCTCGCAAACATTGACTACGGAAGAAATCAAGCCGTTCGTCTTCTGTCTTCATCAATTCAAGTCAACCCCTTCTCGTTCAGGAACATCCCAGTCCATTTACGCCCTCCACCTTTGCAAAAGAAAGCTCGCGGCACAAGTTCTACCCACCGCTTCGGAAGACAAGATTGAGGAGCTTAATGCTCAATTGGTTGCCCATGCCTAGCGCTCCCGCCTTGGTGCCGCATGTAGCCAATGGCGCCGCCCATCCTCCTCGTCCCTAGCTTGGTCCGCCCAGGATGCTGAGCGCAAGCGCTCGACCAGAGCTATGGCGAGATAAATGGCACAACAGCAACCATCGCCAGACTGTCAAGCACTACTTCCGCTGTACGCCCTCCTTGGCCTCTTTCCTCTGCTCTTGTTCTTATCGCTCCGACCATGATGCCTTAGTTTGGGACCTATGGCGGAGTCCTGACATTTGCTCAGGAGATCGCAGACCGCCGCCGTACAGCCGATGGCACTCAGGCCGGTGATCGAGAGAGCACCTCTTCTAGCGAGGCCTCTTCTAGCAAGATCTCTCCTACGTGGTACTCTAAGCGTCATCAAGCAGCATTCGAGCTGTACCAGCGTTGTTCCTTGGCCAGGATTATCGCCAACACTCCGACACCTGTTCCTGTACACCACAAATCCTCACGCTGTTCCAAAACCTCTGTCGCCGCCAGCGCCCGAACCAACGACTTCTTGTCTAGCACACCCCTTGATCCTGAACCTCCCAGCCCACTTTCTTCCCGCGCGCTATGAAAAGGTTGCATCGACCCAGGGCTTGCGTGACCTGCATTTCACCTCTCAGCCTTGCAAATATGTCACTCCACTCAAGGCTTTGGCCATTACAAGGGTATACATCTGGCTGAGAAATGCATCATCCAAGGCCAGCGTCTCCGCGAAAACAAGGACTTCCTTACCGTTCTGGAGCGCAATGGCAAGGTTACTGATTTCTCTTGTTCCGGAGACTGGCCCGGCTCCGAGCCTTCGGAAACGGCATCTCGACCACGTCGCCGCAGATCTCTTTGGCCTCTGGTCCCAGCAGCTCCGCCTCTGTTGTCGACTCTCCGGCTGAGAGCTGATCAAAACTCTTCGGCGGGAAGGTGCTCTCTGTAAGGTGTGCCATCCCCCCTGCTCGTCGAAGAGGTAGTTCCATGGATTTCTGAGACTAGCAGCGCCGCCACCAGGACACCCAAGCCAGCGACTTCGACCAATCAAGTTCATTCCGAAGCACACTCTTGACCTGCGTGACGTGTAAGCTAATGGTGCGGTAGGCGCTCTTGCAACCGCTACATTCCTCACGAAGACGATGATAGATGGTAGCGTCGTCGCACGGCTCCCCAGGTGTGGGTGCAGTTGTCACAGATGAGCGAGATAGCCTGGTGGGCCTTGAGAACAAGCTCCTCTGCTATGCTGTAGCGTGTTGAATCTGTGGTCTTGATGGTGTCGGGCGTGTCGAATTCAGGATGGGTTTATAGATGATTCATCGGTCGAGACGAGAGCAGAGGAAGGGAAGAGCAGGGATCGAGTCGTAGACATTGCGAACTCTCGCCATACACCTTTGGGCTCTTTTCGAGCTGCCTGGGTTTGTTCAGCTGAATGCTCGTCGTCAATCTCATGACACCTATTCTCATTCCTGCTATCGTCGCCTGTCCCAAGTTTTTCGAGCACCAAAATGCTTTCCCACCTAGTATGCTGCAGCAGAGAGGGTGAGCTGAAAAAATGAGACTTCGAAAACCGTTGAAACCGCTGATAATAGCCGTCAGCTGCGAGGGCCGTTGCAGCTTCGGATTGCTTCGGTCACCGCGCTGTACCAAATTGTCTCCAGATGAATCCTCGAGGACCTCGTTGTTTAGGCTTCAGAACCAACAGATGCCTTTGTCACACAACAGTATTGCGAGGCTTCTTGTACCGAGAACAACCTCCGACTCCGACTGCAACCTTCAAGATGCGTGCTTTCCGAGAACTGCAGCCAAGGCTTTTCATGTTGCGGAGCGATTAGGGACAGTGGATCGCCGTTGTGCCGACGTTGAATTCGGGTCAGTACTGGTCTCAACGCGCCTCCACTTTAGACCGTAGTCCAGATGGTCAATTGGTCTGCATACATGCTTGGCCTGGCTCAACTGAGCGAAGGATGCATGTGCGAAACAACGATCGCGTTCTCCGAGAGGTCAGTCCTTGACAACGTCGAAGATTCCCGCAACACCGTTTCTAGGGGGCTGAGTGAGTGTCTGTGGTGTACCATGGAAGTAAACAGATGTGGGGTATTGATGGAAGAGATGATATAATGATCAGTACCCTGAACCGACCCCTGCGCTCATTCTACATGTGCCACTTCCATTTTCTTTCTCCCGTGCAGTCCTAGATATGCACAGCTCACAACGTGTATCGCTGATTGTTGTGGGTGTTTTGGCGACATTCCTTGGAAGTATATTTTTTCCATCTCAAGAACTTTGAGATAGACCTTGCTGATCAGTGACACCTCANGCCGCAGTGATACTACTTCGTGGATATGTATGGTACACGCGAAGAAGAAAACAGGGGCTTGATGACCTATTTATGGGTATAGCATGGGTAAGTACGTGATTTTCGAGAGATGCTGGAGGTACTGACCGAATCAGTTCNTTCTCCATTGGCTTTACGATCGCGTCGTTTATATCGGTCAAGTATGGAGTTGGTTTAGAGACCGACAAACTTCCGCCAGGTTACCAGCAAAAGGCAGTTCAGGTATCCCAGTCAATTTCCAAGTTCTTGATTGCTAAACTAATTATGCGAGGCATGCAGGCCATATACGCGATACAGATCTTCTACTACCTCAGTGTATTTTGTGTTAAGACAAGTATAATGTGTCTTTACCTTCGCATATGTGAGTTCTTGAAAATCCGCGATGTGTGCTCCGGCTCACGATTCTCTACAGCTAAGGGTCTGCGGACGTGGTTTTGGAGAGCAAGTGTCGCTACCATTGCTCTTCTGGTTGCTCAATTCATCTCCACCATCCTTGTGACTGTTCTCCAATGTCGTCCTGCACCCAAATATTGGCACCCGAGCTTGCCAGGGATTTGCATCAACATCAATGCCTTCTTCTATTGTAAGCGAAAATGCTTTCGATCAGGGCTGATATCTGACAAGCATACCAAACANGCAACAAACATCTTCACAATTGCCTCTGACATACTGATCTTCGCACTGCCGATACCTCTACTCTGGTCGCTCAAGAAGACGTCAAAGCGGGACAGATGGGCTGTACTTGGTGCATTCTTGGTCGGCTTCGTCTCTACCATTGTGTCTTGTGTGCGGCTGTATTCCATTAGAGTATACACGCTGTCGAAAGAGCCAGTCAGAGAAGCAGCGCCGATCAATCTCTGGTCGTTCCTCGAGATCAATCTGGGGATACTGTGTACTTCCGGTCCAGGTAAGAGAGTGTTGTTGTCCAAAACCGAGACTCCGATTTCTGACAATACGTATAGTTCTTAAAGCACTCGTTGCACCGTCCATAAACAGCGTTCCAAGAGCTAGGAAGATCAGGTTCTCTTCCGGCAGACTCTCATTTGTCGAATCTGGAGGCAAAAAACAATCTACCATCACCGAAACAGAGGATGTCGCGTCTCATGATGAGATCTTATCTCTAGAGGATGTTTTGTCTCTCAAAGTATAACTAGTGGTCTCTCTTACAAAGGATCGTCATTCCTAAATTAATTATGGAGATAAGGTATAGAAATGTTTAGGCAACCGAATTTTGTCGTATCGATGCACGCTATAGTATTATCAAAGATATCGAGGGTTTATTCGCGCGATTTCGAGATCTGCTGTCGTCGCTTCCAACGCCTGTGAGATCCTAAGTTGATTTTGTCGCCCATAGATCACATGAACTTCTCCTTTGCTCGCCCACGGTAACGCCTGCAGCTTTACCAAATTCCCCGATAGTGCCTACAGCGTGTAAACATGGAATCCACCAACACCAGAAAAACCATTGTATCCAGTTCCAAACATAACATAGTCATTTTGGATCGCAACACCACCATGAAAATTGACATCGAGATTGTAATCCTTAATCATCAAGCCCGATCGTTTGTCAATCACAATAAGCCCTCCTCGAGTGAGATCGTGGCTGCCAGTCTTATTTTGTCCCGTACGGCCGGTGAATAAGGTGTCGTTAACCACGGAAGGTTGAACAAAGGAGATGGAGTCATATGGCGATGGGATTTCCCAGAGTATAGAGCCATTCAGTAGCGACAGGGCGCCAAAAGCAGAATTATCGATGGTGTGGTTTAGAGGCTGTACTTGCCAACTGACAAAGTTGCTGTTAACAGCGGCAAAGTAGACACGCTTGTCATCGACAGCGATTCCCCAGATCAGACCACCTTCCACTCCGTCATGACTGGTGGCGCTGGACCAGTGCAGTGTGACGTCCTTTGCTGAGAAGGCATGAATCACACCGTTTTTCTGACCTATGACCACGGTATCTTCTTTATTTGGTGTCCATCTCGAGGGTAGGACGAACGTTGGGGCCATTCCGAAATCTGCATCAGGGCCTGGTGTACCGGGACAGACGGCTACATTTGGTAGAGAGGCACCATATTCACAGGCCGTAGTCCAGGAATCGAGGGGAGACACAACGTGCGACCATATGATGGCTCCAGTTCCGATGTCGAGAGCAAGAACAGCTTCCTGGAGGATGTTTCCTGGCAAGCAAGTAGAGTTCGTGCTGGTGATATTGGTGTCGGCCTTCATCAGGCAGGATTCGTATTCTGGTGGCACCGAGTAGACGTTGCCTGTGGCCACAAAGACTTGAGATCGAGCTTCATCAATGGATGGTTGGGAACCCCTCACGGCTACTCCTGACCATCCGGGTGGTGTCGAACCAGCAGTGATCATACTGATATCCCAAACTGTTTTGAATTCCCGTGCACTCTCATCATACTCGACCGCAGCCATATTGCCGACGAAAGAGCAGCATGCATAATCTGGAGTGAATCCTGCCGCTGCCTCTTCCTGGCTAGATGCACCGACGAGGAGCTTACCTTTGTAAAATGTCGGACTCATTGTGAGTGTCGCAAGTTCATGAGAGTTGATCTGCGTAACAGCCAAGTACGCTCCAGTCTGACGATCAACGGCAACTACAAGAGCATATGCGAGTGTAGTGAAGTAGAGCACTGATTCATCAAACTGAGGGGTAGACCTTGAGGCTGCTCGGGTGTAAGAGACTTGCAAGGTTGTAAGAGGAGCAAAACCAGTGATGATGTCGGAGACGCTGATGTTCCAGTGGACTTGACAACTCTTGTAGTCAAACGCGACGAACCGACCATCCCAAGTTGGGAAATATGCAATGTCTCCTAAGATTGCTAGTGGTGCGCTGACGCCAACGGGAAATTTTACAAGGCAGCTCTCTCGTAGCATGCCAGCGTTGGAGGACCCGATAGCTAATTTGCTAGTAGCCCATCTATTATTAAAGATGTTAGTGCCCCATCCTAACCATCGAAGATGACCTTTATGGCTTACAGCGCCATAAGACACAAACATAATAAGAAGAGAGTAGAAGGCTATAAGAAGATACATTTTTTAACTAAGTTACTATGTTAAGTTATAGGTTAAGATACTTTCGGTAGAGGACAGGCAAATTCTTTATGCTAGTTAGTAATGTATATAGCGTGAATCCTTTAGAACAAGCGATTTAAAGGGTATATGCCCTATAATATTATAACTATAATATATATCTTATTATAATCTAGTATTAAGCATACCGGCTTCTAGCTTATGCCTAGCCGATTATTACTATATTAGAAATCCTACTCTAAGGATTCTACTAAGATAGGTTTTCTTTATAGAGTACTTTATAGTAGGTAGCTATCTAATATACTCTACTTTTTCTAATTTCTTACTTTTTCTAATTCTATTAGAATAGATAGAGTAATAGAGCATATAGAGCATATAGAGCATATAGAGCATATAGAGTAATATATATATACTTATTATCTATTAGATATATAGATAGATAGAAACTTACTAGAAGGTTCTATATTTAACTTAATTAGTTATTCTAATAGTTTTTTTAGTATATACTACTATATATATCTACTTTACTTTACTTAATACTTTACTTTATAAGTCTAACCCTATAACCTATTATTTTATTTAAGATAGTTAGCTATAATATCTATATAGTTATTAATATAAATAACTATTAGTATAGTAGCTAAAGCTCTTATTAGGGTTTTAGGGTTTAGGGTTTAGGGTTTTAGGGTTTAGGGTTTAGGGTTAGGGTTAGGGTTAGGGTTAGGGTTAGGG